GACGGCTTCTGCCCACCAACGATTTGGCATGTTGGCGTGGGCGAGCATGGCCAGAGCCATTTCCATCAAGGTACGATGCGCCCGTTCGGCGACACCGTTTTGCCATTGGTTACCTGCGGATGAGGACTCATGTTTGATTCCCATAGATTGCAACAAGTCGTCAAGCGCGCGAGACGAGTATTCGGGGCCGCCGTCCGACCGAAACACTTTGACCTTGCGGCCGGTCTGGCGTTCCGAGTACGCCAAGATCGCCTCCAAGTTCGACTGTTGGTCGGCGGCTCCAGTGGATGACACGAAGCGGACGATTTTGAAGCCGGTGTTGTCGTCGACGTATACCGTGTAGTAGCGGCAACCGCCGGCGGACATGGTAGGTAAAGGTCCTTTTGTGTCTGAGTGCCAACATTCCCCTGGTAGGAATGTTCGAGTCCCTTGCTTGGCAACGGTGACGCGGTGCATTTTGGCGCGTGGACAGTCCATGCATGGATGTGCCATGTCGCGAAGCTGTGGCGGCAGTCCAAGACCGGCCTTAGCGCAGGTGCGTAATGCGTCAAGGGGTAAGTGCCCGATGCGGTGGTGCCATAAGGTGGCCGTGTCGTCGACGGTAAGGTTTGCATGATCTCGAGTAAAAGTCCCATCCAAGACGTATAATCGTTGATTTTGGTTCATGGTAGCACGGGCCACCGGTACATTTGAGTGCAAAATGGTGCACATGTCGTTGTGGAATTCAACCTTGACCGCCTTGTTCGCGCGCATCAAGGCAGGGATTGACATAAGGGTTGTTCCCATGCCGTCGATCAACAACACGTCTGTCAAGGTAAGTACCTATGAGGTTGGGGTGGTGATGTTGAGTTTTCCGATGGTAGTGGCGATTGTAACGCCGCCGTTGGCGACGATGACCTGGCGGTGACAATTCCGCGTGTCGTACAGGTGCGTGGCGGCGCCAGTCATGTGCGTCGAGGCGCCAGAGTCGACGATGATGCGGTGTTTGATGGCTACATGGGCCCCGTCACTAGCGGTGTAGGCCTCGTCTGTGGCCGTGTCTGACGTGGTCGCATCTCCGGATGCATCATGTTGGTTCGCGGCCATGGATGCGGCCGCCGCGGTGATTAACGGGTTAGTCGATGTGGTCGTCACATCTGTCGTTGGCGAAGCAGTGGACGCCAAGCCTCGGTGGCGTTGATGGACGTCCATGGACATGCGTAAGGTCCGGATAAGTTCAGGGTCGTCAAATGGCGCGAATGGTGCATCGTTGATGTACGTCTCGTATGCGTCATCGCCCAACCATGGAAGGTAGGAATCGTTGATTATCATCTCGCGGATGTGGGGGGTTCTGACGGCCCGCATGTCATAGGCCATGACGGTGTAGCGGCTGATGACCCAGCCTGGGAACACTTTGATTGTTGCCGGGTCTGGGATTGGCTTGGTGGCTAGGACTGCCAAATCGTCGCGGCTCATGAAGTTGGCCATATATGGCACACCTTTGATGGTGACCATACGTCGGGGTCGCATCGATGGGTGCCAGGCACGGTCGACGTATTCTTCTGGCTTTACGAATTCGACGCGATCGAACTCATCTTGGTTCGATGGTACCGCTGTAGCGGGGGTGGGGATGGGGTGAATAGCGGGAAGACTGTCTTCCATGAGGTAAGAGTCGCCTTTGCCTTCTTCGTCCATGTTTTGCATGTCTTGACCGGTTTCTACTGCAGAGAACATGAACACTGCCGCGTTGGAGTGGTCTTCTTTGGGTTCTTTCTTGCCGCTGGGGTTGCCATCTTCGCGTGCCTTTTTACGGCATTCGGATTGCCAATGACCTTCTTTTCTACAGTAGTGGCAAGTGCCGCTCTTGGTTCCATTGTGGCCGCTTGGGCCTTTGCGGTTCGCGCTGCGGCCGCGTCCGCGGCCTCGGCTGCCTTGTCCACGGCGTCCGCTGGCGGTATTGTTGCCGCGCCCGCCTTCAGCGTACAAGGTACGGTCTTCGTTGGCATGCCCTCGTGGCAACTTGATGGCGCCGTTGAGTACGGCCGCCTTCCATTCTGCCTCAAGGGCGATCTTTGTTTTCGTTACCGTTTGGTCGTGGTCTGACCCGTTTGATAGGCGGTCGACGATGTGGCGGAAATCCCACGGCATAAGCGCGAGCAGCTTCACGACTTGGTTAGATTCTGTCTCCGTGGCGCCGACTTCGTGAAGGCGCTTGACCAGCGTTTGGAAGCGATGGATGAAGTCAGGTAAGGTTTCTTGGCGCATATCTCACGACAGCAGCGCCCATTCCATGGCGACTTGGATCCGATCGATCTTTGTTGTAGGTCGGTGGTGGATGGCCAGGGCCTCGTACGCCGTCTTGACGTTGGCCGCGCCTTCCACGTGACGATACTGCCCTGCCTCGATCGTCTCGATGAGAATTCCAAAAGCCTTTTGGTCGTCGAGGTCGGGCGGGTTCGTCGGGCGTGCCGTGAGTTGGTCAAGGATCCCTTTGGCCATGAGGCGGCCTTGGAAGTATGTCTTCCAGTCACGGTAATTGTGTTCGTTGAGCTTCATGGCGTTGGGTGTCGTCATGGGTCTTCCTTCTTGTTGGTTTTGCCTTGCGTAGGGGTTGGGCTCAGTACCTGTTGAATTGATGGGATGCGACTTGCGGCTTGGGAGCAGGCGGCTTGCGTTAGCGAGCGACTTACGAACAAGAGAGGAAATCGGAAAGTGATTAAGGAGTGTTAAGCTAATGAACTACTTCAACACATATATCCTGTTGTTCTCTTCTGCCTACGCACTTGAAGGTGACCTAGCGCCAATGCCCTTGATGGTCGCTGCATCTTCGTCTCTGGTGCAATGATGTAAGTGTGCAATGCTGTCCTGGTGATAAACATTGTCATCCAGGGTTCAAGTTTGCGGTATCCGGATGATTCCGTTGCCATCAACATACCGAACTTCAACAGTTGTGCTCCTTCATCGCTTCGCCCATGGAGTCGAACAACAGCGCCACTCCTGCTTCGTCGATGCTGTTTCGGGCGGACCATATGACCTGGGCAAGGCGGTTGGTCAGCTGTGGGTGTCGCTGCAAGAATCGCCGATACCAGCCACCCGTCAGGGATCCAAGAGGGTCCAAGCTTGACCAAAATGGTATAGTGGCTAGTTGGGTAACCTCGGGATTGCATCCCCGAAATCCATGCCACCAGGTCTTCCTCACATGACTTCGCGAGGGTTGGTTTTGGTCCACGGCGTTGGACGACGACTTCCTTGCCGGGCTTGATGAGTCTAATCCTGCGCATGACAACTTCGTACGGAATGTTGGCAGCGTGAGCGACTTCTGTCCCACGCATTCCACCAACGACCTCCTGGACTGCTTGCTCCAGGTCTTCGGGCGTGTACCGGCGCTTCTTGCCGGGTGGGCGTGAAGACGAAAGTGTCACTGACAAAGTGTGATTATGTTTTGCAGGTTTTGCCGCCAAACAAAATGGCTTCCTGATTGGTGGATTTCGATACGACTTTTATTGGCACATACCCCAACAATTGGCATTCTACGTTAGGTCACGCATCCTACTCCATATTGCACGCCTATAATTGGCTGAAATATACATGACCTCAAGACATGATCACCGCGATGCTTGCACTGCATCTTTGGCGAGGTTAATTGTCACCATGTTAATGCAAGTAAGCGGAGTGAAGTTGTTTCTTTGGCGAATCATTTGCACTGCGCTACTGGTGCAGTCTATTGGTTTACGCTGATTTCCTATTCATTTTTGTGGCTCATTCGCTCTGAAAAATGCTAACGCTATGCTTGCAAGGGGTCAAGCGTTGTGAAATGACTACAGACGTCACAGACCTGCGAGCTACAGTAGTGTAGTCCCTGGTTGGGATGAGGCGGCATACATATTATGAAACATAGAACCCGTCAATCCAATAAATGCGACTTTGGCATGCATACATGTCACCGTCCGCCTCAACTGGGCACTCGTGTCGCATGCAGTTGCGTCTCGAATATCTCGACGACAATGACCTCACGTGGCACCAACGCTGCCTCTTGTCTCGTGCCACAAACTTGGTACCACCCACCGAGCTAGACGGCCCCGCCCCAAGCCCCCCCATCGCCCCCAAAAAGGGCCAATATATAGTCGCCCAATTCTATTTGCCGCTGGAGGCCACCGCAATCTTATATTTCGTAGTTGACTTCGTTAGGGCACTGTCTCTAGTTTGCCGCTGACCTTTGCCCGCTCAGTGATCTCAACTTTACTGCGTAATAGTAAACCGTGGGTGTCCCACCGCGAGCACTGCACGTACCGGTACCGCCAACAGGAGTTGTTTCGAGAATAACGTCCTGTATGCATTTCACAGCAGGACTACTAAGTCCGTACATGGCCCCGAATGCAGCTCATCACTTTGCACGCACACACAGAGGTACGTACTTCACAAGCATCGCATTTCGCGGCCCGCACCTAATGCTATGGTGCGTAAGTATACCAAGCCACAAAGCTAACTTTTACATCACACATCACATCACCTACTAAATGCCTATGTATTGTGTGGTCACACAGCTTGGGCATTGCGTCTCAATGTCCAAGCCGCAATGCTGAGTAAAACCAACTTGAAGCAATTTGTAGGGTTTTTCGTGATTTTACCCAATCAAATGCAGCAGGCCACCTGGCCTACGATTTCCGATGACAATACATTCTCGATTCTACTTCTCACTACCGGTACAGTATCTACTTTTCGTCACAACAACCAAACACAACTTGAAGTTGGTGGAGTCCACCCATGGGGAGGGAAAATAGCTCAGTGGTAGAGCATCGGTTTCTTAACTCAAAGGTCGTGGGTTCAATCCCCGACTTCCCCGGATTAATTCCTTCGACATGCGATGGGAGTCAGAGATCTGGCGTAGAAATCATGCACCCATTTACAATCCACTGCAAGTGGGAGTGTTAAGGAATATCTGGATCATATGTTGCATTGGCCTTGATATTCTATATATTGTATTTCATGGTGCAGTGGTTAAATGGTTGATTCTCATTAGCCAATCAGATCTGCCTAATCTGATTGGTCTCCCACTAGGTATATTCTATGGCTATGATGTGATTGTGGTGGACGAGGAGCTTACACTCCTCACAACTCAATTGCTGTCCCAACACACTGAACCTCTTAGTATGCCCCACCACCCTGCATTTGTGCTTTCTTTATTTTCTAAGTGTGCTTGCTTGCTTGCTTGTATCTGACAATAGTAGAAGCATACCTAACTATTTCATCGTCGAATAAGACGACCGTGCAGTGTGGGTCGTAATCGAGGTTTCCAAATTGGACACCGCCATTCGAAAGCCTTTCACAGTCGACGACAACGAGAATTCCAACCCTCCCTACCTGAAGTCACACCTCCTTTGAATGCGAATTTGAATGACTTTCGAGGGCGAAATTGACTCCACATTGCTTTTCTTGGACGCTAATAAAAATACAAAAGAATATAAATTTGCTTTTCACAATCGCAGGGACGCCCACCCGGCCCGAGTGTGAAAACTCTAGATGACCATGACAATAAGCATGCGCAGCACACCTAGTACTGTTGATGATAGCCGCCTTGAGGCGACCGGAGGGGGCCTGAATCAGCCTTAAGTTATGCATACTCACGTCATCAGACACAACGGAGGCCACCCTAGGAGCAGTGTCCACTCTCTGCCCAACCGCACAAAAACGCCTAACCACGAAGGGAGGTAGGACGGATGGATCAACGACACTCATACCAGGCAGATCCAGCGATGCAGACTTAGTACGAATAATAAGAACTTAAATACTGCACACTCACCCATTTAGGGGAGTCACCGGCTCATATCCGGTGGGTTTTTAGCCCAAAGCCACACTATGCCCCACGCTAGAACACATCACACTCCCAGCCATAACCTACGTAGGGTCTCAAAATCGAATGAAAAGCGGAAATTTCCTAAATTGACTCCCCCTAGTAATCTAGGGCGTATCTGGGCTAGCACACGCGGTGGAAGTAAGTTGTCAAACGTTATAAGTTCGCAGCGTGTACGGTGCATATCACCTATAAACTACCAACGTTTCACAAAATTTTCTTGCTGCTACTAGGATTTCGTTTTCATTTGTCAAAATTTTAGCAAATAGAGACGTTGAAGAAATTCTACGTACGGACGATCGGTTTACATCGGCGTCTATGTCGACGACCTCGTCATCATGGCTTCCACGAAGGACATGATGACAACAATCAAACATGGCCTGTCGGCGTGTTTCAATATGCACGACCTTGGTCCACTCAATTTAATTCATTGGTTCCACATCGTTCGAGACCGTTCGCAACAAACTCTCACGATCCACCAGTCCCAATGTGCGACCTCTATTTTCAAGAGGTTCAGCATGGAAATCTCCAAGCCTTCACCAACTCCCATGGAGATGAACCTCAAGCTCTCTGAGCCGATGTGTCCTCAGGACGAAACTGAGCGCACCTACATAGTGGACAGGCCGAACCGATCTGTCGTCGGGAGTATCATGTACCTCATGATTAGCACCCGAACAGATATGGCTTACGTCGTTCGGCAGCTCAGTCAATTCTCAACGAGCCCTGGCCCATCCCATTGGCAGGCAGCCAAGCGAATGCTTCGCTATATTCGAGGCACGATCGACTAGGGTCTCGTCTTGGGTGGTGAACACAATGTGACCACTCCGCTGCACGCATTTGCTGATTGTGACTACGCTAAGCGTTGACACTCGTCGTTGCGTCACCGGCTTAGTGGCATTCTACTGCAACTCTGTGATCTCATGGATCGCTAAGAGGTTACGTAACATAGTTCTCTCGACCACCGAGGCAGAACTTATGATTCTGTGCACAGTAGCACAAGAATGCTTGTGCATCAAGCTGACAGCAGGTGAGATGGGTTATCCCATCACCACAGCTACTACCGCCATGAGGAGAATCAAAGCACCGTCCAGATAGTGAACAACTCTAGTCACCATGGACACACCAAACATATCGATGTGTGCTACCATTTCATCAACGACCTCGTCGAACAACAAGTGTTTCGAATCGAGTACTCAGTTACACAACTCCAAGTCGCGGATATCTTCACCAAACAATTAGACATTACAACGTTCTGCGCACTGCGCAGTAAACGAAGAGTGGGGCAGCTGCAGCCCTCCGAGCCCTTTGGCCCACGCCAAAGAGCATAAACCCCGGCCTCTCAGCCCATAACCAGGCCCGTCATGTACGGAAGATGCTCCAACCGTGACAGGTCAGTCAACGGGGGGTGGCGGCATCCCGGTGGTTACTTGATCCATCCGATCTCTTACCCAGCATGTCGTGTGGAAGGACCAATTGATAGGGACCCGCTAAGAGGGATGCCCGACGAGCTTCGTCCCGGACATAAGACGGTGTAACCAAAGCTGGTTACGCTCACTGAGTCTAACCGCCAGCCTCTTGCTGCACTATCGGCACCTGATTCCGGTGACAGTGCGTGGAGTTTTGGGAGGTAGTCAGAACACCCTATTCTGTTATGAACATAACCACTGCCCTGAAGCCTCAGGGAGCAGCATTGTCTGCCGCTAGTAGGAGGTTTTTGTGCTTTGTAGAGGCTTTTCCTCACACAGTACAGATAGCCAGCCATATCCACGGTACATCATTAGGATATCGTGTCCTGATTGGCTAGCCATTAGCTAGTCTGTCGAGCCTCTAGAGCCAGTTGTTCTCACTTGTGACTAAGCTACTTCATCATCCGTTTCACCCGCAACCACCCATTGTTCCCCCTGGCTTTTGCATCTTTGCACTGAATTGGCCAAGAAATAGATATTTACAGTTAACCAAGCGATATTTTGCATTTGCGAATTGAATTTGGGCACAGGGATGGATGGTCACTCGGACATACCTTGATCTTTATATGAGACTCTTATCCGTACATTATATCCGGAGGTAATAAATGTGTTGTGATTCGAAAAAGTCGGACCGACCATCCGACGAACTTCTTATTGGCTAAAATGGAATGATTTTTAACTTCATGGAGTGATATATCCTTCATGATGATGATGAATTCAAAATTCGACTGCAATCTACACCCTACGACTACGTGTTCTAGCCAAGCGAGCAAACGTCATCAACTTCACTTGAGACAACCGGCGCCGGCGACCTTGCTCATATATAGGAAAATTACATAATTGAATAATTCGTCGAGCAAAATGGACAAGCGATACAACGATGGGTCCTGCATAAACTAATAAAACTCCTCACGACCTTGAGAATGCATGTTTTTGCAGCCTCATCACACACTCGTGCGATGAGTTACGAGACTTCAAAAGTACGGCAAGCTGGGGGAAATTGCATGAAACACCTTAGTGCTCTTCCTCGAGCTGAACTCGATTTGATTCTATCGTATTGTATGGTGATGATGAACTATGCACTGTCATTTCGTTTGAGGATCGTTCATTTCCCGCAGCCTCGTGTAAAGAGGGAAAATATCTCAGTGGTAGAGCATCGGTATCTTAACTCAAAGGTCGTCGGATTGATCCCCATCTTCCCTGGATTATTTCCGCTATGGTGCACGTCATCTATAAACTACCAACTTTTCACAAAATTTTCTGACTTCTATTTCATATTCATTACTCAAAATTGCAGCAAATTGAGACGTATAATCGACAGATCTCAATGTGGTGAAGAAATTCTACGTCTCAGATTCAAATTTTGTGATGAATTGGTCCAGAAATAGATATTTAACCTAGGACGAGCTTCGTCCCGGACATAAGACGGTGTAACCAAAGCTGGTTACGCTCACTGAGTCTAACCGCCAGCCTCTTGCTGCACTATCGGCACCTGATTCCGGTGACAGTGCGTGGAGTTTTGGGAGGTAGTCAGAACACCCTATTCTGTTATGAACATAACCACTGCCCTGAAGCCTCAGGGAGCAGCATTGTCTGCCGCTAGTAGGAGGTTTTTGTGCTTTGTAGAGGCTTTTCCTCACACAGTACAGATAGCCAGCCATATCCACGGTACATCATTAGGATATCGTGTCCTGATTGGCTAGCCATTAGCTAGTCTGTCGAGCCTCTAGAGCCAGTTGTTCTCACTTGTGACTAAGCTACTTCATCATCCGTTTCACCCGCAACCACCCATTGTTCCCCCTGGCTTTTGCATCTTTGCACTGAATTGGCCAAGAAATAGATATTTACAGTTAACCAAGCGATATTTTGCATTTGCGAATTGAATTTGGGCACAGGGATGGATGGTCACTCGGACATACCTTGATCTTTATATGAGACTCTTATCCGTACATTATATCCGGAGGTAATAAATGTGTTGTGATTCGAAAAAGTCGGACCGACCATCCGACGAACTTCTTATTGGCTAAAATGGAATGATTTTTAACTTCATGGAGTGATATATCCTTCATGATGATGATGAATTCAAAATTCGACTGCAATCTACACCCTACGACTACGTGTTCTAGCCAAGCGAGCAAACGTCATCAACTTCACTTGAGACAACCGGCGCCGGCGACCTTGCTCATATATAGGAAAATTACATAATTGAATAATTCGTCGAGCAAAATGGACAAGCGATACAACGATGGGTCCTGCATAAACTAATAAAACTCCTCACGACCTTGAGAATGCATGTTTTTGCAGCCTCATCACACACTCGTGCGATGAGTTACGAGACTTCAAAAGTACGGCAAGCTGGGGGAAATTGCATGAAACACCTTAGTGCTCTTCCTCGGGCTGAACTCGATTTGATTCTATCGTATTGTATGGTGATGATGAACTATGCACTGTCATTTCGTTTGAGGATCGTTCATTTCCCGCAGCCTCGTGTAAAGAGGGAAAATATCTCAGTGGTAGAGCATCGGTATCTTAACTCAAAGGTCGTCGGATTGATCCCCATCTTCCCTGGATTATTTCCGCTATGGTGCACGTCATCTATAAACTACCAACTTTTCACAAAATTTTCTGACTTCTATTTCATATTCATTACTCAAAATTGCAGCAAATTGAGACGTATAATCGACAGATCTCAATGTGGTGAAGAAATTCTACGTCTCAGATTCAAATTTTGTGATGAATTGGTCCAGAAATAGATATTTAACCTAGCGGTATTTTACATGGGCGCTTGGATATTTGGCCATAGGGGTGGCCGCTCAAATGTATCTTGATTTTTGTATGTGACTCTTATCCGTATTTAATATCCGGAGGCAGTTGGGACCTTTAACCCCCCACTCCAGTGATAAAACGCATGAAATCGGTATTTAACGTATCTGGATTTTGGGTTTAACTACATTAATTGCACGTTAAATAATAAAACCTCCACTCTTCAATTTGGCCAGTTGGAAGTGTTTAGATGAAGTGCACCATAGGATTTATTCGTCCCTCCCCTGGGGAATCCGGATAACAAGGGCTGCGTACGAAGACAAGGACCGATCTTCTTCGAAGTTCGGTCGAAGCACGAGGTATGAAGCGTTGAGCAAAGTAAAAACCGAATATTACACACCGCCCCTGGTATCGAAGGAACGTCTTAATACTTGATAATCCAAGCTCAATTGATCATAATAGTCAAAAAGTGATGGAATTATGTCGCGAAAACCAACTTGGACGTTGAGGTATATAAACACCGTTTAATTACGTTTTTATAGTTTGTATAGGCAACGTTTTACATTAGAACGCACTAGAAAATGATTACGTTTTTCGTCAAAATATCGTTTTTATTCCGTGCAGTGCAGCCTCTTTGGTCACACGTTACTTTTTACATGAAGTATTGCCTTGAGGGCTATGCGGTGCGAAGCCAAAGATTCTCCATGCAATGGTGATCCTAATATACAACAACAACTACGCCTCAATACATCGACATGACAACGTAAAAGGGCTTGGTAAATTAGTGACGAGAAGTTTTGTTTACGTTAATTGTATACAAAGGTAAGGTTATACTTCGAAATATTATTCTATATGTGGAATTAGTTTTTCGTCATCAAATCAACCAAGCCCTTTTACGTGGTCATGCCGATGTCTTGAGGTGTAGTTGTTGTTGTATATTATGATTGCCTTTACATGGAGAATCTTAGATCCGCACTACGTAGCCCTCAAGGCATACTACGTAGTATATAATACCAGTACTTCATGAAGAAATAACGTGTGATCTCACGGAATAAAAACGACATTTTCACACGTAATCATATTCCAGTGCATTACTTCGAAGTATAATATAAAACGTTGCCTAATAATGGATGTCATAGAAACTACAGTACTATTAATACTACGTAAAGTAGTATAATAGTGGCGCGGACTGTATAACGTTAATTGTACAACCAGGATTGTTCCGGATAATATTCGGATGAGGCTAAATCACACAAAATTGGATTAGCCAATACCGTAGGTAGTGTCGATTCGTGATTTACATTAGATTCGATTGAACGTGGTCCTGCAATTCAAACCGAATCTCCAGCCATACTGTATCTATCTTCCACGCAAGGAAGTAAGAAAGTGTCGAAGATACGCATCGGCTGCTCGATTTACAATTGAAAGTTACCACCGCTGGCCATTACAAAGCGTGTGACCCCTTGTTGCTTCAAACTTCCACCAGGAACCAATATATGCAGAGGAAATAGTTTAAATGAATTACGCCAACGCGTGTGTCATGTCCCTAACGATCGATATGGGTCCGTCCAGTGGGTCGGTATTTTACGGGTTATTGTCATGGAGCATTCGTTCGTTGGTTTCATGCAGGCCCTTGAAGTACTTGACGGTCTTGACCTTGAGCTCCAACGTGGCGTCGTCGTCGCACACGATCACCGACTTTTTGTGCGTTTGGATGGCCGAGACTGTCCACATGTGGTTCACACCTTCTTCGATCACCTTGTACAACGCATACGCCTTGGAGTGGCCCGTGATGATGATCAGGACTTCGCGGGCGTCCATGACGGTGCCGACGCCGACTGTCAGTGCCATCTTCGGCACCTTGTTGATGTCCCCGCCGAAGAAGCGCGAGTTGGCCACGATCGTGTCGTACGCCAGGGTCTTGACACGGGTGCGCGACACCAACGACGAGCCCGGCTCGTTGAACGCAATGTGACCGTCGGGGCCGATGCCGCCCAGGAACAGCTCGATGCCGCCAAAGTGAGCAATCTTTTCTTCGTACAAGCGGCACTCTTCTTCCAAGTCGGCGGCGTTGCCGTTCAAAATGTGCACGTTTTCGCGCTTGATGTCAATGTGTTGGAAAAAGTTGTTCCACATGAACGAATGGTAGCCCTCGGGGTGGTCTTCCGGCAGGTTCACGTACTCGTCCATGTTGAACGAGACCACGTGCTCGAAGCTGAGCTTGCCTTCCTTGTGGTATTGCACCAGCTTCTTGTACGCTTTCAACGGCGAGCTGCCGGTGGGGAGGCCGATCACAAACGGGCGGTTGGCCGTCGGCTTGAAGTCATTGATGCGTTGGCGGACGTAGCGGGCAACCCACGTCGCCACTTCTTCGCCGTCGCGTTGGATGATCAATCTCATGGTAGTTAGTGGGTAGTGGTGGTTGTGAAGTGTGAAATCCAAAATGGCCACCTCGAATCTATGCGCCAATAATATTTATTGCACATCTGTCCACTCACTCATGTCGAATAAAAAAATCACCTCGCCAACATTCTCGTGTCTCATAGCGGGTGAAACAGACTATATTTGACCTGACTATTGGACATATCTATACCTTTCCATACAAAGCTCAAGTGAAGGAAAAGAAAACATATGCATTTTAGCATTGCACATTGCCAAAGGCCGTCGGAAATCCATAGGTCGCGGAGGGATTTTCCATGGATCCAGCGGCCACACCGTGGGACGGTGACAAGATACATCGTGATAGTTCGATCTGATTGGCTCGAGGCGATTTTATCCGTACGACGGCAATATGCCGGATACACGACCCCATTCAATTTCCAAATGAACCGATCGATGGATGTCATGGTCACGTCGCGTACCAGATCAGGTGGGACGCGTAGAACAAACTTGTGGCGATGCGATGCTGCCGAGAGATTCCTGTAGATTCAGCTGTTTCTGATCGCGAGAGAGGGGGCATCCACATCATCTCCTTCGTGTGTCTCTGGTCTTTGTTTGCGAAGTTGACGCCATTTCAACAAAACCATCGTGATAATGTTGCCGCTGCTTGACGACACTACCCTCAAGATTGAAAACGTCCGCGTGCTGCGCGACGGCAAACTCGTGGACACGTTTCTCTGGGTCGAAAATGGCAAGATCATGAACCCGCAGTCGCGCTACTGGAAGGCCACGTCGTCCCTCGAGTACGGCCCCGGCACGATCGTCGACGGCAAAGGCATGATCGTCGCGCCAGGGTTCGTCGACATCCAGCTCAACGGGGCGTTCGGACACGACTTCTCGGACGTCGAGTGCACACCGGAGCAGATCCTCGAAGTGCGGCAGAAGCTGCTGTCCACAGGCGTCACCGCGTTCTGCCCGACCGTGATTTCGTCTGCCCAGGACACATACGCCAAGGTGCTGCACAAGTTCAAGCGCACGGACGACGGCCATATCGTGCACGGCGCCAACATGGTCGGGCTCCACTTGGAAGGCCCGTTCATCAACAAGCAGCGCAAGGGCGCACACAAGGAGGAAGTGCTTGTGGACCCCGAGGAAGGCATCAAGAGCCTCGACGAGCGCTACGGTGCCGAGTTCCTCTCCCGCGATCACGTGGCCCTGGTGACGCTGGCCCCAGAGCTGAAGGGCGCCTTGCCCGCCATCGCAGAGCTGCGACAGCGTGGCATCACCGTCTCGGCAGGCCATTCGTCGGCCAACATCCAACAGGCCGTGGCCGGCGTCGACGCTGGCATCACCATGCTTACGTAAGTGTCTGTATGAGTTGAGTGATAGGTGTTGATCGTTTTGCATGATGTTGCTGCAGCATTGACAAATGAACTTGGAGTTCTATTTTTTACCAGTCCAATTTGAAATGTGATGAAGCTGGCATGGGTGAAATAATTGACGAATTATATCGTTCATAGATGGCGTGATGTACATTTCCATATCAACCTTCTTCCTTCAGTATTCTTGGCCTTTTCAGATATTCCGTCATCCCTTTGTAAGATATTCACATTGAATCAAAATCCAATGTTGCTCTTCATATTACGTCAACATACAAAGGATTCAAAGTCGCGACCTTCATTCTCCCATGAATGGAATGTTTGACAATCGCCATACAATGCCCATGCATCGATATTTTGTGTGCTGTTTGACCAATGTCGCACTTGTAATAATTTTAATATAGAAATACCTAAATTTTGTTTACTAAACTATGGCCCAATCTTGTTATATCAACAACTAATGTATCTGATCGTCTAATGGTTCAAACACTTAGGCACTTGTTCAACGCGATGGCGTCGTTTCATCATCGAGACCCAGGTCTTGTGGGTCTACTGGGCGAAACTGGCCCCCGTCCATACTACGGGTTGATTCTCGATGGCATCCATTCGCACCATTCGTCGTGTCGGATTGCACAGGCGTCACATCCTCAAGGCCTGGTGCTGGTCACCGACTGCATGGCGGGTATGGGGCTGCCAGACGCGTCTTATGAACTGGCGGGGCTCAAAGTCGACGTTAAACACGGGCGCGCGTACCTCCACAACACGACCACCATCGCCGGCAGCGTGGTCCAAATGGACTCGTGTATCCGCACGTTGATCGAGTTCACCGGCTGCTCGGTCGAGTACGCTTTGGAAACGGCGACGCTGCATCCAGCGCAGTCGCTTGGCCTGACCACCAAGGGAACCCTCGAATTCGGCGCGGATGCTGACTTTGTGCTGCTTAACGACAAGCTCCAAGTGATTCAAACGTACATCGCCGGCACGCTCGTGTACGAACGGCCCGAAGCAGATGACGTGGAGCTCCCGACGGTGAAATCTTCTTTCCCGGTGGCCATGACCCATTTTGATTTGGACGATGATCGAGCGATGGACAAGGCCGCCGCGTCCGGCCAGCTCCATCTCGTCCAGCAGATGCACGCCCGCGGCCGCAGATGCACAGTCCACGCCATGGACGGCGCGGCGGCGAATGGACATTTGGACGTGGTGACGTTTCTCCATGCGACCCGCAACGAAGGGTGCACGACCAACGCGATTGACTTGGCCGCGAGCTATGGACATGTAGATGTGGTTAAGTTCTTGACCGAAAACCGCCAAGAAGGCCGCACGAATTACGCGTGGAAGGCCGCCAACGAACATGGCCACCACGACGTGATTGCGTATTTGCTGCAACACGGTGAAGGGGAACGAAAGGCGATCCCTTGAACCAACTAACTCGTAACGTCTGAATTAATATATATATATATGATGTTTAACATCACAAGATTGCGTTCACGTTAAAACGAATGGAATGAATAGGTGGTGAAAATCCGCGAAAGTTGTGTTGGCTCATGCGCTAACGTCGATTTCCAATTTAAGTGACATACTTTGGAGTTGGGAAATGTGAGGAATGGATAATTGAACAGGAAACACAGGTCTTTCCAACAAGCACTGAAACATCTCTTTTCACAGTATCTATCATGTCCTTATGTCCCATTTTCTAAGCAGAAATACCTCAAACGTAGGCGACAATTTAAGAGACATATTTTAAGCTTGATCGTAGTATTGATCTATGCATATATTTGTTTGTGGTTAGGGTATACTCGGAGTAATATTCTGTCAGGTACATATGCAACCTCAACAGGTTATGTATTTATAGAGCCAATTGGTTCACTGATTTATATATAACACATGGGATCAAGAAGAACATTTATTTAAAGAGGTATTTCTACACAAATTTCAAGGTGGGTGATTGGCTGAATCCGAAGTCCATTACTCCGGAGTAAATTGTCCCATGTCTCTAAAATTGGAAATCTAGGTATTTTTTTAGGAAAATAAGCCGTAATAACGATAGAACTGGACGAGCCCAACAGATGTATACATCGCACTAACGTTAGTATATTGGCTAATCGGAAATACAAAGATCAAGTGAAATATTGTCGATTTGATATGGTGCATTGAGATCTGTCGATTCTACGTCTCAATTTGCTGAAAATTTGAGTAATGAATATGAAATAGAAGTCAGAAAATTTTGTGAAAAGTTGGTTGTTTATAGATGACGTGCACCATAAAAATTTGGGGAGGGGGTGAAATCGAATCAACCAAACCGATCCACAATCGATCTGATTGGTTGAATTTCATTGAGATGGTTTTTATTGGCTAATAATTTTGAGCTCATCTCAGGTAGCCAATCAAATCGATTTAAATTCCAACGAGAAACCACGCCACAACACGAAATTTCACTAGAAAGCACAATAGATATTTGTGTATACCCGTACCGGTATGATTTTTCTGCCGCCCAAGTTAGTTACTACGTAGTACATTGTGAACGCGAGGACCCCACAATAGTAGTTATTATGTCTGGGAAGATATTGCGTACGGTACGGCTTGACAGTGAGCAAAGGTGTATGAAGAATGTTGATCGTTGAAGTCAATGAACGAACGACCTGGCAGTCTGGGTGCATGATGAGGGTGGATCAATTACGAGCGGCGGGGCGATGTTTCTTGCTGCGGAACGATATCCTCGTCAGTATTGCCGACATAGCTTGTCTCGTTGCCACCGCACTTTGCTCTAATATGGAGGACGGGTACTACTACTGGCATCTTCCTGTTATCTTAGGAATCGGAAGAAAATGACCCAACTATCGTCATACGCATCGTCGCGTTCTGATTGGCCGAATGCTTAAAACAGAAAGGGCAGTTGGTGCCCATTTCAAGATTGCAATGGGAGGCGGCAACCACTACGGCGGCAACAAGGGTCGAGGACGGGGCTTGTCAGCAGCAGGGCCACATCGAGGAGGGACCGGTGGTCGGTCATCTCGCCCCATGGATATGTCTGTCGACTTGGATTTTGCGCTTCGGCGCAAGGAGCCATTCAGTCGTATTCATGACATGATAGCGTTTATGGCGGCATTGGACAACGCCCCCCCTGCTGTCATCAACGAGTTCCTCATGCTGTTCACGCGCGAACCGCACATCACCGACAAACTCACGTGTATTCTGGAACTCCGTTTCACCCCCTCGACGTTTCAGCAAGTCGCGAAGCCTCTGTTGGCGCTGCTGGCGTCCACGACACTGGTGCATTCGCCCCATGCATCCGACGTTCGAGCGGTGCTGCGGCTGGTGTGGTCGTGTCCGCTGTTTTTCAAACGCACGATGGATTGCCTAAACGACCCGCAACTCTTATCCGACGTCAAGCACGACTCTGCACCACACTTTGCGGCGTTGCTTCTGTTGCTCGTCAAGAAACTCCCGTCGGTTGTCCCGTTAGACGACATGTGTTACGACCTCCTGGGGCGGTTCCGAGACTGGGGCCATCAGAATCTTCCAACGACGTCGGGTGTCGTCGCCATGTTGAACGAAGCCATGGAATTGTGCGAAGAATTTGTTCCATCCCGGGCTCCCCACGACAAAGGTATATGTCGAAGAAGCAAAGTACAGATATTGCTACAATTTCGAAATGTCCCAATCTATCGACTATAACAGTGTTGTATTGTCCTTTTACCCCAATATTGGACTTTTGTGCATATTTGCCAAATCTATCAATTCTTTGTCCTGACTTTTGTATGTAAAGATCGTCCAGTATCACACTAATTTTAATCACACACTATTTCGGTGTTGAACCGTCGATGATTGGCCACTTGATTCATGTTCTCGGTTTTGATTGGTCGATCGATTTTCTGCCAACTTGGTGGCCAATTTCGAATCGACAATACCATACATAGTATTATGTTTCGATGCCCATTACACTATTTTTGTTTTTTCTACACCAATTCCTTCCATAACGTAAGTGATGATTCTCCGCAGCTATAAATCCGTGTGCTGATGATAGTGTTCGAGTTCGTTTTTGTCTCCAGTGATTATTGAACATAACACCTCACATTAGTATGGCATGTAGTAGCGCCAGCAGCCCCAAACTACTTCGTGGACACGACGCCACGGCCAGTTCGGCGATTTGTGGAGGATGGCGACACAGCCATCGGGCCTCGCCACGACAACGACAAGCCCAACGTCGACGACATTCAAGTGCTTCCCACTGACGACGAAATGCGCTGTGCCGAAGAGCCGTACTTGCCGCTGCATCCCGACAGCCCGTCGGACGCTGGTGCCCACGTGTCGTTTCACTTTCGCGCCATGCGGGAAGACGCGTTGGCGCAGATGCGACGGGGTTTGCAGTGGTGGCTGCACCCGTCGACGGACCGATTCGTTCCCCCCCCACGACATTCGGATAAACCTCGCTTGAATGTCGCCGTCCAAGTCTCGTTGCGGCAAGTCCACGGGTCGATTCACAAGGGCGTGCTCTTTCAGGTGCGCGGGCCACAGCCGTGGCCACATGAGACCAAAGCCAACTTGACGGCGCTGTGGGAACGCGACCGCCGGTACGCGGTCGGGTCGTTGGTGTGCATTGCCACCGAAGTGACGATGCCGCCGGAGCCAGACGCTGAGCCGGGGCGCGATGCGTTTCCACGACGGGCACCGCTCGCGTGCCACTCGCTCGTGTTTGGCACCGTGGCCGTACGCGACACCGCTCTGTTGGTCGACCCCGACGGCTTTTGCATCAGTATCAAGCTCATTCGCCCGACTGAAGTCCCGCGCATCATGCGCGCCATGTCGCATGGCCTGAATGTACTGCTTGAGGTGCAGAATTCGTTTTTCACGGGCTACGAGCCGATCTTGCGGTCGCTGCAAGCCCATGACGTGGCACCCCGGCTGCGCGAGTGCCTCTACGGCACGGACCCCGCCGCGACGTGGACCCAGCGCCCGGCGTACTTGACGCGCACGCACTTGCAGCTGCAGTGCCTCGTGCACCCCGACCATCAACACGACGTGAACCTGCGCCAGGTGCCCGCGGCGTCCAAGGACGGACTGGCGGCGCAGCTGCGGGCTGTGATGGACAAGCTGGTGCTGGACGCGTCCCAGATTGACGCGTTTGCGGCGGCCATGACCCAGCAAATGTGTCTGATCCAAGGCCCCCCCGGCACGGGCAAAAGCTACGTGGGCACGCGCATCGTGGACGGCATTCTGGCGCAGACGGGGGTGACCGTGGGGCCGATTCTCGTCGTGTGCTACACAAACCACGCGTTGGACCAGTTCCTCGAGGGATTGTTGGACGATCACATTGTACGACCTCTGGACATTGTCCGCGTGGGAAGCCGCAGCAAGTCGGCACGTCTGGACGAATGCACGCTGTTTCACTTGCGGAAGATGGAACACTTTGCTGGTCCCACGCGGCTCGAAAGCGCGACGCACGGCAAACTCGTCCGGACGTGCCGGGAGATTGAAGAGCGAACGTTTAGCTCGTTTCACCAAGATACGGCGCTGGCCAAGTTTTTGCAATGGCTGGCGCAGTCCAAAACCGAAAGCTTTGAGGGCATTTGCGGCCCCGTGGACGACGAAGATGGATTTCGCGTCCAAGGCGGACACAAGGCCCAAGAAAAGCTGTTTAAGAAGTGGGAGCAAGGCGGCAAGGGATGGTCATCGACGATGTGGAAGATGAACAAACCCGGACGACAAGCACTGCTCCGTCGCTGGCGCCACGAGTTCGTCGAAACCTGCAGTCGGCGGGCCCTGCAGGACTTTGACGTGTACCAAGAATGCGTGACGAAAGCGGCGGAGATTCAAACAGCGCAAAACCTCCGGCTGCTTGGACGAGCCAAGATTGTCGGTATGACCACCACCGGATGTGCGTTGAATCAGGAGCTGGTGCGATGCTTGGCCCCCAAAGTGGTGCTGTGCGAAGAAGCGGGCGAAGTGCTGGAGGCGCACTTGCTGTCGTGCTTGACGGCGGCCACGGAGCACGTGATTCAGATTGGAGACCACAAGCAACTACGGCCGTTGGTGAGCGAGTTCAAACTCAGCATCGATGCCAACAATGGGTTTAATCTGGACGTGTCGATGTTTGAGCGACTTGTGCAAACTGACGGTAACGTTACTTGTGTGTTCCTGCAGTCTGATCACATATATACTGTACTAGTATATATACACTATGCACTTCTTTGGATGAGAGTTATATTATACATGAATTGTAACATACTAGTATATACTATTAATAGTATATATACACCGGATTGTATTACAGTAACGTTAGGGTTAATAAAGTACAACTACGCAATACTACAGTAGTGTATATTTCGGTTACAACTGTACTATGCATGCCTATATATTAGTATACTAGTATATATTATTATACTAGTATATATTAGTATACTAGTATATATTTATTTACTGTATATGGACTTTGCTAGGATTGTAACGAGTTGCGATGTCGAAGCGTATCTTTTGAACATAGATTGGATTGTGAACCACATGTACTGGATTGCCCAGTGTTTGTATATACTAGAATATATATATATATCCCATGGGTTGTAAAGTGAACTAACAATGAATGCATGCAATCCAAAGTAGCGCCGGTGGTGACGCTGAACACACAGCGCCGCATGTCGCGAGACGTGTGCGACCTCATTCGATGGACGATTTACCCGACGTTGGAAGATGCCCCGAACGTATTGCAGTACCCGGCGGTGCTTCGGGGGTTTTCGCACTCGCTGTGGTTTCTCGACCATTCGTTTCAAGAGAGTGACAAGGACGGGTCCAAGACCAACGCGGACGAGGCGAGTATGGTCGTGGAGCTGGTCCAGTACGCGCTGCGACAGGGTTTCTGCGACGTGGCGGTGCTGACACCGTACTTGGGCCAGCTGGTGGTGCTGCGCAATGAGCTCAACACCAAGCACGTGTGGACCGAATTGGGCGAAAAGGACGAGGAGGACGTTCTGGCGCTGGACACTCGCAGCGTTGGGGACGACACAAAACAACCGTATCGCATGGCGATGAAAAGCTTGAAAAACTGCGTCAAACTGGCCACGGTGGACAACTTTCAAGGCAACGAAGCCGAGCTCGTGATTGTGTCGACTGTGCGCTCCAATGCGAGGGGCAGCGTTGGCTTTCTCAAGATTCTGAACCGCGTCAATGTCATGCTGTCGCGCGCCAAGCATGGTAGACCCCACGAACAACCTTTCATATATCTTGGGGTATTTACTAACTGTGAATAAACCGCAGGAATGATCGTGCTCGGGTCGGCCTCCACCATCCGAGCCAACAGAAACGCCACCATGTTCAACAATGTGCTGGACATTTTGGAATCGAAACAACTGTAGGCGGCCCCACGACCGATTTGGTTCCTGTAATGTCATATGTATCTGGATAGCATCGGGCCATCCATTGGCCTGACGTGCCAGAACCACAGCACTGCCACCCAAGTCGCCTCTGCCAAAGACATGCGACGGCTGGTGCCGGACGGCGGGTGTCGGCTGCCCTGCGATGCGCGGCTGCCGTGTGGCCATGTCTGCGCCAAGTGCTGCCACAGCGACGACCGAGCCCACGTGACCAACCAGTGTCGAGAAAAGTGCACCAAAGCGGTCGGCAAGTGTGGCCATTTGTGTCGTCTGCAGTGCTTTCAAGCGTGTGAGTGCCGAGAACTCCTACCCAGTGTCGATTTATCCTGTGGTCATATCGCAACCAACGTACCGTGCATCCATCGCGACACGATTCAGTGCAAAGTCAAGGTAACTTACAACTGAAATGATAAATGTTAACATCTATTGTGTTTACTGATCGCGATAACGTCATTGCGACTCCTACAGTTTACCCTGGTCCGACCAGATTGTGGCCACAACGTGGTGGTGGATTGCGCGACAGCCATCGCCTTTCGGGCTGCCACGTCACGAGACCAGCAACTCTCGGCCATCGGAGAACCCTGCACCGTGACCTGCGGCCGCACTCGCCCGTGCTCTCATACGTGCACTGCCCCATGCCATGCATGTGTTGAATCCCAGCAGGTAGAAAACGAAGCTGTTGTCACATGATTGGCAATAGCGTCTTTAGGACTCGGGCCAGCACGTGGGCGAGTGTACGCACCCTTGCAACCGCATGTTGATCTGCGGCCACGCTTGCGCTGCGTATTGCCACCCTGCGAACGAATGTCCGCCCTGTCAACTGGCCTGCAGTGCCTCGTGTATACATTCAAAATGCGCATTGCCGTGCAAAGAGCCCTGTGTGTCGTGCGCCGAGCCTTGCATGTGGACATGTTCCCACCGCCAAGAGCGCTGTCCCCTGCCCTGCGGGTCCCCCTGCATTCAGCTGCCATGCGACGTCCGTTGCCCCAACCTGCTCGAGTGCGGGCATCAGTGCCCCGGTCTGTGCGGGGAACCTTGCAACGTGCCGTGTCGGCACTGCGCCTCGGCCGATCTCAAGCACCAAGTGGTCGACTTGATTTTGCAGGTGACATTGGAAGACCACGACCCGAACGACTCGCCGCTCGTGGCGTTGCCGTGTGGTCACTCGTTTACAATTGAAACGTTGGACGGGTACTTGGAACTGGACAAGTACTACCGCAAACAAGATGGCGTCTGGACAGAGGTGGCGCCGCTGAGCATGCAACTCGTGGATGGACAGACCAATAAGTCGTGCCCGCAGTGCCGCCGTCCAATCGACCGCGTGAACCGATACGGCCGCATACTGCACTTCCACGAAGTGTACGCGTCGGAGCGGAAATACCTGCACAAGACGACGGAATTGGTGCTGCAGTCCCAACAGCGTCGACAGGAATGGACCACCCAACCAAATCCAGCGCATGCTATCGTACGTGTGTGTGAGACACTGTGGCCTTTGGATGTTTTTTGAGTTTGTCTGAGACAGTGTGCAATTTGATGGATGCTTGGTTAGATGTGGTTAAGGCAATTCACACGGCAAGCCATGGCGTGCTCGTCGCCTGGGGAAGCGATGGCTGTGAAGGAACGCCATTGCCTGGAACAGGTGCAGCAGCAGCAGGTCAACTTGAACACGTATCGAAACACGATGCAATCTGCGACAGAGTTGCTGTTGAACGTCGAGTTGTTGGAAGTGCACCTGGTGTGCGTCGCACAAGCATTAGCCGGCCCCAACACCATCAACGCTGTGGGATTAGTCAAGCGAGCCAAGGCGATTGAAGCGTCGAGTCGGGCCTTGTGTGCGGAGGTGTCGTCGCATCGAACGGAAGGGCAAGTGCTGGTGTTGGCGTTAAAGTTGCGTCTGCTTCTCGTGGGCAGCCCGGGCGACCAGTTTGCAGACAAGCCATCGATTGTGGATGAAATGAAGTCGTTGGTGGCTAGTGCGTCCAGCAGCACCCCCATCGAGTTTATCGTTCAAGCTACCAAATTGGTGGACGCTGCAAAAGTCCAACTGGACAAACTGCTGACCCAAGCAGAAAAGGACGAAATTTACAAAGTGTTTGCCGCCTCTAGTACGCACTGGAACTCTGGGTTTGGAGGTCACTGGTAAGAAGATTACTATCGGTTTGAGTGGACTGATTGAGGAGATTGGGCAGGTACCAGTGCCCGAATGGACATCCCTATGTGATCACCGAGTGTGGGGGCGCCATGCAAGTGTCGGCTTGTCCTGAATGCGGGGCGGCGATCGGCGGATCGAACCATGCCTTGTTGCCAACCAACCAAGCGGCCACGTCATTTTTCACGTCGACATGACAAATACATATGGAGAAAGCATGCGTGGAATACGTACATATATATTCTGTATTGCTGGATGTGTGTAAGCCCATGATTAGTCATGAATATATTAGTTGACGTAAACTACTATTTTAGCATTTACGTAGTAAAATAGTTCATCACAGCAGAGCTACGAAGAATATATCACATACTCAATGCACCGTTTTGGTTGGCACGACCGTGGCCATCACATCAGCATGGGCACTGGCGTACAATATGAGCTCCCCATGTGTGATACCGCGCCACAACGTTGTGTGGATCGGAAGGCGGGGGGACAGGGCGTCGGTTGCATCCTATCTCAACCGCCAAGTCGTCATATAAGTAGGAATACGATATGGTATACATGTATAAGTAGGAATACGATATGTTATACATGTATAAGTAGGAATACGATATGTTATACATGTATAAGTAGGAATACGATATGGTATACATGTATAAGTAGGAATACGATATGGTATACATGTATAAGTAGGAATACGATATGGTATACATGTATAAGTAGCAATACGATATGCTGATGTTTTTCAAACCTGTAAAACTCCGCGCTCGAGGTGGGCGTGGGCGCCGGGGGCGTCGATGATGCAGTCGTTCTCGGACAGAAATACACTGGCGACCACGTGGTTGGTGTGCGGATGGCGGGGCAAATGATCTGGAAACAACACCGTCTCATACCACGTCAAGTGCCGCCGCATGGAGCATGCAATCCCAATCTCTTGGCTCTAAAATTTATCCACACATGAGCAAAACATAATTAGCCACAAGACAAGACTTGGTCATGTATATATATATTAATATATACAAATCAGCCAACATCAACATATCATATATATATATATATATATCATTTCCCCACACAAGGATGCAGTAACGAGCTGGAAACTCGTTAAGGTGTCGTACTAGTATTGTGAATTAATTCGCTATAAGCGTCCAAAATTAAATCGCATGGTTTGTCTAATCAATATAGAATAATCAATATAGAATCACACACGAGTTTCATTGGTTGAAACATACTTGTCGTTTCTGTAAGAGCCAATCAAATCCACTCAAAATTCGTTTAGCGAATCGATGATATATTCGATCAGGAAATCGAATCCACAATATATGTATGTAGTCCACTTACAGCAAAGTACCACAGCAACAAGTTGAGACCGGTGGACGGGGCCTTGTACATGAGGTTATAAATCCCGTGGTGCTGCCAACACGCAAACACAACTGGGTCCACGAACGTCAGGTAGTGCACGAGATGGGGCCGCTCTTGGCACACCCAGCTCATGACGATCGTTCCGAAGGAATGGCCGACCCAGTGGACGGGCGCGGTCACGTTCTGCTCAGTCAACATGTCTGCGATGGCGTCAAGGACGTGCGCTTTATCTGGGACGCTGTCGTCTCGTAGCTGCATTGCAATGAACGGCAAGTCCAGCAGGAACACATGCCGGTTGGTCGTGCCCCCAAACATCGTGTGAAGCAGCGGAATGTAGGTTGGCAGGCCTGGTAAAACCCACACATGGTCAGCCACGACCGCACGTTTTAGAAGAAGAAGGAAAACTTGCCTATGCCAACCCCATGGACAAAGGCCAATGGCGGTAGATCAGTGGAGTGGTCTAGGGAAGATGGAGGACGATGCCAGTACCCCACTGCCCCCGTCACGTGATGGTGTTGAAATCCATGCCAGCGTAACCAAAACGACACGACGTAGTTGGCTCCTACATAGTGACGACGAACGTTCACAGAACGTTCTTTTGCGTTGATTGTACGAACCGATTGTGGCCATGTACAGGGCTAACGGACGCGCCGTGGCTTCAAACGGGTCGAGATTCGGCTGCAAAAACGGGAATGATGGTCGTTGAGTGTGCACAGAGCATTGAAGCGGTGCGATGGCGTGCAGCTTGGCAACTATGGCGTCGATTTCGCCGCGTTCGGCTGCGCTAGTGTCGTCGTAGGTCTTGGTAAAGAACACAAACGCACTCCACTTTGCCACGTCGAGCTTGGACAGGAGGCCATAACTCACTCCGTAAAAATGCTACGAAGTCACAACAGTGTAGGGAACATACTCGAGGAAGTACTACTGGGATGTACGTACCCCTTCCACGAACCGAGGCACGTCGTCGATGTGGGTCATCATCTTATCAAAGAATTCCATGGCCGAACCCACCGAATGATGCGGTCGGTTGGCATTCACGGCTTGGATAGTCGGTGGATTTGGATGCAACGCACCTGCCTTGGCCTTCTTGTGGAGATAATGCAACGTGAATACGCATTCTGCACACAAGTACACTATCAACGGCAGCGCCACCATCGAGCTTAGAATGGACTCGCCCGCCAGCCCCATTTGGTTGGCTATGAGTGCTGCCAGCATCACAGGACTGAGGTACACGATGGCTCTGCGCATGGATGAGGTCATTGTTTTACGCTACGCAGATAGAATGCGTTGCATACCTGATGGGAAGCACCACAAAGAGAAGGCAGAGGTAGTAGTCGACAGACTTGTGCATGATCAACATGCTTTGTCCGCGGACTGATTGTGGAATGTGATGCGTTCTGGACGGCAAAAACACTTCAAGAAGGCGGACGACGATTGCTCTTTACGGTTTCATGTGACAAGATCTTTGCAAAGGAGTTTATAACACAAAAACAAAGCATAAAACCTCTTGGTTTAATACTACCATTCCTGAAACCTAGTTTTAGTCTGGCGTCGTTCGTTTCTCTGGAGCTGCCAAAGTGTGCGATCTCGGCGCTCTGGACCTATCAACCACACGTTGCGCGACTTCAAGTCTCGGTGGATCACCTTTGGCGCCATCGAGATCCTCTCGGTAGAGGCCATTTATATTTGCACTTAACCAGTACTATAATAGGTACACCATTTTTCGCTGAACGTAAAAGTCCAATTTACTGTACTCGACTACTGTAATAGGAAAATCTCATTATATTTCAACAATATATTACATTAATAGTAATATATTGTTGAAATATAATGAGATTTTGCTTCATGTACTAGTACTATTAATAGTACTAGTAAATTATTAATACATGAAGCAAAATCCACGCAGTGTTCGGGAGTTAATCAAATATTATTAATAATACAAGTAGTTATAGTTCATTTTTATCATTCACACTACTACTTTGTCCACAAACAGTTCAAACAAGTGGTTCAATTTAAGATGTACCGTTTTAAGCTTAGTCTTTGTATCCTGATTTGCATATTTTTTAGGCGGTTAGGTTAAAATCTGCCTTTAAGGAATTGATTGGCAATTAATTCCTACTTCATAGTATAAAGGCAGATTTTAGAACCTTAAATTGGACTTTTACGTTAAGTTCAGTTATGTCGGGTATATTTCGTCTTACGCACAACTGATTCACGCCGTGTGCGTTATGTTCGCCGAACATTCGATATATTTCGTACAGACCCTACATCGTTGCAGTATATTTCGACTTATGTCCGGTATATATCACCCTCAGGCGGTATATTTTATACATTGTTCAATATTTTCCAAATATCTATTTCGATTTTAGATGAAAATCAAGTAAATCAACGCGCTTTTTCATCAGGCGCAACCCCCCATCTTTTCAGCAAGACCGTAGAACAACTTGAGCTACTGGGTGTAAGGGTGTAGATGATTCACGTCGTCGTCTCACTATATCTATGATTCAGACAAGTTCAAAACGCTTTCCACCACATCCGATTTACTAGTACTAGTAGTACTGTACTTGATTTTCATCTAAAATCGAAATAGATAACATACCATTTGAAATCTATTGCAAAACTTGTACTGGTAACATATATACCGGGCATAAGTCGAAGAAATAAATACACAGCAACGATGATGTAGGGTCTGGACGAAATACATCGTAAAATGCTTGGCGAACATAACAGAGATGGGGTGAATCAGTTGTGCGTCAACCAAACATACAGGAAATAACCTGAATTTAAACGAAAAATGGTGTATGTACGTATAGTGTACCACCAACTAAAACCTGTTGTCCATCAAAACACATTTGCCACTTATATATATATATATATATAAAGAATCCTATTTACTAGGGAAGATGATTCCATCTACCGCCGACGCAGTCGAAGGGTCCACACGAATCCCAGGAGCACGGCCAAGATGGCAATCACCAGCGTGTCTGTTTCTGGCACGACATCGGCTTGCACCAGCAGCGACACCATATCCATCCCCGATACAAAGCTCAGCACGAACGCCCCACTGCCCACGATCCACCCGCCCACGCGCTTCCACTGCGCCCACGCTTTGCGGTGGGCCACAGCCACCAACGATGTCACACATTCCGTCGGCGTCATCTACATCGTTCCAAACGTTTCAAACGAGAAATAAACGGATTATTTACATGTTGAAACGGCAACAACGCTTGATGCCATGCCAGCTTGTGCAGCGCCAGCGTCACCGGCACGTAGCCGTCGGGGTTGATGTCCAATGACAAGTCGTAATAGCGTTTCGCGAGCATGAAGTCCTGGGTCGTGCCTACTCCGTGTTCGTACATGTATCTACTCAAAGAAAAAGGATATTTCATCAACTCCGACAATCACGATATATATATATATATATATATACCCCAAGTTGTAGCTGGCTTGGCCGTGCTTGGTCGACGCCGCCACGTAATGCGCCATCGCCTTGGCAAAACTCGGCGTAGTGGACGTCCCGTACCCGTAATAATAAAAATCGCCCAATTTGACGTTTGCATCCACATTGCCCTGGGCGGCCGCCGCCTTGTATAGCCGAATCGTACCGTCCCCTAATCCCAGACTGGACGGCATCCCCAGCTGACTCTCCAACATCCACGCAGCGTTGTGCTGGGCCACTTCATAACCTTGTTCAGCCAATACAACGTACGTTCGGAACGCGGTGGTGTAGTCTCCCTATAGTGTCACATAAAACTTTCATTGAAGACGTTTGTTTCAAGATACAACTGTTCAAAACCGTTCCGTCGAAACGTTTATAAAACGTTTCCATCGACGTATGAAACATACAATTCAATCTCACACCAATCAAAACCTTTCAATTCTATCGTTAGTTCGAATGGTGATTATCGCCCAAAACAATTGTCACTTTTCGAGGATGGTTGAAATCACCACTACAAAGCAGTATGATTGGCTACAAAGTATGCAGGTTGCAATATGATTGGCTAAAACCGATGAATACTATGCACAACGATTCTACCCTCTTAAATGGCCATATATATCGTAAGTTTCGCAGGTCGGGCAGATTGATGGGCTTACTATCAACCACCCACCAGACGAAAGTACGAGTACAACTCACACAATACAAGTCGACATGGGCTTTTATATGACATATATCAACCTCCCACAATCATACAAAACCGCAGTTTATACAGCCATACATACAACCATCAACAACGATAGTTTACATATATACAATCCCCAACCACATATTGTGCGTTTGCCCAAAATATGGATTCGCCAAATCTATCGATCGATTCGTTGTACTTAATTTTGTATGTAGAAGAGTTGTCCTGTGGTGATTGGTATCACACTAATTGGATTCACAGACTAATTGAATTCACAAACTAATTGAAGTCACACACTAATTTGACGTTGATGGTGGTTTCCTGCAATCTGATTGGCTAAATCCTTCTGCCAATTCTTGTGTACATTTGGTTGGGTCGATTCATTCTCCATGTCGATCCAGTTTAGAATAAACAACTATACATATATATATGGATGGCTACAGTCCATACCTGGGAGAAACTCTGATATGCATGTCGTAGCTCTTGTTCCCAGTAACCTCGCTCCGCCACGGTTTTGAACGCATCAAGCGCCGCGCGGCAGGACCTGGCGACGCCAATCCCATGCATGGCCATGTGGCCCACCTTGTGCATGCTCTGCGTGTGTCCGTGCTGCGCCGCCACCTGAAAGTACCCGTAGGCCGCTTCAAAGTCGGGGCTCCCGTCGATTTGGAGGGCGCCCTGGAGCGCCAGCGTCCCGAGATTGTAGAACGCGTCGGCGTTGCCTTGTTTGGCGGCGGTCCGAAACAGGGTGATCGCCTTGACCTTGTTCTCTTTGGCGCCCCGTCCGTTCAAGTACAGTGTCGCAAGGCCGTTCTGCGACGCCGCGTTGCCTTCGTGCGCCGCTTCCTGAAAGTACGCGAACGCTTTCGACAAGTCCACGTCCACGCCAATGCCATTTGCATAAATGTGGCCCAAGTTGGCCGCCGCCGACGTCACGCCCTGAGTGTCGATGCATACACGAGCGATCGTGACGAGTTGAATACAATATATATATATATATATCAAAATCACGGATGCTAATGATTTATGGAGAGGCAGAAAAGAATTGTATAAACATGTACGAAAACCCATAGGTTTTTCGATAGAAGCCTCATTCAATGTATTGTTGATTTGATATACAAATTTGGGGATCGAATCGCGCCAACCAAACCGATCCACAATCGATCTGATTGGTTGAATTTCATTGAAAAGGTTTTGATTGGTTAATAATTTTGAGCTCATCTGAAGTAGCCAATCAAATCGATTTAAATTCCATCGAGGAACCACGCCACAACACAATGAACTTTCACTCGAAAGCACAATATGATGTGTACAAAGTTAAAGATCTACGTTTAGGTTGGGCCACCATCTGGTGGTCGATGATTGGTTGAAATTTTTCTCAATAGAGCAGTATTATTGGCTAGGAATAGAATTTCTCTTACCAAGTCGTGGGCTTTATGAAAGTACGTTGCCGCTTTCTTCACATCTTGCGTGACCCCTCTCGCGCCATAGTAATATAGCAGCGCCAAGTTTAACGACGCTTCGGGATCTCCCTTGTCGGCCGAGAAATGATAGTATTCCACCACCTAACCAAACAAATCCTTAGCCAACACACAAGTGACAACTCGTACGTCGACGTCGCCGGGCTGGTTCTTCTTGTGCTGGAGGTCCGCCTGGGTTTTGAGTCGCTTGTGGCGCTGGTCGTACAGCACCGGACTCAGCGAGTCCTCGTTCTCGCGGACTTCGATTGCGCGGTTCGCCACGACTTCGTAGTACCGCAGCGCGGCGTCGCAGTTCTTGGGCACGCCGTCGCCCATCATGTGCTTGTACCCGAGCGCCATGTTCGCAGCGAGGTCGCCGCCGGCCGCGGCAAAGTACAGGTACACGACGGCTTTGGCGTCGTTCGGGACATCGCCCCAGAAACCCGTGGCGTGGGCGACACCGAGTAGAAACTGCGCGCGCGCGAGACCCTGCGACGCGGCCAGCTCCACCAGAGGAAGACTGGCGTTGTGGCGAACCGTGGGATGGGAAGAGGACGTGCCGTTTCCGTAGAACTCGGTCAGTGCAGATTGGAGCAAGCGAGCGTGGTCCGATGGGTCCACCCCTGCAACAGCAACAGACTCGGCATGCTCTTGCCATGCTGAAGACGCCGAGGGTTGTGTGGATGCCACTTCGGCCGACGACGCGCCAGTACAGGACGTCGCCGCCGCGGCGCAAAAGAGGAGCGGACGGAGGAACTTCATGGGGTTACAGAGTGAGACAGGAATAGCAGGTGCCTGCGGCAAGCTAAGTATAGGACCAGACACCACGGCCACGTTAATGCAACCACGTGGACAGTATTTCCTAATTAGGGAAATCTAGTGCGAAATATCCCTATTTCATAGAAACGAGGATTTTTCAACCAATCAAACGATAGTGTGCAGAAATGACAAACAATCTCGTAATGTCCTCAATAAATCTCTACGATTGGCTAAAATACCTTCCACAATTGAAAAATAACATCCAATCAAGCGTTTCAAGAATCCAGTTATAGTTGGTATATAAATATGCCGTGTGTGTGGAAAACCCATCGCTGCATTGGGCCAGGGGTAACCTGTAGAGGTATCTAGTAGTACTGTGAATAGTATTGCACAACTTACTTCACTGATACTACAGGGTACTGTACTACAGGGTACTGTACACAGACCAATACTCCGAGTACAAGTGTATTACAGTACTACCGGTATAGGGACCAATTAGTATATTCTGTACTAATTTACTACTTGGGAGTACGTAGTACTAGAACTAACTAGTACAGTAAATCGTACTCGAGTCGATGTACCGTACTTACTGTATTGATGCACTTTCCTTGGATTCCATGGACACCCTGTCGGAGCATTCCGTTAATGTAGTCCAATGTGTACGATCCACGTACCCGTCTCATATCCAGGGGTGGCCCAGTGGCAAGATTCGAAGGCAGCGTGTCAGGGAAATCCACTGTCCTCACCCGATGAATTCAAACCCCTTGAGATGTGCCCTCGAATCTACCGGTACTAGTACATAACCTTACGAACCAATGATCGAATTCAGGGTTCGCTCCTACTGTACAGTGCACGGGCACTCCATTGGTCTGACGGATGGGCTGTGAGTCCAATGCCCATCGATTCCTCGTCGCTGTTGTATCGACCGACACACACGTCGACGGTACTGTACAGTATACCAGTACAGTAATGTATACTACCGGTAGTACTAGTACTAGTACTGTACTATTTCGTTGGAGTCGAGAGCCATGCATTGGGGTGATTTTTTGTCACCTGTCGGCTGGACGGCGAGGTCAAATCTGTTATTCTAGTGTATATTTCCCTAACCATAGCTAGGTTCCACTTTACATGACATAGGATACCGCAGAACCCGATCATCGACCCACAGTCCACAGTCCGGCCTTTAAACAAGTTCACATCATCGCAAACTTCCATGGCGGGTCCTCCGATTCATTCCCATTTTCGCCACCGTCGGCACTCTCATCCTACCCATGCGCAACGGCATCTGCGCGGCACTGCTGGCATACTGCATCTGGGGCTTCTCACCCTTGTACTGGCGGCTCCTGGCCGACGTGCCGCCAGACCAACTGGTCATGCACCGCATCGTGTGGTCGTTCTTGATTGTGTTCGTGATTGTTGTGGCGACGCAGTGGCAGGACTTTCGCCAGAACGCGCTCACATGGTCCAACCTTCAACTGCACGGCACGGCCGCGTACTTTATCGGAGCGAACTGGGCGCTGTTCGTGTGGGCGGTTAACTCTGGCTTTGTCGTGCAAGCCAGTCTGGGCAACTACATCTTGCCGTTGGTCACGGTGCTTTTGGGTGTGGTCGTGCTACGCGAACACCTGCGACCGTGGCAATGGTTCGCGATTGGTCTGGCCGCTGTCGGCGTCGTCGTCGTGTCCATTGGGTATGGCGTCGTGCCGTGGATTTCGTTTGCGCTCGCAACCACCGAAGGCATATATGGCCTCTTCAAGAAGAAAGCCACGCTGCCGTCTCTGCAAGGCGTGGTGCTCGAAACGGGCGCGTTGTTTGTACCGGCGGTCGCCTACCTCCTGTACGCTGAAAGCCGGGGAGTTGGCTCGTTCGGCCATGGAACTATGGGCAAGAATGAGCTTCTCTTCGGAGCTGGCATCATGGCCACGTCGTCGCTGGTCTCGTTCGGGTATGCGGTGCTGCGCATTCCGCTCACACTCACGGGCGTGCTACGGTATATCACGCCGACCATTCAAGTGTGTTTGGCAGTGTTTGTGTACCACGAACCGTTCTCGACCGTCAACTTTGTCGGGTTTGTCCTGCTGTGGATTGCACTGGCGATCTTTTCCGTGCAAAGCTACTTCAAGCATCAACAAGAGATGCGGCGAAAGACCCAAGTGTCGCTGCTCTCGACTGCGTCCACGCAAACCGTGTACAAAAGCGTGTAGTAGTTAGTATGTAGTAATAGTACAAATGTAGTTCACATAGAATAGTGTATGTAGTACATAGTACTAACGATATGTAACGTAGTAGAACTCGTCACCCATCGTCTTGTCGATACTTCACACAATCATGGGGATTGGACAACTACGGCAGAAGTACAGACTCGGTACATACTATATTGACTTCAATACGTATCAATAATGACCCCTTCAAGTGGTTGTTGCTGGGTCGCTGTTGACATGGATAAACAAGTAGTCATGAGCTAATGCTTTGTGCAATGAATGAATGATAATCAATGTATTAGTACATAGTGCGACTTGCTTCAGCGTTTTAAACGTTAACTTTAGGAGTGTACAGAATATGGATTGGAAGCTCAACATCCCACGAAGGTTATACGTTGATGATTGTCTTCATTCAATTTGCAACTATTGTACTTTATCTGAGCAGTCCCACGGCCATCATGACTTCCCGCAGATAGTTATTAATAGCAAATCAACCAAGCTGACCACCGCCTTTCACAACTTCGAAACGGCAACATCTATTTTTAGATTTGAGTGGTCATTTGGCAGAACGAAGAAACCGCCGCACCATTCTGCGTTCTTTCAATGAAACTGCAAAAAAATGCTTGACGGCACGCTATACTTTACAACTTACGTCGATGACTGATCGAACTCGTGGCGTGATGAATGGCGCGGTGGCGTACGTGATCTGGGGCCTCTGTCCGGTCTACTGGAAGCTCCTTGCGACGGTCCCTGCCATCCAGTTGATTGCGCACCGCATCGGGTGGTCGGTGCCGCTGCTGGTGCTGATGCTGTCCCTGCGGGGGGAGCTCCATGTCGTCGCCGCCGCCGTCCAAAACAGACGCACCATGGCCACGTATGCTCTGTCCGCGTCTCTCTTGGGGGTCAGCTACTTCGTCTGTGTGTGGGCCGTGAACGCCGGCTTCATCGTGGACGTGAGTCTCGGCATGTACATCAACCCGCTCGTGAGCGTGCTGCTGGGCGTGTTCTTCTGCAAAGAGACCCTCAATACCGTGCAGTGGCTGGCCATGGTGCTCGCGGCGGCGGGAATGCTCGCCATGGCCATCGACTACGGCAAGTTTCCGTGGATCGCGTTCACGATTGCTTTGGACTTTGGCTTGTACGGGCTAGTGCAGAAGAAGGCGCCGCTGGGGGCGCTGCCAGGTGTAACCATCGAGTTCGTGCTGCTCAGTGTACCGCTGGTCGTGTACTTGTTGGTCGTGGACCAGCAGGGCGACGGGGCCTTCGGGCACACGGGCGCGGCCCACGACTGGCTCATGGCGGGGCTCGGAGCCACCACGGTGGTGCCCCAAGTGATGTTTGCCGCGTCGGCACAATCGATTCCGTTGAGCATTTTGGGCATTTTGCAGTTTCTGGGCCCGACCATCTCGGTGCTGCTGGGGGTGTTGGTGTATGACGAAGCGTTTGGCACTGTCAAAGCCCTGTCGTTTGGCCTCGTCTGGCTCGGTCTGATCTTGTTCACGTCACAGAGCTATCACCAAATGAAAGGAGTTGAATTGATGCAGTGGGTGGCAATAACTACCCCACCTTCCGCCATGATGTACCCAATCGATACTGAAGCCAGCCGTTCGACTGAACTGGTGGTGAATGTAGTCTAGGCAGGTAAAATGCAACGCTAGATCCCGATAAAACTTTAGATATTCCTGAATATTTAAATAATTTAAGATAGATCCCGACTCTTATGCATCGTTAACAATCCTGACGAAGAACTACCAATTGGTCTTGAGTGGCATATGAACATAATAAGAGTCGTATTGCACAAGATATATTGCTTTGCCTCTTGAGATACCTCATTGGGGTTTCTCGGGGAACCTACCCTGTGGAAGTCAAGATCTCAAGTTTCAATTAGCCGTCGCTGCATGTACATGTCCGAAACTAACAACCAATATCAAATCATGTGAACTTGTATTAGCTGCATTAGAGACACTCGTAACATTACACTACATTCAAAGCAGAATGCGACTCTACGGACTTGTCGTCTACTGCCGCGATATACTCCGCAGCGGATAGTCGCACCGATGACACGACCACTAGTTCCAACGATATCGGTTGTTCCACCTTTGGGGATCGTACAGACTGCGTCGTGAACAAAATCAGACCGAGCCAGACGAGGCCAAACGACAGGGCTTTGACAGTGCCAAACGCTTCGTCATACACCAACACCCCCAGCAGCACCGAGATGGTCGGGCCCAGAAACTGCAAAATGCCCAAAATGCTCAACGGAATCGATTGTGCCGACGCGGCAAACATCACTTGGGGCACCACCGTGGTGGCTCCGAGCCCCGCCATGAGCCAGTCTTGGGCCGCGCCCGTGTGCCCGAAGGCCCCGTCGCCCTGCTGGTCCACGACCAACAAGTACACGACCAGCGGTACACTGAGCAGCACGAACTCGATGGTTACACCTGGCAGCGCCCCCAGCGGCGCCTTCTTCTGCACTAGCCCGTACAAGCCAAAGTCCAAAGCAATCGTGAACGCGATCCACGGAAACTTGCCGTAGTCGATGGCCATGGCGAGCATTCCCGCCGCCGCGAGCACCATGGCCAGCCACTGCACGGTATTGAGGGTCTCTTTGCAGAAGAACACGCCCAGCAGCACGCTCACGAGCGGGTTGATGTACATGCCGAGACTCACGTCCACGATGAAGCCGGCGTTCACGGCCCACACACAGACGAAGTAGCTGACCCCCAAGAGAGACGCGGACAGAGCATACGTGGCCATGGTGCGTCTGTTTTGGACGGCGGCGGCGACGACATGGAGCTCCCCCCGCAGGGACAGCATCAGCACCAGCAGCGGCACCGACCACCCGATGCGGTGCGCAATCAACTGGATGGCAGGGACCGTCGCAAGGAGCTTCCAGTAGACCGGACAGAGGCCCCAGATCACGTACGCCACCGCGCCATTCATCACGCCACGAGTACGATCAGTCATCGGAACCATCGTCGTGGTGGTGGAAATGTAAAATGGCTATAGATGGATTGTGATTTGTAAAATAGTGGCTATAGATGGATTGTGATTTGGGTTGGAAAGGCATATGACGAGTATGCGGGACGACCCGTGGCTTAAATTAGACGTAACCTTGCATGTGTGATTGCTTGTTCAAACAACTTTTGTACATAAATGTCTACTATTAATACTCCGAGTAGTATGAAGGGGACGATGAGCAACTACAGTATACTAGTACTATAATTAATATTATAGTATTATTAACCTAGTAGTAATAGTACTACGGACAAGACCTATGGACCTGTGGACTTGGGGAACCAGCAGTTACTTAGCAGTTTCAGATATTTTTCCCTCGTTTTAAGAGCATGGCCTTGCCGGATGTCGATATTCAAATGACGTGGCAGCGTGAAAACGGCCCACGACAACTTGAACACAGTTGCCTTCGAATTTCGACAAATTTCGAAGTTCGTAGAATTACAACCACGAGTTTCGCCCCACATTATTGTGTCATGGCGCCAGCGTTCGACTTGTTCCGGTACGGGGCGGACTCCGTGTCTTTCCGTTCATGGCTCGTCTGAACATGCATTAGGAAAGTGCCGGAAGACTTGCAGACGACCTCCGTGTCGTCGGGCATCTTCACGCTGCTCACGATCGTGGTCATGACGTACCTAATCGTGGCCGAGTACATTGGGTACGCGTACTCGTCGTCGAGCTTCGTGTCGAGCGTCGTATTGGACTCCCATCAAGAAGATCTGTTGCGGATCAACTTCAACGTGTCGATTCCCGCGATTCCGTGCCGGCATTTGTCCATCGACTTGAGCGACCACCTCGGGCTCCAGTTCACCAACATCACGCGCCACATTCAGCGCATTTCCCTCGTCCAGACCCCAGACGGGTACTGTACTTCTCCCCTCCTCCACCATCCTGACGTCATATCTCACGTTACATCTCATACCTGTCACCAGGACTCTCGCACGACACAAGGAAGTGTTCATGGCCGAAGCAGTCGCCGCGTGGGGGAACGTCGGCCACGTCCTCCACGCCGGCGAGACGATCACGCCGCTCCTGGACACGACCACGTTCGACGAGTACATGACCAAGTACGACCTCGTCCTCGTCAACTACTACGCGCCGTGGTGTCCGTACTCGCAGGCGCTTCTACCCGTATGGGAAGCTACGGCGTTGCAACTGCAGGATCACCCCGAGTACGCCGAGCGCGTGACCATGGCTCGCGTCGACTGTACCCAGGACAACTCGGTGCAACTCTGTCGTCGGGCTCGTATCATGGCGTTCCCTTCCATGATGGTACACGTTGTCCCTAACTATTCACAGAGATTGGCATTGTTTTGTAGCTTTCTGCAAAAATCTATTTTTTTCTTTCGATCGTATGATATATATATTGCATATCAGTGTGGGTTTGAATTTTATTTAAATGCAAACCATATGGGTCTTTCAATCGCATAGATATGATATCGAAAATGTTAGTTTGGGATGAACACAATAAAAATCGAGGCTTTGAAAACAAATAATAATATTATTATTGTTCTTTTCAGCCAAATTTGCCTATTTTGGGGGATTGATGAAATCGCCAACGAATCGAGCAAACGAGTATGATTGGCTACAAAGAATGAAGGTTGCGATATGATTGGCTAAAAAGATTGATTGATGGATTGCAGTCATATACCTCTTCAACTTCGTTTTATATAAAATTTCGAAGGTCCGGCGATTGTTCGGCGGTTGCTTCAACCAATCGCCATAGGACATATAATACTTGGTTTCACCTCGTTTTTAGCCCCTGGTTTGATTTCACCTCTCGATCGTACTAATTAGTATATATATATATATATATATATATATTATATACTGACTGTGAGACAAAAATATTATCATATTTTGGGTAAAACAACCCAATTGCTGTGAGGACACCAATGACCATGACTCTGGGTAGATTTACATGTTTGGCAGAACGTTCACTCGATACATTTACAACGGACCTCGCAATCCCGAATCTCTGTTGCTATTTCTCGACTTGTTTTACCGGCGGTTAAATCCCGACGGGGACTTGGCCGAAGAAGTGCTGCCTGATTTTGGCACTCAATTGGGTCTTTTGGCCACGGATGACTCGGACGATGATGCAAATGAAGGCTGCGAAGTGTCTGGCGCGCTGTCCGTGCAGCGTGTGCCGGGTAAGTTGTCATTCAAAGCGGCCGCCCCCGACACTTCGTTTGATCTGTCACATATCAACACGAGTCACCACGTACGATATATATATATATATATATTGTGATTTATAAGTACATTCCTGGGCTCTAAAAGATATGAATATCTAGGTCAACCATTTCTCATTTGGACAGTTCAAATCTGCCGAGCACCGCCTTGCCTCCCATGGGCTCGTTGCGACACAGTACCCCCTTGATAAGAAAAAATTCCACGCCCAAAATATTAATATTACGATCGAACACTATATTAAGGTAAGGACAAAAACGTCGTCACACACCATTTTCCCTTTAGTTTGTCGTCGTATTCCTTGTCGTCCAAAGCCAATGGCTAACGACCATGGCTTATATATAGTGTGAAATTTATAGTCTTATAGTTTTTTTTTCGATATGTCCTTTGACCTTGTTTCAATAGCGCCGCCCTTTTGCTATGAATTTGATCAATTATAGTGGGATATATTTGTATGCTATGAATTGTATCTGGTTTATCCAAATACATATAAATCGAGGATGTCGTGTCCACCATACTTGTATTTGTATTTTCCACCAATGAAACTCTGCCACGTGAATCTCGTTTGAATCGATCGTAACGTTGTTTGTTAATATATATATATATATATATATATATATATATACATCCATCATCCATTTCGTTTCAACTAACCCCATATGACACACATAAATAGATTGTCGGGGTCGACCGCATAGACGACTCTAATTTTTTGCTCGACATGCGGTCCCGCGAGTACGAGTTTTCGGTGACGTCCAACCAGTACAACGCGTCGGGAGATGTGCCCGCAGCCGTCGTGACCTATGACGTGGCGCCCCTTGTGATCGAGCTGCGTCCGTACCACGTGCCGCTGTTCCGGTTCTTCACATCCTTCTTTGCGATCGTCGGGGGCGCGTACACGATCCTCAAAGTGGTCGACGCCGGCGTCTTCTTAGCCCTCAACTCGATGCAGAAGAAGGCGCAACTGGGCAAATTGAGTTAGACGACGACCTACGAGTGTAAACATGTGTACATTTATATATCATGTACGACACACACGACGGCATGCTGGTATAGTAACAACAAGTACTGGACGTCCAAAGCAATGGGCAGAGTGCTTGTTACACTACATAGTAGTAATAGGTAGTACGAGTCTGTCGATATACGTACTACGGCAGCGTTTGAAACTACAGTAACCAGCGTCACATAACAGTACAAAAAGTACAGTTTTGTGTTAAGAGCCTGTCTGGTAATATTTCAAAAATATTATACCATTTTTTGACAAAATGCCATTTTCAAAATGGAGGTAAAAGGTCCATTTTGGAATAATTATGGCGTTTTAAACCTCTTAATCCCACTTGGAATTATTGGGATTTGGGTTAAGGGCTCCTCTGGATACCATGTCAAAAAATTATGCCATAAATGGGTTTTGAGATTTAGCACTTTTTGACCAAAATACCAAAAAACATTGTTTGAGAAACCGTCTGGATCCACATGATGAAACTGTCATGTCGCTGAAATTTGATTGCGCGCGAAAGTTGCACGCATATCGAAAGGTTTTGATGAAGGCATCCTCGTTGCCTTCGAGCATTTCAGACACCCACATGGCCCCAGTCAAGACAGAGACGCGTTTGGATGTCTTCAGCAGGTAGGCTGAATAGTGGTATGCCATGTACGCAACCATGATCCATCGTCGGCGTCGTCGAAGGCGCTGTTGGAGCACATATAGTTGTAGCATCGGCCTTGAGGGTGGCTATGGTTGAGCTGGTTGCCAGGCGGGCCCTTAATATTAGGTTTCGACGGAGCACAACTAACTTTTGGCAAATGTGTGAGAACTGTGCATATGTATACCAGGTACGTATGTATACCGGTAGTAGTTTGCTAGAACTATCTATACACGGCAATGCGATTGTTATCTTAACCATACGTACAACACAAAAGGTCAGCTAGCCAAGTCAATTGGTTACATGTGGTCTTATGTCCTTATATGTCAAGGGTGTACAGTATATATATGTTATATATGACCATCCTCAGAGGCGGAGGTAGGTCAAACCGGCAAGAAAATGTTTGAAATGTACCAATACGTAGTTCTTATTCCGTATTTCGTTCACATGTGCGTGTTGTAGATGTGATGGTCCAAGGACAAAACAGGTTGAAAGGAAGCACACTAGTTACTACTGGGGACGAAAATGCAAAGCAGTGGCCAAGGCTGCGAGTTGAAATCACTTGAGATCCGTAGTACTTACTGCATCTGTCGACATATATATGCAGGCAGTTCGTGTTGTGACACAGCTTATGTAAGGGTGCGTCTGGTAACATTTCAAAAATAATATTCCATTTTCTCGCAAAATGGGATCGTCTGGTAACATTTCAAAAATATTTTTCCATTTTCTTGAAAAATGGGATTAGCCCAAAATGCCATTTTCAAAATGGAGGTAAAAGGTCCATTTTGTAATATGGCGTTTTGGACTTCTTCAACGAGTACTGTAAATCCCACGTGGAATTATTGGATTTGCTTCCAGCAAGACATGTTTCAATTTTGATCAGATTTGTTGAATTCGGCCCTAAAATGGCGCTTTGGGCCTGAATATTGCAATATTTCCGGTTACCAGACGAACCCTTAACCAAAATGCCATTTTCAAAATGGAGGTAAAAGGTCTACTTTGTAATATGGCGTTTTGAACCTCTTTAACGAGTAAATCCCACTTGGAATTATTGGATTTGGGTTAAAACTCTTCGAACAAGACATGTTTCAAAATTGATCAGATTTGTTGAATTCGGCCCCAAAATGGGGTTTTGGGGCTGAATATTGCAATATTTCCGGTTACCAGACACACCCTAAACTAACGATATACTTGAATACTAGTACTACGTAGTACTTTAGCGAGTCGGTCGATCTATTAAACGGTAGAATTTAACCCCGATAAAATAGATTGCAACTACTCTTCAAGGCGATAGCAGTGGTGGTGGCCATCGTGCCCCAGAATGCAAGCGTCACCTCGTGGGCGGTCGAAAATCGGCTTGCAGGGCCATGCCGACGGCATGGGGTCGCATTTGGCGTTCTCGTCCAGCACCACGCGGCACGTGCCGTCGCGAAGCAGAGTGCGTTCGGGGCTGTAGCAGGTCAGCCCCACAGGACACTCGCTCGTTCTGGAGCAACGCTGGCCGCAACGAGCAGACGACGCTGCCGTCATGACCCCCCCCACCATCATGACGATCGAGGAGAATCGAACCATGTCAAGGAAAAGGCGAACGAAAGAGCCGTCGGGGAGGTTCTTGAGAGGTCGAGACTGTCACCTCGTCGCAGCTTGTTCCAAAACATATATCTATCTTCGCCCATCTTCCTTGCAATAATACTATTAATATATTTCGAAGTATATATATCTGTGTACTACTTTCACCAGTTGAACCAAAATACTTCTATAGGTTGTAACCTCAGTTTAAGCCAGGATATAATTCAGAATATACGAAGTACAAGGTACTACTGTATGGCCGATACCACGAGGGCACAGTGATGGTTTTGGCGCATTGTGAAATGGCAACTGACGACTAAGACGAGCCGTTCATATAATTATATGGATTTGATCACTGTCAATTTGATGAATACGTATATTTCATGTAGTTCTAGCCAATCAAATAGAGTTAACGACTAATTTAAACCAATCATCGAGGGGGAGTACTGAAAGTGGCACGGTGATGTGGTTTCGGCCCACTGAAACTACACCTGAGCTAACTGAAATGGCAACTCACGACTAAGACGAGCCGTTCATAATTGTACTCCGGAGTATGAATTTGACCACTGTCAATTTGATAAATACGTATATTTGTGTAGTTCTAGCCAATCAAATAGAACTAACGACTAATTTAAACCAATCATCGAGGGTGTAGGTGTTGGTTTACTGTAGGTGTTTAGTGTCATTCAGACCAGCACTCTTCAAATACCATCACTCTGATCTGTTTTAGGTACCCCCCCTACCCATTGTGATATTTCCGGGACCCGTAATTGTCTATCCACAAGAAAACGCTCACGTGGCGGTGTGCGGTCGAGTCCAAGCAACAGAAATCGCGCAATCACCGCCTCACTCCCGTCTCAGCCTTGAATCCTCGCATCGTCATGCGCGTGGCTCAGTTGAAGGCACCGACAAACGATGCATGGTACTTCCGCTAGAGACCACAGCATGGCAACCACTGACGCGTGTCACGACTATAGGCATTCGGACCCAGGAGGGTTTGACAGCGGTGACCTTGGCAGCGTGAGCGTGTTTGTCCAGATGCATCGCATGAACGATCCCCGGGAACGCAAGGTACGTCTCTCTCTCTCTCCGTCCACCATCGGGACAAGGGAGTCATGATGCTGGGCTCTTCTCACAGATCAAGCTGGTGATGAAGCCTTGGGCATGCGTCAAAGACATGAAGGACCGCCTGCAAGCCATGTTCGGCATCCCCACGGCAGCGCAGCAACTGTACTACAAGGGCACGGAGCTCGCCAACCCGCGCAACTTGGTGCAGTGCGGACTCTATGCAGACAAGGTCGTAGTGGACCTTGTGCTGTCGGCAAACGGCCGCCAGAATCGCGCCAACATGTTCACGATCCATCCCTACGGCAACCACGTGTTTCCACGGTCCATCATGAAGGCCGCCCACTTGGCAATGCAAGGTCATCAATGTATAAGACGCTATGGCCACAATATGAATCCCTCTGTACCAACCAGTGAAAAAATATATTTATATATCTACATATGTATGAATGCATGTTGATATGAATATAATTTCGACTAGTAGTTGATATATCTGTGCACTATACTGCACGTACATATGCTGCTGTATAGCCGTATAGGTATAAATATATATCCCTACACTATATAAGCTGCTATCTGTCCTTAAATATATATGTATACATATATGTATATTCTATATAATTCTATATATATACCCGCCGAACACGTGGAGGTTGTATCTATTCTGCCTCAATAGGTTTTATATTCCTATTGAATTCCTATACAACAAGCAATGGGGTCGTTATTTCCTTGTCTACCCGAATATTCTGATGTAAATACCCGTGAAACTTAATATCACGTTGCTGTATGTATTCCACAGGACTAGCTTTGGGCTTTACCCCTGAACTGGCCATGGATGGCACCGGCGGCACATACTTCCTAAAAGACCCAGCGCAGCGCAAAATCGTGTGCTTCAAGCCTCAGAACGAAGAGCCTTTCGGTCCGTGTAACCCACGGGGCTTCGTGGGGTCGCTGGGGGAAGCGGGTTTTCGCAAGGGCGTGCTGAGTGGCGAAGCATGTGAGCGGGAAGTGGCTGCTTTCTTGCTTGACAAGGTATATATATATATATAATATTCCACTAGCATATATATGGCAAGAATTGAACGAGTTAGCAGACATAAGAGAGTTGGAATATGTATTTTCCAACTTGATCTTACATTCATTGGTAGGATCATTTTGCCAGCGTTCCTGCTACGACGTTGGCAGAAATCAAACACCCTGGTACGGAAAAATATTTTTTCTATATATATATATATATTATATATATATATATATACCTTGTGCCGCCATATTTTTCGGTTACGTGAGACTTGTACTTTAATGCTGCCTTGTTAGCGTTTAAAAACAGCGACAGTGGCAACGTCGTGTACAAGATGGGCAGTTTGCAGGTACAGTTGTATATATATATATATATATATATTAAAATATATCTGTAGGAATTTGTGCGACACGACGACGTGGCCAGCGATCTGTCACCGAGTCTGTTTACACCGCACCAAGTCCACAAAATAGTCCTCTTGGACATGCGGTAACTATATAAATATATATAATAAAATATTATATATTTGACATTCCACTTTGATTGTTAATATTACTTGAATAGATTGGTCAACACAGATAGAAACGATGGAAATCTCCTGGTGCGACGTCGGCGGCTGCCGGACGGCAAAGCCGAGCACGAGCTCATTCCGATCGATCACGGGTACAGCATCCCCGACACCATCGAGGTATGGCCTAGTACTACTAGCGTTTCGGTAGTACTACTACTAGTACTTGACCATGTGATTGTAGATTGCGTGGTGCGACTGGTGCTGGTACAATTGGCCCCAGCTCAAGGTACTAAAGTAGGACTACTATAAAGTAATACCTCTGATTTCAATTCCAACTTTATCTTATCAATTTATTTTTGACAAATTGAAAGGATTTCAATAACATTTGAAAGCTTGGTATTCAGGCTTTCGTACTTGAGAACGGAGTAGTTATAGTATCTATTTAACACTTGGTGTACGTATATATATATATGTAGGTGCCGCTGAGCGATGTCGACAGGCAGTACATTCTGAACCTGAACGTCGAGCTCGAGATTCAAAACGTGCTAACTCATGTGCCATTGCGACCGGCTTGTCGAAGGTACGTTATTCTAGAGTGGGCACATTTTGTCCAATAAATATATGATTGCGTTTAGAAGCCAACATTTGGATATATATATATATATATATATATAGTTGTGCTGCTTTCCAACTCGATCGGTCGATTTTTATTTTGGTGTACTGCACCATTTGTGTCGTCACCGTCCGTTCACACGAATATATTTCATTTCGATATTGTTCAAGATTGCGTTTGATTGGCTACTTGATTTCTGTTGTGGGTTTTGATTGGTCAATGCAGAGCCAGTTCGAGTTTCGACGTATCCAATTTGATCATAATGCTACATGTGTTATCCTGGCATACATACATATATATGATGAGGAGTATTGTGGTATATTCGATACGAATTTCCAGACCCCGTCGAATCGAATCACAAATCATCAACATTATTGGCTAATCCATTTTTGAGTGGCTTTGATTGGCTCGAAAGGTCAAGTATTTTCAACCAATCACAACTCCACCGTGATATTCAATATTGATTAGACAAACCATGCGATTTATTTTTATTGCAATATATATTATATTATTGATTCATATGAAAAACGTGGTTGTATGCAATAGAAACCTCCGAGTGGCGGGATTATTGGTTGAAAAGGGGGTGCGCCGTAGGGTATTGCTGTACGATTTGGCCAGAATCATGTGTCGAGATGACATGGACACGCCCTCTACCCTCGAGAACCTCGTACATGTGGCCATGACCCATGCTTTGGAGCTGCACCCGGTGCCGCCACCCATCGTCGTCGATCAAGTGTATCCTAGTACGCTTCCTAGTACTACTACTAGTACTACCTCGTACGTGGGTTCGAGTTGTGTTGCTATATAGGATCTAACAATCCTACTACTACTATAGAGTGAGCAGTAATAACAACGTTCCAGTGGCCGCCGCCTCTCCCGCGGCGCTTCGCATCATCACGACAGCGCCACCGAATCCTTTGAACCAGGAAGATCACCATGAATTCGACAGCCTCAAGTCACCCCTGGGGTTTTGGGCATCGCTCGATCCGTTTGATATCCCGGCGTCCTCTGTACCGATGAGCCCGACATGCTTCACCAGCCCCCGACATCATGTCGAGAGTCTGCCGTCATGGGAGCAGCTCTGCCAAGGCTTCCACGCAGATGCCCAGCAAGTGTTTAAGCCGACAACTACCCCCAAGTATCATCATCTACAGGGACGCCCGTTGGGTGCGCGGGAAGAGAAGCTGTTCTTTCGATGGCTCGATCACTTGATCGAGGACGAGCTCCGCGCCATCCTCGATAGATATGCCAAGAACCTGTAGCACCAACAATAGCTAGCTAGCTTCGTACTAATCAACCATTCTCATGAGTACAACCCAGTCGATGTGTTTACTGCTCGAAATATTAATATATCCAAAAATCAACACACATCCAATCGACCGCCAAGAGGCCTGTGTACCGTTCACATGAATTTCAGTAGTGTTATGCGTAGTACAGTACACATAATACTATTGATATTTACAAAACCATACTATATACTATTAATAGTACTTACTACTAGGTCGTAAATGTACTTAGTAACATACATTTGCACTGGGTTGACTGGGAATAAAACTATTAATAGTACAGTGTATGTACATACTGCTATACGAGGGACTTGATAATCACCTCAACCAGTTGTTGTGCTTTCGAGTGAAATTTCATTGTGTTGTGGTGTTGAAATTTAAATCGATTTGATTGGCTACCTCAGATGAGCTCAAAATTATTAGCCAATCAAAACCATCTCAATGAAATTCAACCAATCAGATCGATTGTGGATCGGTTTGGTTGATTCGATTGCACCCTCTCCCCAAATTTGTATCAAATCGACAATATATTAATAATATTATCTGAATCGATCATATGATTGTATGAGAGCAGAAAGAGAGCATCGTCATATACGACGACGGTATAGTGTAGAGCTAGCTAGCTACTCCTAAATTCCTTCGTAGTAATACTCCTAAAAGACTCGGTGAAAACCTTCGATCTGGGGATTTTTTTTGCAAGTTACTGTGCAAACATATGTAGTTCCATTGATTTCACGTCGAGTGCATTGGATACAGTAGTAGTTACTAGTATTACTAGTATATATCGGAGTTGTTTAGGCGGTAGCCGTGACAGGGTCGTCGGCCGGCGGCGGCGGTACGTCCAGCACCAACAAGCATGGCGCTTCGACTGTTTTGAGCATCCCGAGGTGGTGCATGGCCTTGAGCTTGTTCTTGGCGCGGCGCCATTTGGCCGCTGTCTACATGTCGCATATCCCCCATGTCACATATTCCCCATGTGACAAAGGGCGTGTGGTTTTTTACCGTCAGGTTAGCGTGGAGGCGAAAGCTTTCTAGGAACTCGTTGATGTTGATTGCATTGTCCTTGGTAAAGTCGAGCACCGACATGAGCTGACTGGGGTGCTCAAATGGCAGCATATCTCGCGGCAAATGCTGGTTGAGCACATCCAGAGCGGCTTGAAACTCGTCCATAGTAATCACGCCATTGCCGTCCTTGTCAATTGTATGGAATAGCATCTCAAGGCGTTCGCGGTGTCGGTACAAGTTGTTCATTGCTGCTTTGTCGCCTACATATATATTATATATCAAATTATCCCAACCTCAATATACTAGTAGTACTACTACGACTAAAGAAAAAATAATTAGAATAATTCTTTCATGTAGAAATATGTCTATAATAAACATATCAGATATTTATAAATAAATAATGATTTGACTACTGTACTACAGCGTCAAAATACTCTTTCAAACGTCATCCTACTGCATACATACATTCACACTAACAACTCGCCCCCCATTTCTCATAGGGCGATGGATACACTCGAATTTGGGGACCAAGCTAGTAGCAGTCTAGTACTACTAGTACCTCCAGCAGCCGCCATCGACGCCGAAGCTTGGTACCGATCCAAGAAGGCCACGTACGCCACACTCCCATCCTTTTCGACGGACGTGACGAGCGGCTGCAGCGCCGCCCAGTCCACCGCCATGTGCAAGGTCGATTCCATGAGTTGCTGCCACACTTGCGCAGACACGAGTCCTCGTCCATCCACGTCTGCTGCTTCAAACGCCGACAGCAGCAGTTCGCGCGAGTCCAAAATGACACTGTAGAGGCCGTCGAGATTGGACCCGACAAAGTCATGATCGGAAGCCGACGCCCGGTACTGGGCAAATGAAGGCGGAAGGTTTACACCGCTTGGGATGTGCATGATGGCGCCCATGTTGCTGGCTTTGGTGTAGTTGGACGCGGAGAACAATGTTACTAGCATGCCCGCTATACAAATCCCAACATGATGACAAACACATACTAGTAGCAACGATTAAACTCGCAATCGGGGTCTCCCATATCGAAGTATTTGGCAACAGAGTCGAGAATATCGAGTTGTGAGTTCGATTAACGGTTAACTATACTAATCCATGATTGGTTGACATTTCTCGTAGGTGAAGGTTGATTGGTTAGGACATTTTCAAATAGTATATTTGCCAAATCATATTCGATTCTAATCGCAAGTCCAAAATTGGAACGGATTTGACAATATAATATTATTGGAAACATCAACATCAAAATACGTGCCCTTTATATTTGTAACCAAGCCGCCACATCCACACAAACAGTTGGGTGAATAAACAACACCGTTCCATACAAAATCCAAGTGTATTACGTGGCAACACAGAATCAAACACAGTAGCAACTTAAACCCACGGGTGTAACAGAGATCGTCCGACGTTTCTCGTTAATATACAAAGCACTCAAAACCACGAAAAGAACCTATTACATAGGTTTCTACATTGATTATTCAACACGATCTATATATTTGAACGACATAATACATATATGATATACAACTCCCAAGGTGAAAGCTTTTATATGACAACACACAAGGGAAAAGCCTACCCTTTTCGCCATACGGGTACGCGTACCCCAATGGCGCACACTCGTGGGAGCGCACAATCAGCGCCAATCGATTCGTCTGCATGAACCGCTTCGTGATGTCTGGACCAAAGTCGATGCCGGCGCCGCGCGGACTCTCGTCGAAGCCAGGCTGGACCCGCGGGTCGCTCCACACGATGTCGCTGATGATTTGCATATTTTTGTCTCGCCTGGTCAAGCGGGGAGTCGCCTTCATGTACTTGTTGGTGTGGCGTAGCCCGTCGAATTCAAAGCGCGGAATGTCGAGCAAATCGTGTAATTTCACGTTTTGGCGTGGCACCCCCCCATGCAGAATTAGCACGCGGCGGTCTTGGAGCACGGTGCCAAGCTACGGAATATTATATATATATATATACAGACGGATCAGAGATATGCAATGGACGCGTGGATATGTACTTGACATACCGGGAGGTACCGAAAGCAATGGCAAAACAAACTAAACACTTCGTCGTCGTACTTTTCGATGCATTCCTACCATCACCAGCCACGAGTGAGTTTCTTTTGATATTGTGTCGATATATATATATAATTGCTCTTTGTTTTTGCTTGAATTTGTCGTACAAATATATATAATCCGATTTATTCTTGTGCAAATTCATCTGATGTATCATTGTGTATGATGGGATAATATATATATATATATCATCCAATATAATCGTTTGTAGGATATATTCAAGCAAAGAAAAGTCCCATCAAACGACAAACCACCAGATCCAGTCATATTCATTCAACGGTCGGTTCATTGTATTATAAATTTGCTATTGTCAAAATCATTGAAATTTGTACTTTCAAGTAGAATGATCAAATCAAATAAATGTATTTTAGAATGAACTCCTAGCCAATTAAATTACAGTATTTGGAAATTTGAACCAATCATCGATCATTATACTTTGGGCCAACCAAAATATACATTTTTAAACAAGCATATCATACATTGATTAAACTAAAAATCTGACACAAATTGATCCTTGACAAAGCTAACAAGTCCATATTTCAGGGCAATAAAAAATTCCAATTCTGCGCGATTCGTAACACCGATCACACGAATCTTGCCTCGAAATTCCAGTAGATTTCCCTATTCCGCAGAAAGCGCGAAGTAAACAAAGGAGAAAAAAGGATGTAGCCAATCAGCGAGAAGAAAATTTAGAGTGACCAATCGGATTGATTCGTGATCTGGGTTTTGGTCTCGATTGAATGAGGTTTCGACATTCGTACCCAATCAATAAAATATATATATATATATATATATATATACCTTTTGAAACCCAAACTTTTGTGTGACAGCGCGGTCTTCGTGGTTGCCGCGGTTCAAAAATACAGCGTGGGGGTACAAAATGGCAAACCCAAACAGCACCAAACACACTTCGACGCTCGATTTGCCTCGATCGACGAAGTCCCCATTGAACACGTACGGATTCTCGGCCGACGGGACGCCGTTTTCCCTTAAAATCAGCAGCAAATCGTCCAATTGTCCATGTAAATCGCTACAAAATGCCCAAAATAACACCTTAACCCACCACCACCACGTGATGTTTAGGTTAACTAATCCACATAAAGATATGTATAATATTCAACATAGTATTGTCCAATTTCGACGTCCCAGTAGAATCGACTCGAGTTTGGCCAATGAACTTTAGAATGATGTAGCCAATCAAATTATATTTTTTTTATCTATTTGAACCAATCCATGATGCCCCAAGTAAACACGTATATATTTGTATCCAATACATGGAAGAAGCTTAAAATCTGACTTGTCAAATCGATTCTCGAATCAGCTGTTACGTTCAAATTTCGGCGAAACGGACAATAGCAACCGACGAAAATTTCATATTGTTTATGTTTATTCTAAACTTTAACGACATGGGGAATAAACGAATCGACACAACCAAATAAACGTACACAAGACTCATCGGAAGAAGGATTTAGCCAATCCGATTGCAGGAAACCGACGTTAGCATATACTCATATAATTAGTGTGTGGATTATATTAGTGTGATTACAATCACCATAGGACGTTACATAGATGAAAACTTCAGTACAAAGAACCCGATCGATAGGTTTGGCGAAATAGCAGAAAAAGTCAAAATTTTGGGGTAAAAGAAAGACAATATCTAATTTTAGTGGAGGGGCTAAATATATATATATATATTATATAGACCCTCCACTAAATATATATATATATATATATATATATATATATATTTATTATATATAGACCCTCCACTAAATATATATATATATATATATATATATATATATATTTATTATATATAGACCCTCCACTAAATATATATATATATATATTATGCATATAGACTAAAGAGAGATATTGTCTTTCTTTATGATATATATATATGTCATACCCAACAATTGTAATGTGCTTGGCTGGGGCCACGTTGATCAAGTGCAGGTTTTGGTACGATTGGAAAAGTGATGCGGCTTGGCGGAGCAATTGCATCACGTATTCCTTGTGTAGCTTGGCTTGGCGCTTATAACTGTCGATTAGATCCAGCATATTCTAATGCAAACACGTGAGACATACAAGTATGGGGACGGAGCGGGTACAGTACTTGGAGGGTGAGCGTGTCGTCAAGGTGGACGCCCTTGTACATGTCGGTGATGTTGATCTTGGTCGTGGCGTCCGATAAGAAGTCGTCCAAACTGCGCTCGGGCTTTGACGCATCCGTGGCCGGCATGTGGTCGTGGAGTGCTTGCAAGAACCGCTGAAGGCCGAATGCCGCCGCCTCTTCGCGGTTCTCCAGATCGTTGAACAGCTACATAGTGGTGATGACATGGAACGTTTGATGAAGTAACATACCTTCCACTGCGTGCCCATATCGTCTACTGGTGCAGAACTGGCGCCAGAGGAAGCCGTGAGGGATGGAGGTGCCGGCGCCGCGGCGGCCGGCGGGCCGCCGGCAGACACGAGTTGCGTGGCCGATGGTTTGGCTTTGTCGGTAGTTTGCGTAGCTTTTCCTTGTGAGTTGCCCATCGTCGTGCGAGTGCAGAAGTGGTCGAGCTCCCTGTCGTCGCCATCACGTACAGTGTAAAGGCGCCATCCGGATAAATTGTACCATTTGACGATTACTACTGTAACTTAGTAGGGTGCATACAAGGATGAAAGGCAAAAAGTGATTGTTTTCAACAATATTTTTGAAATTTAATGTTATTAATTACTACAGTTCTACATACTCCATATATTACAGTAATATTGCGATGGATTAATCTATTGCGACTCCTGTAATAACTGATAATGCTCTTGTAATAACTGATGGGAATATGGTGAATATATACTTCAAATTTGTATGGCACAATGGATTAAAAACGTTTTGAGAACGAGTGTCGGCCGGTTGTGAAATTTCACCTGTCGCAATACATATACACTGTACGGTACATGCATTCTGGATTTGAACGAAGATGCCATTCACACTCAATGACAGACCGTCATTCCACGCTTGATGTTTGACTCCACATACACTAGTATACGCATACTAGTAGTTCATGTCATACTCTAAGGGCGGTTATCGTTTAGTTTCGGGGGTATTAACAGTAACGTACTACGTACTTCGAAGTAGTACTTCATTGGTTGGCTACACATGGCAAGGAGTACCTGTGCAATAGATTGATATTATCCGGATCTTTATCCGTATATACTTTTGCCTGCAACGTGATTGGCCAGTCGGTATAAGCTCAATGCAAGAACGGTTACGGCCGGACTGTCCAAGTACTGTAACCGCTGCCCTACCAAAATAGGTTGTTCATCACAAAGTCGTTTCGCACCTCCGCGCAGCCAGGTCCATGGGTGCCGGAGCGTCCACGCAGGAAATGGCCGACCTTCGACTAGCGCTCGAAGAAAAGGAGGCGGAGATCATGCGATTGCAAGCACTGACCAAGTCGCTGGAAGCGTCTAAGGCGTCCGCCGAGGAGGCGGCGGCCAAGGCGACGCACGACTTGACCAAGTCCCACGAGATCTCCAAGGCCACACGTCCGAGCGTAGTGGGGCGCCCATCCTTGTCCAAAGGCGGCCCAGGGCATCCGCTCATCTCGCAGTCTCCGAGCACGACGTCGTTCGCGACGAGGGCGCACGAACGCAAGTCGGTGGACCCGGCCAAGAAGCGGCGCGTCGAAGTGTCGGCCGAAGTGATGCAAAAGGCCCCGACCAAGTACAAAAAAGTCGTGTACCCCAAGTCGGACGGGTCCAAGGAGCTCATTCTCAAAGTAACAACCTATTCACGCACAGTTCATTGTTCATTCCAGCACCAGAACCGCAAAAGCACATCATCTACACTGGCGTTTTCGACTGGTTTCATATCCAATTTTTTCGTAGGCGATTCAAAGCAACATCCTGTTTCAAGGGCTATCCCAAGGCGAACAATCTGACTGCGTCGACGCGTTCCAGTGCCGCGAACACGAAGCCGGAGTTGAAATCATCACGCAGGGCGACCAGGGAGAGAATTTCTACGTGGTGCAGTCCGGCACCCTCGATATCCTCGTGTCAGTTAAGACGAACCCGCCCATCAAGTTCGGGGCCCTCACCTCCGGCATGGGATTCGGAGAGCTAGCGCTGCTATGCAACACCCCCCGCGCCGCCACAATCAAGTCCAAGTCGTCGGTAGTGCTGTGGGCGCTGGATCGCAACGATTTCCGAGGTCACACCTTATGATTGCTATGATGATTTGGACTATGTTTCGTAATCGTGTATGCCAACCTGTTGCTTTCGACTTGTATGGATATATCTTGAGTATTTACAATATATATATATATATATATATTGTATATACTCAAGAATGTATATACATTCATATATTGCCAACCCTGGATGCATATATATATATATATATGTATATCGAATGGGTAATTGTATCATTTTTGAATCAAAACACACGTCTGATATTTATTACATTATAAGACCATATTTCATATTATAATGTACTGTACAATTTCTATAATGGTCTACCAGTAGGTCTTTCCGCAACAGAGGCACGTAGTTCGTATACATCAATAGTGTTGCGTACATATTTATTTCATTTTCGTCCCCTTGATTTCAGAAGCATCTACTGTAGACTTGCGTGCACCTATATATATATTTGTGAATTCGCTATAAACTTCCAAAACCCTGGTTTGTCAAATCAATCTTGAATCACGCCGGAGTTCTGTCTGATTGGTTGAATATACTTGTCCTTTCGAGCCAATCAAATCCACTCAAAAATGAATTAGCCAATAGCGTCGATTCGATTCGACGGGGTCTGGAAATCCGTATCGAATCCACAATAAATTGTGTCAACTTGTTGTGATTGGCATTTCTGTCGTCATGGCTGGTGTGTTTCTGTAGAGATTTGCACCACACATGAAGCAATGCGGCATGCCAAGGCCGTGGAATTCCTCCGCCAAGTCGAAGTGCTCAAGAAGCTCAGCTCGGCTGAGATCATCCGTGTGGCGGCGGCGATGCAGTGGGAAGAGTACGAGTCCAACACTGTTATATTCCGAGAAGGCGAGATGGGCGAGCATTTCTACGTCATCACGTCTGGGGAGGTCCAAGTCACCAAGCTCAACGCGGCCACCGAAGTCGACGAGTTTGTCAGGGTCATGTCCAGCGGCGACCACTTTGGGGAGCTAGCGCTGCTCAAGGACGACACAAGGAGTGCCACGTGTGTATCGACGACCGATGTGCAGCTGCTCGTGCTGTCAAGAGATCATTTTAGTGCCATGCTCGGGTCGTTGCAGGTGCGAATCGATATATATTATATATATGCCACCACGAGGCATAGCTCGATGTTGTCCAAATATATATATGGTTGTTGGGTTTTGAAAATAATACGTACTATTATAAAAGAGTGTGTAATGTTGTTCGTACAGGAATACCATAGTAGTGAAATAATTGAATTTTATTTATCACACAATACCATAGCAGAATATTCAACATTATAACCTGAAACTAATTCAGCTTCAGCTTCTGGTAAATCAAACGGATGTCTATTAGTTTCAGCTAAAGATAAAACTCGATCAATTGTTGGAATAATATCGTGTGTGAATATTCGTTTAGCATAAGTTAAATAGTTATTCTTGGTGTTTTCAAATACTTGTATACAGTAGTAGCCTGTAGCTTCCAATGTTCAAACTTCACACTATCTCCACCGAGTGTGAAGATCATTGTGTTTACAGTGTCACATATTCCCCCCGTATGTCCTCCCAGCCAATGAATTGGAAAAAATACCTTTGGCTGAATCGTGTTTTCGAGTGCATGTCCCTATATATATATATATATATATATAAATTGTTGTGTGCAATTGTCGAGTATGTATATATATATATATATATATACAAGTGTCGGAGTAACGCTCTATCAACTAAACGCCCCGTTGTTGTATCTTTGACTCAACAAATATATGTGAAGAGTGTTGTCCATGTCTGGTGATAGGAACTCATGGATCGACCCGACGTGCCATTGCTGATTAGCTCGAAAAAGAGCTCAGTGTTGGACTTGTCCAGGGCAGCGAGCATCAAGTACAAGCTGGACATTCCTTTCGAGGACTTGGAGATCATGCACGCGCTCGGCAGCGGCGCGTTCGGGCGCGTCAAGCTCGTGCGCCACATGCAGACGGACCAGACATTCGCCCTCAAATGCCTCGTGAAGTCACACATTGTGGCCAACAACCTCAAGGATCACGTCGTGAATGAGAAGAAGGTCATGATGATGCTGGACCACCCGTTCATTCTCAAGCTACACCACACGTACAAGGACGATTTGTACGTGTACTTTTTGCTCGAACTGGCCCTCGGCGGCGAATTGTTTACGTTTCTGCGACGCCGTGAGCGGTTCGAAGAGACGGCCGCGAGGTTTTATGTGGCGTCCGTCGTGCTCGCATTTGAGCACATGCATCAAAAGATGATTGCGTACCGGGACTTGAAACCCGAAAACCTCATTTTGGACGCCAGTGGGTTCCTCAAGGTACACATGGCGTGGTGAATGTATATATATATATATATATATTGGACCTGTTATTTCAATATATATACATATATAGTTTGAACAGTGTTTCAATATAGGTCGAATATATGGATTGATTCAATATATATATATATATACACTGTTTCTGTATATATAGGATTGGGCAATGTATTATGAATGATAATAGTTAACTTGTCTGTGCTACCCATGTATCAATCATTGCATTGATTCCGCCTTTAAGCAAATGAAGCTATATATATTGAAACAGTTGATCAGCGAATATATGGATATATTGGCCAATCATCCATGCTGATTACGATAGTGGATATAATAGAAATATATGTGATGGATACTAGGTGGTGGATTTCGGACTGGCCAAGGTTGTGCCCGAACGCACGTGGACATTGTGTGGCACGCCAGACTATTTGGCGCCAGAAATCATCCTGAATCGAGTAAGTTGGACTTCTCGATCTATGACGTGGCAATCTGTGGTGTCGCGATGAAGAGTGATGGTCTTGTGGTGGTTGGGTAGGGCCACGACAAGGCGGTCGATTATTGGGCGTTGGGAGTGTTGATCTACGAGCTGATTGCCGGCACCGTGCCTTTCTTTGCGGACGATCCCATGCAAGTGTATTCGCTCGTCTTGACTGGGAACATCAAGTTTCCCGTGCATTTTAGGTACACAGCAATGTATATATTAAACATGGGTATTTACATTTAAGCGTTGCTAACAAAACGTTGGTTGTAGCCGGACGTGTATAGACTTGGTGCAGAAGCTACTGGCCCAGAACCCCGTGCGGAGACTTGGGAACCTCAAGCACGGCGTGGGGGATATCATTAACCACAGATGGTTCTCGGGCTACGACTGGGACGGCCTACTCAAGCACAAACTCACGCCGCCGATCATCCCCCAGCTCAAGAACAACATGGACTCGTCCAATTTTGAGCGGATAACCGACGAGCTCAAGGACGTGACCCCGTGTGCGTGGGACCCTGACTTTTAGAACATAGCATTAAACTATCTCGCGTGTAACATATGGCATCGTTCAGGCCTTCCCTGGCTTGACGAACGTTGTGTGCGTTCATCTGTTGGGGGTTCGTACGTACTAGTAAGGAATAGCATCAAAACGCTGTCGCACTTGCTACTGGGGTTTTGTCAAAAAAGAGACTCGGCCGATTTGAACGTTCAATCATATTTCATATTGGCAAGTCGATTCGAAATTGAAGTGTTTGGGTGCTCAATCGAAAGAGCAGAATAACCAAATAATTCGGCAGGCAATTGATATACGACCAATCAAAACCCAGAATTCAACTAGCCAATCAAATCCACTGTTCGATCCATTTAACATTCAATTAGTGTGTGATTTAAATTAGTTTGCACTGGACTACCACTATGTTTTACATTAACAAAAGTCAGTACAAAGAATCAATAGACTTGGCGAAACAGTACCAAAGTACAATTTGTGGGTAAAAGGACAATAATACCTTACACTTTTTATCCTTGAAAAAGAATACCAAGTCGTGTTAGTACTACACTCGAGCCCTGGGTAGACTTTATCGAATCGGTGAGTTTGGTATGCAAACTTACCAATATGTACGTATATCGTCGGCCACTTCCAAAAGAAGACTCAACCAACCGTGTATTGTACATAGCAAATAGTGCGTCTATAATTAATATATATGGCCACGTCTACGACGATGGAAGGTCGGTCGTAGGGCGTGCCACGTGTCCATTTGGTGGCATCGTGGGACTCTGGCGATGGATCAAATGCATGCGGGGTATGACCACCGCCTCCATCATGCCCTTGGTCCGGATAACTTGTTTGATTTTCGCAAAGTTCATTTTCGACCGCTTCCTTGCTGCGTGCTAATTACAAATCTTACATGAGGACACACCTTGGATATGTGGATATATGGTACTAGTGTATATATATATTTCACATTTCGTATATATATAATTCTAATGTTTCGATATACAGTAAAGCCACTCAAACCTGGAGCTGAGCTCGATGCTCAAGCACTTCGCGCGGTGGCTGCAAATGAGCACTCGCGAAAAACCGTTCCCAGTCGTCCAACGACAACTGCACGACACTTCGCAAGTACATCAACACGGCCTACTCACCCAACGTATTTTTATATACAGTTTCATTATTACGAATTATTTATCAATATATATATTTATACCTGCGTCGATTCCAACTGGAGCTCACTTTCCGTCATGCATAGCACGAGGCTGCATACCACCGCGCGGTGAATCTCGTAGCCAGATTCGACCATCTACCAAAGCTCAAATGTATCCGCGAAAAAGTATCATCAAAGCTCAAATGTATCCGCGAAAAAGTATCTTCGTGGATCAGTCCCAACCGAATACATGCCCACCATGCATCGATATCGTTTTATACCTACCCCCCTGAAGAAAAGAGTACTTTATACCTGTCGAATGGTGTCGAGGACAAATGCACAGGCGGGCGGGGGAGTAGCTGGTGGTGCTGTGTGATGGGCGTTAATTGGGGTAAACTTCGCCACGACAGCCAGCAAGCCTGTAAACCATGTGGCAGCATGGAAGGCGGCGGCAGCCATGTTTTGTCTCCGGGTTGTCTCGGACAAGTCGTTCATGTGGAACAGGGCTACGTGGAGGTCTCTGTGGGTGTGAAAGGCGGCGTATTTGAGGCAAAAGCACGTCCATCGTCCGTGGTCGAGTGATCGCAAGATGGCCAGCAAGTCGTGGGAGAACACTTGCTTCATATCTTCTCTCGCGGCGATCACGAGTTGGAGCCGCTCGATGCCATGCAGATGAGAATGATATTGATGAGGATGCAAGCTCGACGGGGGAAGGGCCAGTGGTGGGGCCACAGTTTGAACCAAGGACAGTGGCATATTGTTGGCGCCACAAGGTGAGGCGTCCGGTAGGGCGGCTGACGGCTGCAGTGGGGATGATGCCGAGTACGAGCTGAGTCTCTGGGAAGGGTGGGTAACTAAGGGGGCCAGCACGCCGTCCAAGGACTTGCTTAGGGCGTCTACGTAGGCGGCGTGGGCGTCAGAGGAGGTGGCGGGGGATTCCATGGCTTTCGACGAAGTCGATGGCGATGTATCGTGCAGGGGTACATGCGGCAAGGGGATGTGTAAGTGATGCGGGGAATGGGGGGGCGAGTGCAAGTGACGACCCCCACGGAGAGATCGGCTGCTGGGGCTGGAGGGGACGCTCTTTTGCAGCTTTGAGTTGGCTTCGGAATCGATCATAAAGTCGTGCAGGGTGGTCAGTGGAGGTACAGGTGGCGAACTCTGCGGTTTTCGGGTTGTGTAGGGTAGGTACACATGCTTTTCAGGCGACAAGGACGTCGTTGAAGGCAGGTCGCGGACCACGTCGTTGGCTCCGCTACGTGAAACAGAGAGTTCTCGTCATGAAAAGAAGGTGATCGTGCTGGGGAAGGCAGTCGTACTGAGGCACCATTGCACGGGAAAACGCACAGCCCCCATACTTGACGGAACACACCCGCACTGCACAATCGCGAATGGCTTGTTGTAGCACCGCATACGAAGGGTCGGTTTGTACTCGGGTGGGGCATTGCAGGTGTTTGATGTGGGAAGGCGAGTACGCTGGCAAATTTGAATGCGTTTTGAGTCCAACCATGTCGTCCGCCAATGTAAACGTCCCTGAGGTTGGGTTGCTGGACTCCGTTCTTCCGTTTCTGCATACGTGACGACGACATGAGACGATGTCGCTATGATGTAAAATCACAGTCCATACGGTGTCGTGGGTTCGTTGGAGCGAACGTCGTTGGACTTGGAGGGGCAAAACCCACTTTTTGCCTGGCTTTCGTTGCGCACGTTGGGAGATCGCAGATTCGGCGACAGCTTCATGCTTAGGTCGGGTTTTCCAAGTGGTCGATAGGGTAGTGCACGAGGACTGGACCAACCGCTTCCTCGGTCCTACGACAGGAAGTGTGTGTTTCGTTCATTGTCAAGTCGACTGCTGCTTGATGTACAGTACAGTACCTCTGTGGATGTGCCTAGTGCATCCGCCGAAATGGTTACTCGAAATTGACTCCTTGTTTTCACAGTTCGATCTACAATGTTCTACAGTCGTTTTTGTCAAGGCTACGCATGCAAACCATGCAGAATTGAGTTGGTTCACATTGCAAGTTCTACCGGTGCTACGACAGGACTCGTGGATCCGACCCAGGAGGTCGGCGACGTAGATGACGTTGGGGAGCTTGGTGGTGAGGCCATACATAGCTTCATCTCTTGGGGTGCCCTCGTCGGCCGCCGGGACATCTTGGCATGCCGCGCATCCTTCGCATCCGATTCCATGGCCAATTGGACCTGGAAATAGATTGCCGAGTGATATGATTGGTGATTTCGGATCTCCTAAGGAGGGATGACTTCATTCTCTGGGTTGAATTTAAATAAATATAGACTGGAATATTTAAAACTAAGCCAACTATTTTAAAGCTTACTATTACCACGGTGAACAGCACAATATTAATATGAACTAAGCATTAGTCCGTCCCTGTCATGCTGTGATTGGACAACGAAACGACACACATTAGAAACAATGCCACGGCCGCCGCCACTGACCGCCGATGAGGTTGCCCGCGAACGCAGAATGCTAAAGGAGCTCAAAATCATGCAGAAACATGAACTGGCTCTGTCAACACTATCGAAGAAGCGTGTGCGAGAGCCCAAAGTGGACGAAGACAATCCATTTTGTACCGACAGACAGCTCCAAGACGAAATTTCCCTTCGCAATTTCAACAAGGTACTGCTGCGTGCTACAATATCGCAGAGAGCCAAACAATTGAATGTGATGGTAGAACCCCCAACTTCACACTACGAAACTGTCCCCGTTTGCCACCCCTCGCACCCAAAACCCGCACAACCACACTGATGTAATACGCCTGACTTGTCACCATCTCGTCGGATTCCTTTCCCACTCATCATTTGCAATGATACAATAGATCCATCTACCACCGGAACGGCTACCGCATGTTCAAATCAATAAGGAACAGAACTCAGCGTCGTTGGCAGTGAACTTCCCAGCCTACAACGCGTCCATGACTATCGCAACGCAACGTCATCCAAGCCGGTCGAAGGCAAGGTACGCTGTCGTGATTACAGTACCCTGCTTTGACTAGTCCATATAGTCCGTCGACGCAACATTCACTAAAAAAGCCAGTGACCTTTGGACATCGACCCACGGTACATACTCTTGACCGAATGATAAAGTGTAATGTGTGACATGGTCTCCCCTTGGACGGCAGTCGGCTTCACGTCATTTCAATCCAGTCACGTCGGAACTCAACGCGTCGGCTGCCTTTCACAACAAACTGCCACGTAAACAGGCCCGAGGTACTTATTTGGTTCAAATGTTTCGGTGAATAGACTACACTTAACACATTACAATTTATTTACAGGTGTGGCCATTGGTATGAGTGCCGACAGGTTAAAGGCGTTATTGAACTCGCCACCCCCCCAATCACATTCCACGGCTGAGTCCAATCCGTCGACAACCCCTGACAAGGCAGACCACACTCATACAGGAAACAGCTGGAAGGCCCAATGCAACGAGGACGATACTCTAACCAATCTCGCTGTGCTGGTAATGATGAACTATGAGCTGTGGCTGACATGTTGATATGCTAGGAAAAGGGGTTCAACACAAGGCAGTACACAGCTCCAAAGCTCAAGAAGGAGAGTATCCTCAACACCCCTCCCACCGACTCCAGTGTCGGTGACATCCTAGCCAAGTTTCGAAAGCTAGCCGTAGGGTTGAATTGAACACAAACTAATATAACCCCTAGAGTGAATTTTTGAAAGAGTTGGGTATACGTCACAGGACACGATCAAAATCTCCTCAATTGCTTATGCTATCGAAAAGCACAAATTTGATATGGTGCACCATATCTGCGCTTGATATACTGGAGTCCAAGTATGTACTTATATTGAAGGAATTACGTGTCACTTTACGTAAAGAACGACAAAGCCAAAAACCAAATTACTCCATCGCCAACTGTGCAATAACTACCAGTAGTAATAACAGAACAACTTCAAAATCCCCTTTGCTATGTACTAATATGCTACCTAGTATTATCGACGTATTGCTGACAATATTGTATGTACTCTGGCACAGCTGGACCAAATTCAGAGAGTACTTGGATGCGAAACTAGTACATAAGATGGACCATTCGGATCGGATGGTATAAATCCCAGTAAGCTTAAATCGTTACGACACCAGCCTCGCTGATGCAGTTCTCAAAAGCCATTCAGTAATAATGTCGACGTCTCGTCCAAAATAACTGCCAGCCCGACCGCAATGTCGTCGCGCGAGTCTTGCTTGGCCGTTTCCATCACTGTCTTTGCATCGCCTCCAAGCTGCCACGTCACAAGAAACTTCACCACGTCCCACTGTTCAGCATAAGCAGCTCGTTCGAGGGTCCAATCTGGACACCCTTCCCCACGATGGGTATGGAGCCATTGGACAGTCTCCAGATGGCCATTTTCTGCTGCCTGGCCCATGGCGTTGATCGTACAGCCTTCAGTCCGGTGGGTATGCAACCATTTGACGACCTCCAGTTGACCGTCCTCAGCGGCGTCGTCCATTGCGTTGGTCGTACATCCATAATTGTGCTGGTGCAACATCTTGATCATTGCCAGATGGCCATTGTACGCGGCGGCATCGATCTCGTTTGTCGAGCCATGACCATCACTCCCGAGTTCGTGAACAATGTATGTCGCCACATCCAGGCGATTTGTGGCCGCGGCAGCCGTCAATGCTAGAGTCAAGCTGTGCGCCGTGAGGGGGTAGTGGGTGTGTAAGAATTGCACAACTTCCAAATGTCCGTTCTCCGCGGCATCCATGATAGCCTGGTCTGAACACCCTTCGTTTCTGTATGCGTGTAAATAGCGAACCACGTCGAGGTCGCCTCGGAGGGCGGCTACGTCCATTGCAAAAGTAGTGCAGCCTTCATGGCCTACGACAGCATCGAGAAACTTGAGGACACGCATGTGGCCATTCGCAGCCGCCAGATCCAGCAGCAAGTACCGGACTTGACGCAACATGTCGAGTGGAAGCATGCTCAACATTGCCAGGTTTCCGCTGAACGCGGCGTGTGCAATTACAACATTTCGCAGGCGCGGCAAACAAGCAAACAACTTGAAGACGCACGCGGTACCGTGGAGATCGTACCAAGGCTCCAAGACGTCGTGAAGGGGCTCAAATGCAAACGTGACAGAGTTGATATCAAGCCAATTGTCCATTGTGGTAGGGCTCCGCAGCAAATCCCTGAGATATAGTAAGTCGCGTGTTAGACCCACGAACGGGCGCAGAACCAGGTAGATTCCATTCTGATACGCAGTGATGGCATCCATGAGTTCCTGGGTGAAGAGTACTGCGGACATCGGCGACGCTTTGGGCCACGGCGATCGCTTCTTCGACGGCATCTCCATGTTCTCGGAAATGTCCGACGTGACCCGAATAAGGGAATAAGATTGGAACAGCCAATCAAGATTGAAACTGGTCCTATCAATGACCTCATTGGTTGAATTTCCACCAATTGTATCCATCCATTGAATGTACTGTAAACGTGACCTCTGGGTTCATTATCCGGAGTGTCACTATTATCCGGACTTAACTTCTGACTGGCAATTGCATAAAAGGGCAAACGAGACTCAACTTGCGACCACCTCCATGGGTAACAAGCACAGCCGCGCCGCGAAAAAGGCCAGCCGCCGAGGAGGTCTCGTGGACACATCAAGTCCTATTTTCTCTGATGCACTGGGTGTGTCTGTGTGCACGGAGACAGAGCCCACGTCGCCCGCGTGTGTCACCGATGATCGCTTCTCGTTGACGCAGTGGAAGGTACAGTACCGTCGTGTTGAACGATGAGTTATGCATGCTCATGGAAGAGTGTATAAATGTAGCTGTTCAACGACTTGGAATCTCGCGAAGAAGCCGACTTGCTCGAGCTCACGTCGTTCCTGAATGCGTTGCACGAGTACATGCCGAGAAAGGACGATGTGTCCGACCACCAGTTGAGCAGAACCTTGTCCACCGTGCAAATCGACATCTCCGACATGTACGAAGGCGTGCGCTTGGATTACCCCCTCACCCCTCAAGTACGTCCACGTCTCACCTTCCATGTCATGTCCATGACTCGTAACTCGGTCCTAGAATGCCATCGACCTCGTGGACGGCTTCAAGCGCCATCAGCCGTTGCATCGGGAATACGTGATGCAGATCCTCTTCTCGACCCTGGCAGTGCTTCAAGACAAGCCCAACGTCACGTACCTCAACATTGCTCCGCATCCGCACCTAACTGTTGTCGGGTATGCTTATCTCCGCCATTGTTATATATATATATATATATATATATATATATATATGTTTAAAATGAATATTGAGAGCTAGTTTCCGATATATAATTCTCGTATCGGACGACTTCGACGACTATATTTATTTAAAATGAACGTTTAAAAAACTATCTTCCGAATCAAAACCGAACTACTTACCACTGGGTTTCAGCATGTAAATTACATGCTTCGACAAAATAAACTCCAAAAATAAATGACTTTGCCCGTGCATGATCCATTGGAATTCATCTTTTTTCGACGTTTTTTTGTCCTTTTGTAGAGACTTGCATGGCCAATTGGACGATTTGCTGCTTATTTTTCATGAAAATGGACTGCCGTCCCCTACGAACCCATACATTTTCAACGGCGACTTGGTCGATCGCGGCCCCCGTGGCGTCGAGTGCGCGCTCATTATCTTCGCCTTCGTGCTGCTGTACCCCAATGCTGTGCATGTCAATCGCGGCAACCACGAAGACAAGTATATTAACGTGTCGATGGGGTTTATGAAGGTTCGATATATATATATATATATATATTTGATATATATTAATAAAACGTTGATGGATAGGAATGCCTCGACAAGTACGACATGGACGTGTTTGATACGTTTGGCTACGTGTTTTCGTGGTTGCCGGTACGTTTGCTGTTTGGTCACGTTTTGTTAGAATGGAGTCGTGATAGTGGTCGTCATTTGTTAATACTATTGCCTAGTATTTGAAGTATACGATGTATGTATTGCTTTATATCATCTATTCGTATTGATTTGATTTGTGTTGCCTTGTTCGCAACTAGTCTTGTGCCACTGGTCGAATGTACGGACATTTTCGTTGCTTTTAATCCATCTACACGTTGGTATGCTCCGGACGGGCAATTTCTCTCTGTTATGATGTTTCCATTTGAATATTGTCGATTTGATACAAATTTGGGGAGGGGGTGCAATCGAATCGCGCCAACCAAACCGATTCGCAATCGATCTGATTGGCTGAATTTTATTGAGAAGGTTTTGATTGGTTTATAATTTTGAGCTCATCTGAAGTAGCCAATCAAATCGATTTAAACTCCAACGAGAAACCACGCCACAACACAATGAAATTTCACTCGAAAGCACAATACTGTCTGTCAAAGCATAAACCCTCTCCTATTTCCCGTCCTCTCGACGACAAATAACGTTTTATTGGTGGGTTGTCCTTTTCACCGAGTTTTTCACTGGGCAGTTTATTGAAGAAATCGACTCGACACACCGTTTGATACTATCCAATTTATACTTACGAAGATTACATATAAAATGAAAATCGACTGGGCCAAAAAAGCATCCTTGGGCCAAACATCACTGAAATTTCATGGGCTAGTCGATGGATTCGATTGGACTTAGCACTCCACTGTTGAATTGAGATGCGTATGATGATGAATCTAAAATCGTACGTATGACTCTTGTGTTTATCTCAAATATACGAATATTAAATATTTTAAATTTCGCTTGAACTGAAGCTGTTGCGTTATTTGCTTTGATCTTTCAAAAAACGATTGATTGTTTTTTTGTTTATACTTGTTTTCACAGGACCAAAATGCGTCTTAGACGTTAAAACGTACATGGAATAATGGACTAATTTGTCTGAAACCTGTTTACTTCAATCAAGAGAAGAAATGTTCAAGAAACTTTATTCAGCGACATGAGGAGGGGCGATTCTGTTCTGTCTATATTTAGCTCAATATATTTATATTCACTTAAGTACGCACGTCAAAATATACTTGTTCGACTTAGACGTACTTAAAAATGGTCCTAGGGGAGTTAACGTAATGTAGCAAAAAAGCTTTTGAATATTTTTTTATATACTCCATTTTTTGTATAATTTGTCCCTTTTTCTTTATTTCTAATTGTTTGTTCTGAATTGGTTGTGATTATTCTAGTTGGCGGTGGTGCTGGACCAACGCATTTTAATCTTGCACGGGGGCGTGCCACGTCAACACACGCTCCGCCTGGACGAGCTGGACGCCATTCCCCGCAGCGAGTACGAAGTGACAAAGGAGAAGCCGCCCACGGGTGCTTCTCCGTCTGATATTTTGCAGTTCAAACAGAACCAAATCATCCAGGACATCCTATGGAGCGACCCCATGACATTGGGCAACGACTGGGCCGAGAGCCGTCGCGGCGCCGGTAAATACTTCGGCTTGGACGATATATATGAATATATATTTGTTTGTACGAGATGAATGATTTATATATGTATGTTTGCTATAGGGATCAAGTACGGCGCCAACCACGTGCACAAGTTTATGGCACATAACAAACTGGATTGGATCATTCGGTCGCATGAGTGTGTGCCGCAAGGGTTTGCCTGGCCCTACGGGGACAAAGGTAGGAAATATATATATTTAAAGATATGTTATATGATCAAGTCCCTACGTTGTATCCTCGAGTATTGTTATATATATAAATATATATATAGTATGGGCCATGGTAGCTTTACAAATCGTACGGTATTGTTTGAATATATATATATATATATATATATAAATTGTTCGTGCTATCGAAGGTCGAGTATTCTTTGTCTCTACGTTGTATATTGTACTGTATACATAATATATTGTACTACGCAAGATGCGTTCATGTGTCACAAATAGCATAGTACATGTATTGCATGTATTGTTTGCATATGTACTATATTATATATATATATATACGTATGGGCGCAGTTCTGTGTCAACTTTGGTTCCGTGCCACGATGCATGATTGGTAGAAACCCTCACTCTGAAATTTTCAGCCAATCAGATGCAATTTTTGACAGATAACTGGATAAAATCAAGTGGCTCGGAACTGTTTTCAGCCTATCGATATTTCCACTCTTTTAATTCATTTTCCATCAACACTAATACGAATTTCGACATGATTTTAAGTTCTAGGAACTGCATTAATTTTCTTCGTTAAGAAACACTATTATAATAGCAATTTGGAGTAAAGGAGCCCCTCCATCGAAGGGTCCCAAAAAGTGTCACGGAACTGAGCATATATTGTATGTGGTTTTTCATAAATCGAAAGTTATTGTATGCTTTGACTAGAAATTTATAAAAATAATATCGTATTCTTTTATATCTATTTGTTTGTATTTATACTTATTTATTATTTGTCTCATATAAATAATGGTAGGCATGCTCGTGACATTGTTTTCGGCGTCTAATTACTGCGGCGTGGCCAACAACTTGGGCTGCTTCATGCGCATCCCCAGCGGCGCCAACGGTGCCAAGCCGTCGTTCTTCCAGTACATGGCAACTAGTACTACTAGTAGTAGTACTAATAGTGTCGACACCCCCAACCTGGTCGCGACCAACCTCGACGGTACGTATATCTATACTAATCCTTCGATCTGGCTATTATCATGCTAAGTATGGGTGCAGGGCTGTGCGACATGATCTGCACCCACCGCAGCGACTTGCTCGAGCGCTTTGAAGCAGCGGACGAGGCCAAGTCGCATGTGATTCCCGTGTCTACTTGGGAACACATCATGGACGACGTGCTGCAGGTCAAACTGAACTGGGCGATTGTGCGGCCCCTGGTTACGTCGACGGAACCAGCCGACCCCCAAGCGATCAACTACGTCGAGTTTTTGTACCGGTACCAAGTCCGAGGCTTGGAAATTGAGGATGAGCATGACGGAGGACAACGGGTGGCGGAGGACACTCGGAAGCGGCGGCGCGACATGTTCAACAACATGTACCGATATCGCAAGCGCCTCCAAGCGCTGTTCCAAGTGTTCGACCAAGATGGCAATGGCACGATCAACCTGGACGAGCTCAAAGCTGGCATTGAAATCCTGAACGAGCACTTACCAGTGGGTATGAAGCCCTTCACGCACCCCGAGGACTTGATGAAATCGCTCGACTTTACCCACGACAACGAGATCAACATCAACGAGTTTATGGAGTGTTTCCGCATCCACGCCAACTTGACCGCGCAAGCGAAATGGCGCCACGCAAAATCAAAGTTGAAGATCATGTCCGCCCTTGGGATGCTCAAAGTCGTGTCCGACGCCCCCGTGGTGACTGCGTCCGACGTGTCGTTTGATAAGGAGAGCGAGTCCATCTCCCCTGTCGTCGTAATGCGGACGGACGGCAATGACGACTCTGTCGTCGTGCTCCCATAGTCGGTCGTGTGTCCTTGTAGAGATAGACGCGAAGCTTAAACATGTTGCTCTGTAACACGATTAGGCAGGCATGCAGAGTGCTCGTCGTGATGGTACAGGGCGAATACCGCGCAAGGTGCAGACGCCCTGCTCAGGCGATGCCCATATGGCACGTCGGAGGGTGCGTATTGGTGTCATGGGGGGTGTTGCTGCAGCATTCGCAAGGACCAACAATTCGTCCATTGCCATCTCGTCCAGGACCATCGCGGTCATGCATGAAAGAGTCTTCTTCCTCGCCATCTCTGTGCTTCCTTGGGGAGTGGTGGGTGTCATGCGCTTCATAGAAGGTGTGCGATCTTGGTTCGTCTCACATAGCAAGTTTGGATTTGAACTCGGTGGATTGTTTTTGCGCAAAGTTGTTAAATATAAAAAATGTTTTGGATATCTCTTCATATTTGTATGAGAAGCTTGTGGTTCGTGATGAAAATAATAAAAGAACCTACATTCAGCCAGATTCCGAAGTCCATCATGTCCACGTCCACTTCAGCATTCGTGCTCGTCCATGGCAGTCCTACATCTCAGGTCCAGAATGGACACCTTCCAGTGTACCTGTGTCCTCAAGCATGTGCTTGTATCGAGCGACAAGCCAGCCACGCATAGCGACAACGACAGCAGCAGCAGCAGTGAAGCATGCCACCGCCAAGCGCGTTCACTGCTCCATGCCACACCGACGTTCGTCCCGTCATCAAGGTCCGCAACTACATGCACATGTCGAACCGATGGTTTCACGACAAAGGAACTGCTCTTCAAGGTTGTGCCGTTCGCCTGCAGCAAGTCCGACGGTGCCCAAGCATGTCAAGCGATGGTCACGTGCCTCCAGAAGCTCCAGCACCAACCTCTGACGACCGCAGAACTTCGCCTTCTGTACGACACATTCCGTCGTGTCCACAACACTAGCAACGCCTGCGCCAAGATGTATGCCACCCGCGGCATCGGCTTGCTTCGCCGGTGGCCGCCACCAATTTGCACCGACTAATGAAGAATTGTGTATTGTTTGATCTTGCGTTTCATCCATGGCACGTGTCCGCTCTTCATTCAGGACCAATCTTAACGATACCAGAAAGGCATCGCCCTGAACCTGCTTGAACCATTCGTGGAGGTAGCAAACGCGCGCTGGATCAAAGTATGGACGACGACATAGATGAGTACATGGGAACACTACAGTCAGATGGTGACAGAGTGTGTGAGGAAACATTTGCGATACAGTAACGTTGATGCGAAATTGTTTACTCGAGGGGCCGCCTCTACTATTAATAGGGTGATAAGTATCGCAATTCAATACGTGTTCGTGAGAAATATAGGACTATATTTGAAGTTTTCGCCAAAATGCTGTCTTTTATGTGCTGCTTCGTGGCTCAGAGATCACCGATCATCGCAAGAACATGGTAGCATGTACAGCAGCATTGATACAACGCAATAAAGCGGCATGGACGGTGTTACGATGCTTATTGCGGGGTATAATCACATCCAAAGTAAGCTATATTTCAGTTTTTTGGCATGTTTGAGGTCACTTCACGCATGCTAAATAAGTGCAATTGCCACACATTACGTCTCGTTATATAGCCATCTCTTCAGTTTTCATATTAAATGTATCACGCCCAGACCAGCCGTTGCTGAGCAATTCAACGACAAAGTCTTGTACTTTCTCGATAGTTAACATTGTCATAAATTATGACAAACATTCATGTTACCTTATGTTAACTTGATGCTATATTTCGATGTTATCCTTTTTATAAATTATGACATACTTATTTTATATTAAAAATACGAAACGGTATTCTCGTGGAATACTTTTCCAAACAGGATCGTAACTGGCGGCCAAAATTTGAAGTACATACTACGTATACGTTTTGAACAGCGAATACAAAGTAGCCTTGCACCAAAACTCGACGACTCCTTCGTCTAGACATACGTTTATCCTCGCTTATGTCGCCAACGATGGCTATGTTCGTCATTTCCCGCAGCCTCCCGTTCGCTGAAACCTCATTGCGTCATTTGATTGGCTACCAAATAATCCACAGAAAGGACATGGATAATAGAAGTATGTAGCTATTGTGCTTTCGAGTGAAATTTCGTATTGTGGCGTGGTTTCTCGTTGGAATTCAAATCGATTTGATTGGCTACCTCCAAAAGCTCAAAATTATTAGCCAATCAAAACTTTCTCGATCAAATTCAGCCAATCAGATCGATTGTGGATGATCTGTTTGGTCGGCGCGATTCGATTGCCCCCCCTCCAAATTTGTATCAAATCGACAATAATCAGCAAAAAACCATTTCAAAATTCTGTAGCCATAAGCGGCGAGGTTCAGTGCGAGGTAAAAGGACGAGATTCGATTGGGTAAAATATATTATCAGTATTGTGGAGTGGGAACAACTTTCCAGACCAAGTCGATATATGTCGGGGTTATTTGTTTATGATGGATGGATGCCGTTGTGGCAGCACCCAAGTCCGTTAGTTAGCTCATGCAGCTTTCGTACGTGGGCACCATATACCTACAAAGCCAAACACAATATCATGAAACCGACCTAACGTTACTATATACTAGTATGTTCATAACATTGTCATACTTGATGTTGACGAACGCATCTTCGCCGCCATGTCGCTCTAATATGTACAGAGTTTCAATGATAAGGTCACCAATGTTTTCGTCTCGCCGTTGGCCGTAATCGATGGCGTCTCCACAATTCACTACATATTCCCACATATATATATTATATTAAAAATATCAAGCAAGCCTTCCAGCACACTTTCCTCTCTTTATAAGTAGAGTCCCATTGCGTACCTCGTTTCGTGGCAAAGAGGTTGAAAATGGTCAGGATCTGACGGTAGTACGGGACTAGAGCCTCGCCCGCGTATGGACACGTGAGCACGAGTTTTTGCAGCACTTTCATTTGGATGCACATAATGGTGGGATGTCTGGTCATGAGGTTTTGCTTGATGGGGATCACGAGGTGAGGAATGCAAGTCAGCGGCCGGTCACCGCCCTTCTCCAACATGTCCATCGTGCCATTGAGGGCAAGGAACCGGTACGGCTCGTCTAGTTCGCGCAGGCCTTCAAAGAACAACGGCAAGTAGTGGCTATAGTCGATCTGCGTAATGTCCACTTGCCTACACACAAACATACGATGATGGTTATTAGCCTCTGTCAAAAACGGGCGAAAACGAAGCCAACTTGTAGAGAAGACTAGTAGTACGAGACTAGATTAGGCAATCATCTGAAATAGCGCAGTAGCTGGGGCCAAAAATCAATTAGCCAAACCATATCGAAAACAACACATGAGATTGGTCGAAAATCAGTGGTGGCTTTGTTCCTTTGAACACATATGAAACACGTGTTGCGTGCTACCATTGAACTTTGCGCACCGCGCCTGAAAAGTTTACGCGAAGCGGCAAGTCCGCACGGTCATCTACAGGATTCAAGTTGGATTTATGTACCACAGAAGTATATATGTATGTATACACAGTCTTGCTGTAGTACGTACAAAAGTATCGAAATTTGGTCTTTTCAATCGGTCGAACTTTGAAGGCGCCCGTGGTTTTGGGTTTGGTGGGACTGGACAACTCGCCCTGGTTGGACGGATGGTGATGATTCTGCGACGACGTTGCAGATGCCGGCTTGACCTTGGACGCACTGCTCTTTGTATTTTTCTGCAGTTCCCGCAGTCGAGATGTGGCAAACACATCTGAGAGCTCAAACTTGTTGCAGGTTGTTTTGACTGGAGCATGCTTGGCGGCTTTGAGCTTGGCCGCGAGCTTGTTGGGGGAAGGAGGTTTGGGCTGCTGCTGTTGCTGGCGCACTGCAATCGTCCGAGGCCTACTCACCTTATCCATTCGAGTGAGTCTTCTAGCGCCGCCTGGCTGCACCAGCTCCACGTGATGGCTAATGGAAACGACAACCGAAACCACCGGGGGGCCTGGCTATTTATAGAAAGTACCGTAGCTCACACTTGTTCAAGTTGCCATACAAGCCCAACGAAGTTTATCTCAATCGCTTGCTTGCTTCCTTTCGTGGCTACCGTGGATTCACGATCAACATGCATGAACATACTCGCGAGCTACCTACTGTAGGTGCGTGGTTAGCTGGCTACATGTCTGGCTAAAAGGATATTCCATGGTGGCGCCATGCATTGTACACATAATTCTAAGTACTCGGGAAGTACTCGGGAAGGATATACGACAAGGTGCCTCCAGCTGGTAACTTCGAATGCTTGCTTGGCTATGTTGGAATACCGAACTCGACAATGATGCTTAAAAGTGCATACTAAGATTATAAATAGTACTGTAAGATGTACTACTGTAGTATGTGACTTTCGCATTTGTCCCACATAGTTTGTCCCATTGGTGGCAGTTACATTATGTTACAATTGGCCCAATCTTGGCCGGTCACTCATCATCACTTCACCATTACAATCAACAAGCATGGAGGATTGGATGCCTGACGAGCATGACATCGACATCCTGTTGAACATCGACCATGAGATCACCTCCAGGCACGACCCAACGGTACATGACGCCCCGATTGGAAAGGCGTCTGTCGCATCGTCTACGACGTTGTCGCCACAGGTACAGTGGTAGACCTTGCCAACCACATTCCCACCTTCATCGTACACTAGAAGCGAGGACTGCCGCCAGAAGACGTCGCCTCGGGCGATGACAGCAGCGATGGCGAAGAGAACCTCGAACTCGCGTTGGAGCAAAGCCAGCACGACGCGGACGTAGTCAAGCGGCTCCGCCATCGGCTGATTTCGTGCCGATCGAGGCTCAAAAAGAAGCGCGAGCTCGTCGACCTCGCTCGCACCGTGCATACATTAGAGCGGCAATACCATGCCCTTCAATCGTCGTTTCCTAGCCTCGGCCACACCGAGCTCATCCTCGCTCGTTATCAGCATCATCCATCCTCTGATCCCGCTTTGGTCAAGCAAATCGCGTACCGGCGACTCCTCCAGCAAGCTGACCAACTTCGATCAGAGAACATCACGCTACAGCATGCAATCGCCAAGCACAAGACGTTCGCGTCCTCTGTGCAAGCGTCCATTTCGTCGACCGAGGCTTGGACATTGGTACTACACACAGCCACCTGTCTCATATTTCACTTGCCTGTCACCAGTTTACACTCGCCATCAAAATATCATCGTCGTAATCATTACTCAGGAACACATTCACGCCATGACAGTGTGCGACTTTGTATCGTTTCGACCGCTCACGACTGACCAGTTCCAAGCCAAACTCTGTCACATGCTGCAAGACATGGCGTCTTTCAACGTCCCTAATGATGCTGCGATGACAGCGCACGCCAACGTCGTGGATGGCTGGACGGACCGCCGACAAGTGATCGGGTCCCGAGTCAACATGGTCGCCACCAAGTCCTTCCCCGCCAACGTTGCTGACAGCGTCATGGAACGGACATGGGCGATGCTCACATCCGCCAGTCTCCTCAAGCAAGTTCTGCCATTCCTTCGAAAGCTGGACGTTTTGCAGACACTTACGGGGCCCCAAGATCGTCACCAGCAGGCCGTGGTTGTGCGCAGGGATTTTGTGTTTGCCCACGATGACCCCACGAAACGCAGGCGTCGTCATGTCGTGCACTACACGACGTTGCTGCTCGTGTGGCAAAAACTCGAGGTTCAAGGATATACATATATATATATATATATGTCATATGTTATGACACAAAACGTAGGGGGGGGGTCATGTCTTGACAAGTCGCACGATCGACGTCCCCGTCACCGACCACGCGTTCGGCGTTGGCGAAACCTGGGTCAACGAGTGTTTTCAGTACGTACAGCATATGCGGCTGTTATATACTATTTACATATGGATGGCCATTCTGTGATACATATATATATTGATGTGTTATATTTGTAGACTGTGCATTTGTGCCCCATCCTCTACTTTAGATGATCCAAGTAGTGTTCAAGTTACAGTCCAGGGATGGCAGGACCACGCTCGACCTAGCGACGCTAGTGCGGCGCTCATAACCACCCTTGAAGCTCTTTTGAAATGGAATCGAACAGTGTTAACATGAATCGCTTTGCGTGGCATGGTCTCGTTCGTCATCGGTATTCTCATCGTCACCGCCGGTAATGTCACCCAATTGCAATCGAATGTCGGACGCTGTGACAATCGCGGGCGTGTCGATCACACGAAGCATGCCCAGGGCCCGCAGCGCTCGGATCTTGGTGCGTGCGCGGCGCCACTTGGCCACCACCTGCGACCATGCCGCCGACATACCATTGTTAAAACTAAAATCATATATCTGCGACACCGTACCGTCAAGTTGGCGTGGATGCGGAAACACTCCATAAACTCGTTGATGTTGATCTGGTTGTCCTTGGTAAAGTCGAGCGATTTCATCAAGTCCTCAGGGTGTCTAAATGGCTTCATCCCCACTGGCAAGTGCTCGTTCAGGATTTCAATGCCAGCTTTGAACTCGTCCAGGTTGATTGTGCCATTGTCATCTTGGTCGAACACTTGGAACAGCGCTTGGAGGCGCTTGCGATACCGGTACATGTTGTTGAACATATCGCGCCGGTCAATCTACCATTATTACATACTAGTACACAATATCGACCTTCTTTCGAAATGGCCACGAATATATATATATATTGAACCTCCATAACAGTTAGCTTCCACATGCATGGCCTTGAAGATATGTATATATATGTATATACAACATCCATAATAAACGTCCAATTACTGGCCACGAATATATATATATATATATACCATCGAAATGGCCTTGGATAAAACATGTCCAATGGTCACGAATATATGTATTGATTGTCAAGTCAATCGAATGAGCAGAATCACCAAATAATTCGGCAGACAATCGATATACGACCAATCAAAACTCACAACAAAATTCAACTAGCCAATCAAACTATCCACTCACATTCGACCAATTCAATATTCAATTAGTGTGTGATTTAAATTAGTGTGGCACTGGACCATTTTTACATTAACAAAAGTCAGTACAATCAATCAATCCATAGATTTGACAAAGAATCAGCACCCCAAAAGTCAACCACATTTGGGGTATTGTCGATTTGATACAAATTTGGGGAGGGGGTGCAATCGAATCAACCAAACCGATCCACAATCGATCTGATTGGTTGGATTTCATTGAGAAAGTTTTGATTGGCTAATAATTTTGAGCTCATCTGAGGTAGCCAATCAAATCGATTTAAATTCCATCGAGGAACCACGCCACAACACAATGAACTTTCACTCGAAAGCACAATAAAAGGACTCGAATATAAACTATCCCATCATCGTCCCCACTACAGACTTGCATACAAAACCACATGGTGTCGTCGTCTACTCACCGCAGCAGTGGCTCCTGCTACCGTCGACGCGGCAGCATCATCATCATCCTGGCTCGCGGTCGTGCCACGTGTATGATACCGATCGAGAAAGTTGACGTAATCAATCGTTTGGTTGGGTTCAATGGACGTCAAGAGCGGGCGAATGCTGGCCCAGTTGAGCTGAATCTGGAGCTGTTGCTGCATAACGTCATCCCAGTCGGATGTTGTGACAGTGTGCGTGTCACCAGGGTCCAACTCTTGGAATCTGCGACGCAGTTCGTCGCGATGGGTCACGATCACTTCAAACAGGCCTACCCAAACAACCATATTCATCATTGCATACTGGACAAGGGGCGAGCGACAACGTGTATATATATATATATATATGATACCTTCTAAGTTGGTTGCAACCAAGTCGCTTTCAGACGTCGTTGCCATGTACTGAAAGAATGATGGCTTGCCATTTTGAGGTATACGCATAAAGCAGCCCATATTGTTGGCCACTCCGCAGTAATTGGATGCAGAGAACAGCGTCACGAGCATGCCTACAATATGCTGTCCAATGGCCACGAATGTATTCAGAGAATGTATGTACCTTTGGCACCAAATGGCCAATCAAATCCATTGGGCACGCATTCATGGGATCGAATGATGAGCTCGAGGCGATTCTTTACCATGTACTTGTACACGTGATCGGGGCCATAGTTTATGCCTACATGATGATCATGACGATAGATATATTCAGATCAACTCGATACATTCGTGGCCATTTGGAGAGTTTTCGATATCCCCGTAAAGGATAGTATTTTAGGGGAAATAACTCAGTGTATTACCTTGTCACGCTAAAGGTCGCAGAACATATAAATTATATATATACATATATTCATATATTATGAAGATTAAAATCATTTAATCTATTTTTTTAACATATATGAACCACGGAAACAATACAAATCCATATACAAACCATACAATACATGAAATTCAAGGCCATTTGGCACACTATACAAAAACTCATACCGGCGCCACGAGAGTTTTCTTTCCATCCATTCGCTGTGTGCGGATCGCTCCATAGAATGTCCTTGATAATGCGCATAGATTTATACATCTTGCGGCTCGCCTTTGTGTCGCCCTTGGTGCGGTACATGGACAGGTCGTACAATTGCCGAGGTACAGCCAAGAGGTCGTGCAGTTTTGTCGTAGCATCCCGAGGAATCCCGCCATGTAAAACCAGAATCCGCTTGTCCAATATCGTACCAATCTATCATGTGGCCATGTAGAACATAAATATTATCATAGATATGTTGTAAGCGTACCGGGAGCCACTTGAACACGGCGCAAAACATCGCGTACACTTCGGCGTCGTACTTGACGTGGCATTCCTACACTCATATATATATATGAGATACGGTTTCGAATCAGACGCAGAACGAATCAGACTCAGAACGAATCAGATATACCTTCATGAACCCAAACACTTCGGTAATAGACCTATCCAGAGCATCTGAGACGACGTTGATCCATTTCAAGACCATTGGATGATCCCCGCACTTACTTGTCTTCGTGGTTGCCGCGGTTGATGTGGACATACTGGGGAAACACCACCGCGAACGTAAACAGGATGAGCGCGCACTCGACGCCGCGGGAGCCCCGGTCCACAATGTCGCCGTTGAAAATGTATGGGTTGTCAGGGCTCGGCAAGCCATTTTCACGGAAAATAAGCAGCAAATCGTCCAACTGGCCATGCAAATCCCTGTAAATACAACAAATATTCAGTGAAAAACTGGCCAAAATGCACCCCAAAATCGTCGAAACTATGGCAAATCCCACAGTGTCCCATGCAAAAAAACACAAAAAAATTGTTTAAAACATGGCAAAAAAAACTCAAAATACGGCAAATCCTACCGTGTCGCATGAGAAATATAAAAAAATATATGTGAAAAAAGGCCAAAAATACACCAAAATCATGCAAATTTTCAGCCACATAACTTACCCGACGATCGTCATGTGTGGCGACGGTGCAATTGAAAGCTCAGTGATGTTGGGCTTTTGCTGCAGCATGTGAAGGGCCGCGGTGAGAATGTGCATGGCAAAGTTCCGGTGAAGCTTTTGACCCCGCTTGAAGCTATCCACGAGGTTGTGCGCGTCCTAGTGGAATGGCGATGAGAGATGGAACGATGGAAGGAGGTTGCGGTACTTCTTTGGTGAGCGGGTCGTTCATGTGGATGCCTTCGTACATATCGGTGATGTCGATGGAAGCGGCGGCGTGCCACGACACGTGATGCTGCATGCGCAACGAGTCCGTGGGTGGTGGCGGACCGAGATCACTGTAGTCGACGTCGTTGCTGCTGGGCATGTGGTCGTGCAGAGCTCGAAGGAACGACGACAGTTCAAACTACGGTAGGTCACGATGACAGAATACGAGGGAGTGCCTTGTTACCATTTCAGCTTCTTCACGGTTCTCCAAATCATTGAACAGCTACAGACACACGTGAGATTGCATTTACATGCGAATGCGTCCAAGAATACCTTCCACTGCGTGGAGGAGAAGCGTTCGTCGTCGGTGCCGCCTGCAGTCGACTCGCTCGATCGTTCGTCGTCACCTTGTGATTGCTCGTCCTCCTCTTTCTTGGTGGGCTTGGTGGAGGATGAAGATGTATCCTTCTTCGTTGGTGTGCTGGGTAGAGGTGATGCCGCGCCCTTCTTCCCGGCAGTCTCCGACCCGCGCGGTTTCGACGTAGCTTTGCTTGCCTTGTTCCCCATCGTGTCAAAAAGGCTTTTCAAGATAAAACTACAGTATTTTTTATCTGCGAAGATTTCAGACTTGCGGATTGTATATAATTAAATAACTGCAAAGCTGACGCTGGTGTAACTGTCTATTTCTTCGTCATGATGACTGTGAAGCAAGTACCTGACGAGACGAAGTAGGCGCGAGTCGAATACGAGTAGAAGATGGCAACCTCCGCCGACACGTCGATGCATGAGACTTGATACTAGTTGTACTGTGAAGTACAGTGTATCGACCCCGTGCTATGTAGGATGGGTGGTGAGGCAGGCATCGTGTACGGTCGCTATGCGTGTAATCATCGGTGGCCAGAGTGTACCGCATACTACTAGTACACGTTTCAACTCCAAGGGAATGCAAGTGCCTAAAGGAACTCCGACGTGGGCCACACGTCATGCATGTTCATGACGACGACGTGAAGGGAATGCTGCTACCATTCCTTGCTTTGTAGCCGTCGTCACCGCTGGGTACGACTTGATTAGCCAGAACTCCAGCAGGTATTAATAGTAGTACTACCGGTAGTAGTACTATTAATAGTACGCACTTCGTCGATCGTCAAGCTTGGTGACACATTCTGCCCTCACCACGAAAAATGGTAACTTGCATTTTGTATGTTATATCCGAACCAAAATATATCACCAACACACTATTAATAGTACAAGTACTGTACTATGGAAAGTAGGATTGAAATACTAGTAATACTACTAGTAGGTGATGTGTATGATGTCAAGGATCCAAACGATGGAAACATACGCAATATTTATGCTACTCATAGACGGTTTCACATCCACATGTCGTTCCGCGAGCGCCGCGGAGCACCCCCTGCGCTTCAGATGGACGACGAGTACACGGAAGACGAGGACGGCAAGTCTGGAGGGTGTCCATACGAGACCAACGTGTTGGAAATGTCGTGCGACATCGGAGACACGACGTTTCGCAAAGGCCGGTTGGCCATCACGATATCCTTTTCCACACTGTCGTGGGTTGGGCGTTATTCCGTCTAAACAATTTGATTCCTTGACCAACGTGTGCACAGCAACGGCGTACGCGGGCACCCGAAAGCAGCGCCTTCGTCGTCGGTGGATGATTCCACTTCAAAAGTGCGTGTATGATGCATGTTCCCTCAGATGATCATGCCACCATATATTTGCGTTGTACTAGTGCTTGGTCGATGTGAACAACTTAGAAACAGTGGGTGTTCTTGGCCGCGGCTGCAGCGGGACCGTCGTGAAGGCGCTTGATCGATCCACCGACGTTGTGTATGCGGTCAAGGTCCTCTTCGTCACATTTCGACACGGTTCCCCACCATCCGATCCTCATGTATCTAGACGGTGCACAATGTGTACGACAAGGCTCAGCGCCACCAGATTCTTACAGAGATCCAAACCTTGTACAGCGTGGACACCCCTTGGTACATACATAGTACCTATTGAGTACTTTTGGTGAGATGTTACGATCGTTTATATGGGTAGGTTGGTTGGTTTTTACGGCGCATACTTTAAAGACCAAGCGCTCAGTTTGATCTTGCAGTATTGCGATCGAGGGTCTCTCGACGGGTTGGTTATTCAGGTCGGTACTTTTGTACCTACCTGCTGATTCGAAACGGATGATCGGTACCTACCTAATCGGTACTTGTACTGATTCCAGCGAGTACCGATTCGGAGTACGTCGGTACTTTGTGTCCACATCTATTCGTGCTAATCGGTATTAACTGTTAGTTGTATATATGTACTATGTCATAACTATAGCATGGAGCGATCCCGGAACGCATATTGGCCCACATGACGTTTCAGATCCTCAGTGGATTGCAACATTTGAAAGAAGCGCGCCATTTTCATCGTGTAATGCCTACATATAGTGTGTGAACGTAGTAACTCCACATTCACACTATATGACGATATATCCTGACTTCTATAGGACATCAAACCGCAAAACATCCTCGTCACGAGCCAAGGCTGCGTCAAACTCACTGATTTTGGTATGCATCTATTTACTATGCATTCTCCTTCGTCGTTATTTCTTCAATATTTCTTCAATATTTGATGGAATTTGTATTGTACTGTTGAATTCTATCTACTAAAAAGTCAGAAAACCCCAATTTTTGCAACTTTTTGAGAAATCTTCAAACAACAGATCTTTTGCGTGTTTGGGTGTGTTATTGATTTGGACCGAATTTCCGGACCCTGTTCAATCGAATTTCATACCCACGAAACCAAATCTCTCCCATTGGTCAATCTGAAATCACTCTTTGCTGATTGGCTACATTGTTTATCCTTTCTTCATCTTTGGGGAAACAAATCAAAAATATATTTCGCAAGGCGAGACTTTTGATTGGTTGTATGAATCGCGCTGAATAGTGGGAAATATGTAGCAAATTCATAACAATACGTCAAAACATATATTTTTACTGTTTTCTGACAGAAAAAAGTTTCAACTGCAACTGACGTAGTTTTTCCTACATCATAGTCCAGTAATGGTTCCCATTCCATCATGGCATCCACAAGTGATATCAAAACCATCTATATATATATATATTGTGAATTCGCTCTAATCTTGTAAAATTCGCGTGGTTTGTCGAATTGAATCACGCTGGAGTTGTGATTGGTTGAATATACTTGTCCTTTTTCTGTAAGAGCCAATCAAATCCACTAAAAAAATTGGATTAGCCAATACCGTCGATTCGTGATTTGATTCGGCACCGAGATATTCGATTCGACAGGGTCTGGAAATCTGTATCGAATATACCACAATATTTCTCGTCTCACATTTGAAACATATATATTTTCTGTCAGAGTATGATTTGACATGATTGCTTTTTTTCTGTGGCATCCAGACTCGGCCTTAGGCTACATTCGCTCAAATTCCCTTTAAAGGAATATTATTTATTATATATATATACATACGTAGGCCTTGCCCGAGAATTAAGCGGCACGTTCGACATGGCGCAGACATTTGTCGGCACGTTCAAGTACATGTCACCCGAGCGCGTGCAAAACGAGCCCTACGAGTATGTTTGTGCACACAATGAAATAACGATATTTATCAAAAAAACTCATGATTTTTGCTATTTTTTATAGTTTTTCGTCGGATATTTGGGGCGTGGGCCTGGTGTTGTTGGAATGCGCATTGGCCGAGTATCCATATGGAGATTGCCGCAGCTACATTGATGTACGTGTGGATGACATTCATAGACGATCTAGTGGGTATGTCTAGTAGTTGCTCCCGTCCGTCCAACTTGCATGGGATATATACTATGTTGTTATTTATTCTATATATATATATATATCAGGTGGTACAAAGCATTTTGGAATCTCCGCCGCCGTCGCTACCCTCCGATTCGTTTTCAGCCGAGTTTCAAGACTTTCTCAACGATTGCCTTCGCAAAGACGTACGTATATATATATATATATATATATTACACCTTCGCAAATCTCTCGCTCTTTTCGCCATTTGCGACGATCTCCCCAAAATTCGTATACAAAAACGAATAAACTCTTTTTCTTTTTATTATTCGTGTAGCCCGTTGAACGAGCGACGACCGACACGCTATTGTACTCGTCTTGGCTCGAACTGCATGACGCCACAGGTATATATTCTATTCATACATGTATATATATATATATATATTTCTGAATTAGCATCATGCACTCTTTACTAATTGTACGGTTTTGCAAATAATATATTTCGAAGGATATTGATTGCTCCTTTTATACAATTAATATATATATATATATATTATGTTCAGGAATACTACAGCTTCAATAGTGTTTGCGTTGTGAATTGCGAATTGCGAATTGCGAAAATACGATCATCCTCCTCCTGTTTTTGATATGCGAAGGCGCGCATATATATCTTTTATTAAGTTTCAAAGTTTTGCTTCATCCAGGATGCTTGATTGTGATGGTCAATAATTTCAAAATACTTCTCGTAGATGGAGAGCGCTGCGCCAAACAAGTTTGCAAATGGTTGGACTCGCTCACTTTATAAACACATAATGCGCAGTGTCGCAGATATTGTTTTGTGTTGTACGGTGACGGCGGTGTACAGCCAAGAGCCCGATCATCACGACGACCAGCACACCTCCTACACTTGCCACGAGCATCCAATTGCCCTTGTCCCCGTCGATTCTACTTGAAATAATCAAAAATCATCTATCCAGTTCAATTTTCTACCTCGTCGAGAACGATGTGTCGAACAGCATCGCAGATGGGTGCATTTTCGCCTCACAAGCTTCCATATTAGCGACCCATGCCCCATACTGAAGCGTTCCCAAGCCTACATCACATACACACATCACCGTTCAAACTAATACTATGGGATCATGTATAAGCCAAACAATATAGAGACAACTAGTTGTAGTACGAGTAGGATTGCTAGTATTACTAGTACGACTACTAGTAGTAGTACCTGTGAGCAAATCGTAGCCGACGTCTGCGTGGAAGCCATCGGCACAACACACTTGGCCGTACCCGCCACATTTGTTGCAGCCCGTCGAAATGTCCCCAAATACTTGCGGACACACTGCAAACAGCTACATATATATATATTATATATATATCATCGTAAAAATGTCAAATATATCTCGATAATCCTCTCAAAAGCGATAACATGACTGCCATACTCCAATATATATATATAAATGCTAAGGGGCATCAGTTCAAAGTAGTTTTCAGAAGTAGCATGAGCCAATCAAATTCGATTTCGTCATTTCTTATTAATCCTTGGGAACTAAAAATAAAGTCAAATCCGCTCCAATTGGACTTCCCAGTAGAATCGAATGAAGGAGGTAAATAATGTATTTTAGAATGTCCTAGCCAATCAAATCACACTTTTGAGACATTTGAGCCAATCAATGATCATCGTAGGTTGGTCCAACAAAAACCTCCATTTTTCAATTTGTACACAATATATTGAATATATTATTCAAAATACAACCCAAATCGATTCGGGAATCACTTGACCAGTCAGGCCAAATTTGAGTCAAAAGGGCAACAATATATCTATCTACACATGGCAGAAATGTATATATTAATCAACCCACCTTGTACAAGTACGGCACGACGTAGCCGAGGGGTGGGTTGCCGTGATCGAGTCGGAACTTGTTGACATGCGCGAGCAATGACGCCACCACGGGCGCCGACACGGATGTGCCATCTGTCTGTTGGATCCCGCCGTTCACAAACACCCCCACGTTATGGCCCACGGCCACCACTACATATGGAGAAGCAGGGGTCGAAAATGGTCAAATTTGAGGATTTTCGACGTTTTTTCTTCTTTTTTTCATGAAAAACTGACCATCTGGATATGCCCGGCCAAACGAATTGAACTTGGCCATGGCATCCGGTGGCAGACGCGCCACCGCCGACTCCACTAGTGCCTCCTACAGTACGTCATTATATATATATATATATACATGTATTGTCATATCGATTCGACACTGGAGTCCTCAGCAGGAGAATCGATTAAAGAACCACCTGAGCCAATCAAATCACGCCATGTCGAATTTCTGCCAATCCAAACGTTTGACCCCGCAAAACCACATATATACTAATATGTGTATAGTATAGTGTGTACAAGCTCTTTTATAAATAGGATCAAATAGATTTGAAAGCCATTAAACTTAAAATGGTCCTAGGGGAGTTAATATTTGGCGATATGACTCAAATGTCCAAATTTGGGTCAAATGCACAATATGCGATGAAAAACAATAGTTCGTTGTTGGATGCATCGTAAAAATGACAAGTCAGCGCTACTCTTAGTATGTATATTTGGGGGATAACTTGTTACTTGGAAAGAAATGGCGACTTGAGATCGATTGATATAGCCGCTAAAGCCCGAGCCGGTTGTGATCGCGCCGCCATTTTCGGTCGAGAGCCCGACTTCGCCAGTCGATGCATCACCAAATTTGGTCGCCCCCACAGACAACACGTACGGTGACGACGCAGGGTATTGCGGCTACATACAGTAAGTACATGGTTTTCCCATGAATTTAGATATTTAATATATATATACTTCAAACTGGAATGCAAGTAAGAAGTTTGTCCTTTCGTGAACTCACCTGGTACCGGGAACAAGCTGGAGTGCCACAGAATCCGAGCAAAGTACTACCCACGACGCCGTTGTCCCCGCTAGACACGACGACCGTCGTGCCTCGAACGCCTGCTTTCTTGAACTCAGCGTCCACGGCTGCCACGTACGCTGGCGGAAGGGCACACTCGTCGTCCGCATAACTAATGGAATTATCCGGATATGTATATGACGTGGCAGCCGCACAGGCAAGTATGGCCAACAGCTTTGTACCTGATCGACACGACGGCGGGCGGAGGGTCCATAGCGTTCACCTCTTGCATGAAGGCCAGGAATGGCTACCACCACAACGATCGGTCAATATACTACCAATCTACAAATAAATACTAGGCTGGTATTTATCAAGTAGGCAGAAGCCAACCAATGGACGACCTAACTAATATGCATGTACAGTAGTACTAAAGCAGGCTAAACCTCCATAAACACACAGATCTAGACAGACATTCGGATCAAGTAGCAAGTCAAGCGCAAAAGAAATGTGGCACTTGCACAGTGTCACAGAATAGGCCTCCATAAAGGCACATAGTGCCAAAGTTGGCAGCTAAAAGAACCCCACACGAGCACGCTTTGAATGGCGCCAACCTCTTGGTTGCTGTCGTCAAAGGCTTGACTGGGAACACGATTGGCGTTGTAGCACAGGACAGTCGCGTGCTGGCTCTGCGTGAGCGCGGTCACGAGCTGCGTGTCCAGCGACGCTTCGCCGGTGCCGACGCCGAGTCCGTCTCCGATGCAGTGCACTGGCTGCGGGCCGTGAAAGGCCGAGGAAGGTGCTTGTTTGTTTCTGGCCTCGAACGACTCGATGTCACGCTGGTTGAATGTTTCCTTGAGGAAGGCGCCAATGACGATGGCATTGCGCGGGTCCGAAGCGTCCAGCCCTGACGGCAAGTCGTACGCGCGCTGAATAGCCTCCACGGACGTCGAGGACGCTTCGCCCGCCGCGGTCGCCTTGGCATGCGCCTGGGCTTGGAACAGAGTTGGGAACGCGTCCAGGCCGTCCACGAGAAGCACGTGGGGTTTGACGTTGGACGGCAGCTGGTACGACCCACTAGGGCGGACGATGCGGCGATCTGGATGACCCTCATGCGCATATTCGAACAATTCTGTGTGGAACAAGGCCTCGGCCGCGGCCACAGGCATGGCCACGCGGATGTAGTCGCCATGCTTACTCCGGGAAATGTTGTGCGCATGCAGAAACGACTCGATGAAAGCGACTGCTACATCGCTGGGACGCACGAGTGCACTCACGTCGGCGATATAGCGGCCATACATCGGCGTATGGATGTCGGCAATCGCTGCAAGCGCGTCGTCCAGCGCACCAGGAGACGCTGCCCGAAGCGCGAATCCGAGCGTCACCGTTGAGTCCTTGTCTGCAGGACCTATTGGCCTCCACTGGACGCTTGCTGCTAGCGCCACACTAGATGAGATGAGTGTCGCGACGAGGTGCCCAAGGCCGCGCATGTCGTCACCAAATCTTCGTTTCGAAATCTCAAGTGAAACGGCACAGGATCCGGTTTTGTCCGGTTAGCAGTGGCATCCTAAGCAGCCAAAAAGCTTAGCTGCATTACTGTACGATTCGGTAGGGCGAAGTCCCTATGAAACGACGATGTAGTTCCTATTTTACTTCTAATTTGAATGTACTCACTGGTACAGTACAGTTGTGCTGCGTGAAGCTGAAAGGTTGGGCATTCTTCTGATTATTTACAGTTAATCGGATTGAATTGTCTTCAGCTTAACATGTTCATTTATTAATACTGCGCTTTCCACTCAAGTATGTTGTTTTTGCCTATTTTTTGGTGATTTCATTTTTCTAGTGATACGATTGGCTATTCCAAAAATCAAGCAATTCCATTGGCCAATTTGAGTGCACGTACGTTATAGCCGACTGGACGACGCGCCCGTGAACAATTACATTCTTCGTAGTGTGTGTGTATACATTTGAGATCCAGGAATTGCCTTTGACGGCAAGTTACTTGCTAACGTTACTGAAAGGCGGGCCATGGCGAGCTGAGTAGGCTACCGGTAGTTGCGAACAACGCAGCAGACCAGTGCACGACGACGACGTTTACTGATAACGTTACTACAGTACTACTACGTAGCAGCTGATTAGTTGACGCTCGTTAAGCACACTTCACTCACTTTGAATCGTACCCTCTTCTGTACTATGTACGAGCACAACCCGCCGTAGTCAACTTGGTGGTCTTACTCTTCTTGCTTACCAGCGCAGGCCGCTGCTGCAAGTGGACACTACAGCAGGGTTGTGAGTATTGACGGGGTTAGCTACTGTACCCCGGGTAGCTACCTCGTCCACCGTCTTACTATGTAGTAAGCGATGCTAAGTGCTGAAGTCATCCTACTGTACGTACATAAAATCGGTTGTGTATCACACAAGAACCATGTACTGTACACTATAGGGGGGGACAGTCATGGCGTTTTCGACCCACCTTCATTTGAAGATTGAACTTCAATGGCACGAAGTCCACAACGAAAGGCACGACGAGCTACAACAGCCAGACGTACGGCCACGGTGTCGCCCAGTGAACGCGGCACCGACGATGAGACTCAAGACGAGGATCACACCCAGGTCCCGCAACTTCCAAACAGCGACGCGCCAATCGAAGGCAGCGACATCGCACGTCCATCCAAGAAGGCTAAGACTGCTTCAACTCGAATGAACTCTGGCAACATCGTGGTTCGAGGATATGATCGGAGCCGCAACATTCCAATCGATACGGACGCGGCACACGGTGCTTTCTTGTGCGAGAAACCCGACGGGGACGCAGCACTATGGGCGAGTTCCGGCTACGGTGGCAAGGCTCTACGAGACCAGTACTCGCATACGGCCATCGAGACAATCGATGACATTCGAGTCGCTATGAGCCATATCGTCAAAAGCAAAGACCAGACATGGGTTACGTATGGCCAAGCGATTGAAGCAGCCAAGAAGGGCCACAACGTGGGTCACCAGTTTTTGGTGGCCTGCTACCACAACGGCTTACCGCCTCAATACGCGTGGGTGAGTCGCATTCGCAACCCGGCCAACGTCACACAAGCAGCTATTGGTTTACAACAGATGTTCCGTTCGGATGGCGTTGGTGTAGGCAATGGCGAGATTCGAGCCATCAAGACACCCTCGACCGTGACCATGCCCTGGGCGGCCACGGAAGAAGATGAGCCAGTTGCTGCTTCAGTGGAGGATTTTACGCACAAGGCGCTACGCACCCTCGTGGCCAGCGTGGAGATGATGGTTCAAAGGATGCAAGGTGGGCGTGGCGGCGGCTATCGACCCAGCAATGATCGGTCGACCCAGCAATGATCGGCACTTTAGTCGTAGTCGAGGCTCTATTACGCCTCCCCGACTATGCTGGCACTGCCAGTCACCTAATCACTTGCACCGGAATTGCCCGAACTTGACCGTCCCCACCCACAGACCAGCTACAAACCATGGCTCGTATCAGAAAAATTAAGGGCAGAGTCACCCCGAGTCTGCTGAACTGGCATGGGTTTCCAAACGCAGTAAATTTGAAGATATTTTAAATATAGCCAAACCATCTACCATTGCTGCGGCGAACGTCGACAAACATAAAAGCAGGTCACAACAACTGCAAGCAGCCTCGCGTCGTGTCTTGATACTGAACAACCGCTGAATGGCATACGAAACCCCAGGACTACATCGGGCTGTCCACTTGGCATTGGATCATGGGCGGCGTCGCCATGGCCGCACGCAAAAGTACACAGACAGCTATTCCACGAGCTGTGTGGGGTGCAAACATGGCAACGAGTCGCACGTTCCTGTGAAAAGGGCGGGGGGGGGGTACGTCGAGGGATGTACGGGAAGTGAATGTCCCTCCACAAGTCCGATGCGTGGAGGGATCGACCGTCCAAGACGGCACATCACATCGTCGTCGAAGTCCATGTTGTGTGCCGAGCATGACAGGTCAACTACTCTTAGGCAGAGATTTCATGGATCAATACAGCATGGCCTTGTGCGAGCTTCACTTGTCGTCAACGGGACCCCGCTGAGCCACGAATTCAAGGTTCTGGATATGGTCGACGTCACTATCCATCGATGCGGTCGAGGGGTGGCTGACCAATGTGAACGCCGCCGTGGGCGTCAGCGCTCTACTACCTATGGAAGAGGCCAGCCATTCATCTGGGCCATTTGAATCACGACCAACGCCTCGTACTGCGGCGATTTCCCCAATTGACACAAGCTGACGCCTTGGTATTACCAGCGGCAGTGATGGGCGTCGAACATGCCATCAACACTGGCACGGCTCCTCCCGCCCAAGAACGACCAATACCGGTGTCGCCGTGCAGAAATCGTTGATTTACTGTTAGTTAGGGCCCGTCTGGCAACATTTCAAAAAGAATATTCCATTTTCTCGCAAAATGGGATAAACGACAAAATGCCATTTTCAAAATGGAGGTAAAAGGCCCATTTTGGAATAATATCGCGTTTTGGACCACTTCAAGAATTAGATTCAGGCTAATGGTAACGGCATGAACAATCTTCATATCGCTCGGTTGATCTGACGGTTTGCCAGACGGGCCCTTATTACGGAAAGACCTCATTGAATCCGCCAGTGGCTTTTCCCATCGACGGATCAGCGTGGTTTTGCATCGATGATCGGACCCTCAACGCAGTGACAGGGTGCGACGTGTACATATATCCATCCCCTACCTCGCATTCACGAGACCTTGAAGCAGCTTGGTGGCGCCAAATGATTTACAACCTTGAACTAGTCGTCGTCGGGCTATTGGCAGATACATGCGTATGAGCCCAGACGACATGGACAAGACAGTATTCACAAGCAAGTACAGAATGTACTCAAGAGTAGACGCTAATTACGGCGGCAGCTGGGGGCTACTTAGTTCGTTAAGCACACTTCACTCACTTTGAATCATACCCTCTTCTGACTACGTACGTACATCAAGCACAATCCGGCGTAGCTACAATGTACTGTAGTACTAGGCAAACACTGAACCTTCACACTGTATGATAGGATAACGTTAGTGCATCGAAGACACACCAATTGGTGGTGTACCGCCTCGATCAAATCAAGTACTTTAGCACCGGTGAATCATTTAACGTCAAGTTTTACGTTAACCTTACGTTGTTTTTCATTGATATTGCACACGCGCTATTAGTAAGGGGTCCTCCTATTATTAATAGTATTTATTCTACTATGCCCGAGGGATAGTAAAGGCTTTGATATTATAGTAAGCTACTTCCAAGTAGTAGTACTACATACTTGCTCGAATAATACCCAATCACGAAAACACGGCAGTATGCCAGTGCTCGAGCGACGCCAAGACGATGTCGGCGTCGGTGAATCGGGCGGCAATGTCTTTGCGGTCGTAGAATCGCGCGTCGGGGACCGCCACCACTTGCATGCCAGCTGCGCGGCCAGCCAGGACGCCGTTCGGGGAGTCTTCAACCACCACACACGTCGACATGTCGGTGATGCCGAGGCGGGCGGCCGCGGTGAGGAAGATGTCGGGGCTGGGCTTGCCATGGAGCACTGCCGGGTCGTCTCCGCATACGATCACCTACACTAAATGATAATGCGGACGAACAAGCACACATATGAAAGGAGGAGGTGACCTCAAATCCTTCAAACAACGACGGATGCACAGAGCGCTTGTTTGCGACCGCTTTGGACGTCGACGAGGTGGCCAACGCCACCTTTACGAGCGGATTCGTCTGCAGGCGCTGCACTAGTTCCAACGCTCCTACAAGTGACACATGAGATGGGGATGCACACATGCGAACTTGGACAGGTGTGTGTGTACCCGGAAGCAATACACTGGACGCAACCTTCGTAGCGAGGATAGCATGCCATTGATGGGCTAATTCTTCAGGCGAGATGGTCAAGTGTAGCTCGTCGACGACAATCCGAGTCCACTGATGGCTTGGCATGCCGAGGATGCGCTTCTGCAGGTCCAGGGTGTAGGTCGGACCTGCGATTTCTATCAACGTTTGCACGCTGAGCATCTCCGAGTCAAGGAGGGTCCCATCTACAAAAGTCACATCATCACCACATGCCGCTCGTGGAAGGACAGTGCATCGTCGTAGATCTACCGAGGTCGAAGATGATCGCAGCTACGGGCATGGTCCTATCCTACAGTACCGGTCAAGTTGTCAAATGCTTTGATGAGTTGTGTTTTGGCGAATGTTGGTCTACACTGTGTGTCAATGGATCAAATTCGAGCAAAAAGCTTCCAATTAAGGTCGAAATACGACCGAATAATGGAAAATGCCTGCACTTTTTACCCTATTTTTTAAATTAATCGTCAAATGGCGAAATTATTCACAGAATAATCACATATTTTTGCGAATCCATGAAAAATCATTTGCAGTTGTATCCCAAATATGCGAAAATACTGAATCCATGTCGACTATCCTGCCGAGCGATGTCACCGACGATGGCGGCGGCATGACGTCGAGCGCGTTATCACATCGCGACCGCCTGGTGCAATTCTACACGGAGCATAATCCGTCGAAGATACCCTCCATTGAGTCCCTCCTGAAAAAGTACGAAGGCGACGAGGAAGCGCTGATCCAAAAGGTGCACCTGAAGTACGACGTCCGCGATGTAGTGTCGCATGAGGCCGTGGACGACTTGTTTGAAAACGAACGGTATTCCTACCTCACCATGTCGTTTGGGAGCACGTATCCAGGTACATGTAGTTAGTCCATCCAGATCTTGACTCCGCCACCCCCTCATCCATCGATCGCTACGCACAAGGGCACTTGCTGGTCCTCGATCGAAAGCGATGGAGTCGTGCGAGCGGAAGTCCATCGTCCCAAGACATGCATCAAGTTGAACTCACGCTCCCGGAAGGCTATGAATGGACAGGACCGTGGGAGATTGATTCCTCGTATTGCAACTGCGACCGAGAAGGGTGGACATATGCCTTTGATTTCTCCAAGTACGACTATCATCTCATGCATTTCACTCCTTCCACTCCCCATTATGCCTACTTACCCTACCATCATATTCACATAGCTTCAAGTACATGCTACTCAACGACGAAAGCCACGACACGGCAGGGATGGCAGACTACGTTCGGTGGGTCAACGTTATTATATATATATATATTCGATCAAATATATATTTATTATATACCACGTCGTAATGTTATATGTATGCATTCCATCACATATATATGTATTACTACTTAGTATACACTACGTCACCTACTAGCGTTTTCTATACATAATAGTGTTCGATCAACGATACATACTATTCCGTCAAATATATATATATATATATATATATTATATATATATATGGTGAAACAATCTTCATAGCCGTCGCCGATGGATTCGCCGCCGCCGCCGCCATCTCCCCTTATCTCAAGCCGCCCCCGCCGTGCCTTCCACCGAGTCGGATGATCCCATGAACTCTGTCGCATCCTCCTCCACTTCCCCGTCTCCAGAAGTTCCACTAATATCGAGTCCATCACTTCGATACTTTCCACCCTCCATGTCCCCAGCTGAGCTTGAATCCGCTTGGATTTATCATCTCCATCAGTTAAGCCATGCCCAGGCCAAGATACACCGCGTAAGCACGGCCCGCGTCGTTCGCTGGCGCCTCACCAAAGCCAAACTCCGCGCGCAACTGGCCACTCTACCCCACAAAACACTCCAATCCAAGCGAGATTTGGTCCAACGGGCCATCTGGTTCCCTCATGAGAAAGGGTACATCTGGCGCGCCAGCGTCGGCGGCATGTTCGTCGGGCTAAAGGACTTTTGGGTCGAGCGGCTCGAGCTCTCGTTTTCGCTGACTTGCACGACGTCGCACGTGGTCGTGATATTCCACGGAGCGTTCTGTGGCCAGTTCGACGGGGTGAAAGTGAAAGGAGACAAAGGCACGCGGATTCCAAACGCCAAATGGACGCAAGTAGACGTGGATATGCACTTTCGTGGCCATTGGATTTTGAACTACCAACAACAAAACCATGGGTGGACATTGGATCGATCAAACTCGACTCCCGTAGCGTTTACCGCCATGGCCATGCAATATCGAGGTCATTATCGTAGATGATTAGTGTGACGATCGTACTACATATTCGTGGCCATTTAGAATGTTTCCATCAACCGACGATGATGCAAATATATATATATATATATACTTGTGAAGAAACCACACTGTTCGTGGCCATTTGGGATATATATATATATATATATATATATATATTAACAACAATGAACAACATAAACCTCGTTCTTTTATTGGTACTAGATTAAAGCGTATATGGCTTCGAACAAAAAAAGATTATTTTTTTAAACTGGGATTAATTTTCTGAAAATATGATATTTAATCTATTTTTAATTAATTTTATTTGTGCGTAGGGGGCCTAGGAATCCCCGATGCGTTGGCCCAGCTTGTATTAGAAGAGATTGCCACGCATTACATCACTCACGTAGTGACGACGTCGCTGCCGTCCGACTTGGCTGAGCTCCTGCTTCGACCTGGTAGTGGTGTCGAGGTATTGTTGACAAATATATATATATATAATAGTGAGTTTCGAAATATTTAATAGTATACATGGTGTGTACCTTTGATGACCTGCCATTTTTGGATCGCTGGAAACGATACAAAGTCGACTGCTTGGCGACGACGCCACATGTTTAGTGTAGGCGCGTATATATATATATATATATATATATATATATATACATAAAAAGGTAATCGATACATATATATATTAGTGTAGACGTGATATATACATATATATACATAAATCGTAATTCCATATATATATATATTATATATATATACCTTCTGGAGTGTACAGATAGGTAGGTACACAAGTCCACCAACCATCCTGTACGAACACAACGTTTGGCGATTCCATATTGACGACACTATGAAATAATATTATTCACGAAAAAAATATCCCCTGTTTTGAGATATGATTGAATCCTACTGTACAGTAGTATATATTAATATTCCTAAAAATCCAAAGCCCTAATTAATGTGGTTGTTAGTTGGCAGGGGAAGTGGTCGTGGACGGGTTGGACCTTGCGACAACTGTCCATGGCTCATTCCAAGACTCCAAAGAAGATGCAAAAGAAGGAGATGAGAATGTAGCCAGCCAAGTGCTGCATGTGCTGGGGCTCACGCGGCCGCAGCTGAATTTGCTCGTTCTGACTCGACAATACAAAGGCCTAGATGTTTTATTTCCGTCGCTGGCTCAGTTTACGACATATATCCGACAACATACTCTCGACCCAGGGGTACATACAATCCTACGAGTGTGAAAAGCTACGACTTGTGACCTGTCAGCCTATATTTAAACTGTTTTGGCAACGTCGTTTGTTGGTTTTGTATAATGAAAGCAGTATAAAATTTATATATATATATTGTGAGAGGCTGAATGTTGGTTGGATTGGACTTGTAGTCAGACAACATATATATATATATATATATATTGTGAGAGGCTGAATGTTGGTTGGGTGGACTTGTAGCCACATGACCAAGACGGGGTCGCTGGGTTGACGGAGATGTGGGCTGTGACGTGGGATCGATTGCTGGAGCTTTTGCTGCTACAGTGTCACAGCCAACCAACAGCCACATCAGACAAAGTTGCCGCCATCTCATTTGGCTCGTTGATCGACTCTGCCAAGTACGTGTGACTTCGAGTACTGAAACACGAATTTAGTGTATATATATAATATATATATGAAAAATAGATGACATCCATATGCAGATTCGAGTTTAGCCTTGTACAGTAGTGTTTGTTTATTTATATGGGGAAGTGCGTAGACGCCACGCCCTGCAAAAGCAAGTGCCCGTGCGAATAAATTTCACTCGACTCAAGTGTCACCTCCACCTACCCACGATGCTCGCGACGCTGTCGTCGTGGATGGCCCATGCAGCAACTTTACGCGTTTCGAAATCCACGGTAGGTTGCTATATATCTTGCAACCTCTAGTGTGCGTGTTGATATATATATATATCAAATAATATATATTATATAAGGAATGAATATGGCCAGACTCGGTTCAATCGAATCGCGCTGACGAAACCGGTCTCTCCCATTGGTCACTCTGAAATTACTGTTTGCTGATTGGCTACATTATTATTGTTACTTTGTGTTTGTATCCGGACAGCCAATAAAATATTTCGTGGCGACATTTTGTGAAATCGGGTTTTTACTCATCCAATACTTAATATTGGACAATATTAGTGGCAAATTCATCCTAGTATGTATTCCAGTTGTTGACGATATATATATTTGAAATAGGGAGGCGCTAAATTGATGGGAATTCGCGTGGGTCGGAAACCCTCGTCCCCGTCTCACCCCTCTTGTCCCCATCAGGACAATGCGATTCCACCAGCACTGGGAGATGTCCAGCGTCTGTTGCAAGCGTTTACAAGTGCCTTGGTACTATTTATTTTCTTTCTTTCAGCCAAATATTCGATATATATTATTTGTGTGTGGGCTAAGTCGCCAAATTCCATCGATATGTTGTGTGTATGTTGAAAGGGTTTTGATTGGCCAATCGATTTGTGTTGGGGATGTTTTGATTGGTCGATATATCGATATATCAATTTGATGGGCTGCTTCCATCGATTGAGCTCGAATCGATTTGACATGATACTATTCGATTAGCATTTTTTTCGAGTGTTGGCACAGATCGTGTTATATTTGGCAATGCTAACAATGGACAATTGTATAGGAGTCTGGCTTTGTGCAGCACTTACACATGCACATGGAAGGCAAAATCACGGGCGGAACCAACATGAGTGATGCGTTGATGCGGGTACAGCTGAAGCATGTGACACTCGACGCCCGAGGACCCGTCGATTGGACGTCGTCCCTAGGTACATTTGCTCCCCTTTCGGTCCTAAATATTATGTTTCATCTAAATTGGCCAACCGAACAATATATATATATATTTTTTTCTTGATTTGGTACGAATTTTCAATACCCTTTTGTTCAATCGAAGCACGCCAAGACTACTAAAACCCCGATCACAGAGCGTTCCGATTGGTCAATCTGAAAATACTCTTCGCTTTGATTGGCTACATTATATTTTCCGTCGTGCATTCTGTGGTGTCGGGAAAGCCAATCAAATCTATAGATTTGTGAAATCGGTTGTACGAATCGCACAGCATATTGGGAAATATATTTGTGGCAAATTCATAATATATATTATATATATTCTATGTTTGTTGTAGCGTGGGCCAGATCCATTGGACGGGTGGTCGTTGTGAGCCCGTCCGACACGTTGCCATCCAGCGTCACAGTGACGTTTGAGATGAAACCCCATGTGACAACGTTATCACCGTCCAGTGTCACAGATATAGTCGACCCTGCGATAACGGCCACGCTGACCAGCATCCAGTCAAAAGTGGTGCTGGATGCGACTCACTTGACTGGTGACGTGGCAGTTTGTACGATCGACTGTCTCGACCAATCACCATCTGTGTGCAATACATTTCGCATGCTCTGGCATGACGCGCTTCGGGCCAAGTTGAGTGTCGGCGCAGTTCACGTTGTGGCGAATATGCGGGCGATGTGCGACGTGGTGATGGATCAATGGTTGCACCCGTCTACGACGACATTGCACGTACGTAACTTTTGGACTCTGTCACAGAAACTTGTTGCTCACGGACCCAGTAGACGTCCACAAGGCACTGGCTAGCCAAACTCGTGCAGAAAACGCTCAAGTACTGCCTCTCAGATGCGCTATTGGTGGCTTGGAGCGTCGAGACCTCGCTAGACGAACACCTCATGTGGACATGCGACACCGTTACTGCCGACCACCCGCAGCCGTTGATGTACTTTGACCAGCTACAACTACTCACGGTCCTCCATGACGTGGACGAGTTGGTTGCGTTTTCTATTCACTTGCAAGACAGCCCCACATGAGATTGTGTAGGTTTCGACTACTACGGTACTACTGTACCGTCGGATGAACTAGATTGGCCCATCAGTCGTTTTCAACGACATAACTATCATACACCAAACGTGAAATATTATTTGTGTTGTGAATACTATTGGCTACAAATATATTTCCCAATATTCTCGAACAACTGATTTCACAAATCTCGCCGCGATCGATTTGATTGGCTTTCCCGATGCCGCACAAAGTCAAAAGAAACAATAATGTAGCCAATCAGCGACAAGGATTTTTTTAGATTGACCAATGGCAGCGATTTGGTATTCGAGTGAACGGGGTCCGGATATTCGTACCAAATCAATAATACTATTAATAGTAGTAAACTAGAAGAGTAAAGTTCAGCTCTAAACAAAAATTCAACCTACAAACCGTATTACCACGGTTGATAATTATTGAAAACGAACAATAATAAAACTATTAATAGTTTGAATTCTCGCTATTATTATTAATGACAATACTCCAGAGCATTACTCAAAATAGTACTAGGACTGGGGGGCACTACTAGTAGTTTATAGAGTAGTAGTACTAACTATACCAAGTACGACATCCAACACTGTACAGTTGAAACGGGTTTCAGTCCCGGTCAAGGTGCTTTTTATTTTATATTTTTTAAATCTTTTTTAAATACCCCCCTGGCGACTCGTCCCAACGACCAGCATCAATTCCTTTTGCGAAATCAAGTGCTTCAACTCGCCAATGCGTTTCTCCAATCGTCCGATATGCGACTCCGCCACCGCGACGGGATCCAGCATGGTCGGCGACACGACCGCCGCCGCCGCCGTCGTCCTTGGACCGATCTCAATATCTCCATCTCGTGTGGGGGACGATGTCAGCATGGCAGACGATGGCAACGGGGGGGGGGATGGGGGGGTCGCTGGTTCCAGAAGGGTGGGGGGACCCATGGATTTGACAACGTGCTGCTGCTGCTGTTTTCGCAAGAGCAGCTCGGTTTCCCGGGCGGCAATCTTGAGCTTGAGTGTCGCAATAGGGTTGGCTTCCTTCTCCATCGACTCAACTTGCTGCATACGTCTGCGCATGTTGTTACAGTCCGCCGTCGACAGCTGAATCACGACCGTCTGCGAACATGCCGTCAGTGGCTTCAGTCCGCTCGATCGAGGGGGAGAAGAAGCATGGGAAGGTCTTGGCCATTTCATCACATGGGGGGGGCCAAGTGCCATCTTGGATGAACCACATGGGAATGCGGTCGACGGAACGTCGGCGACGGGCATGTCGGCGGGCGGCGATTCATCTGTACGACCAAGTTGTCGTCCAACTACTGGAGCCGCATTCTGCTCCGGGGGGGGGGACCCTTTGGCTTTTTTCACAGAGCGTTTCACAGCATTGCGCAGCGTTTCAAGCAACGACAGGTCGTCCAAGTGGCCATTGGAATTTGTGGGGGTGATGTCCACGGGCGGCGTCACGGCGGCAGACGCTTCGTGTTGGGGGGTCGTCATGGAGGATGGAGGTGGAGTAGAGGCGATAACTCGAGAGGCGTTCAATGCGGCACGATGATCTGGCGACGATGAAGGCGGCGGCGAAACGCCGACTGCTGGATCACATGGCCCCGACGGTGGATGCATTGAACCCATGAATTGCCCAGGAGAAGCATGTTGGAGATGGCTGGTCGATGGAAACGGCGATGGTAGCGGCGAGTCGTCCATGACGACATTATGTCGATGCACGCGGAGAATGCTGGTCTCTGGAGGAGGTAGCGGCGGTGGCGGCATGTGACGGCGTGCCAGGCGATCCTGGGGAGATGCATACTGTGCGTACGGACTCGTCGTGTTCTACCATGTGTACATGAGACAACGTCGATTGGATGATCCATAGTGGATGTACGGTGGTCAACGGTGACGGCGTCGGGGCGGTATAACTCATGGACTCGTGCAGCTTTCGTTTGAGTTTCTTTTGCTGTCGCTTGGACATGGGGGGATATATGGAAGGAGACGAGAGGGTCTTGGCGCGCAGCGCGGCCTGGCGACGCGCGACTTGCGCTTCCCGAAGGTACGTCGCCTCCAACTGTTTTTGCCGCCATGATGCATCTTGTTCTAACTGACTTGGATCGTCCGAGAGCTCGCCTTCTTCGCGGTTTGCAAACGCGTCGGTAGAGCTACCTTCTTCGTACTTGCTCTTCATGAGCACCGCGCTCATGGACGTGAAGAACGCACTCGCAGCATCGTCCGTGGAGTGACCGTCATTCACGACGTCGTCGTCGTCCTGGGATAGATCGATCGCATACGGCGGGGTCGTTTGGGGGTGATGGGATGAAGGAGGCGGAGCAGCCTCGTCGTCGGCATCTTCCTCCGACTCCAAGTCCTTGAGCACGGATTCCAACGCGCTTGCCACATTGACGACGGAGGTTGTGTTAACATCCTCTCGATGTTCAACCACTGGCTGAAATGGCTCGTCTTCTTCGATCTCCATGGGTTCATCCAGTTGATGGAAGTGGTGGTCGTCGGGGGAGTCCGGCTCGTTGATGTCATTCTCGCCGCGATCTACTGTTCGATGCTGCAGATGGACAGGGAAGTCGTCGTCTTCGTCGCTGCTGCTGCTGCTCACCAAGTCAACTACGGAGGGTTGGCGGAACATGTGAAGGACTGGCGGCGGGCGCAGAATGCTCGGCGGCACGTAATTCGAACGCAAATGTATTATTATTGGAGCCTCTCCCCAGAGTAGTTTTTTCTATATTGTTTTAATTGTAGTGTCTCAACCTATGAGACCTGCATTTTATTTTTCAGAATTTTAATTCGATTCCACTTCAACCATTTCAATTGGTTGAAATAATTTCTAAATCCACCAATCAAACAACGTTCTGTCGAAACTTCGAAATTCTCGCGTGGATCTTGTCAAATTACTTCTTTCCATTCGCTCCAGCATAAATCCACTTTGGCGGCGGCGCTTGCGGCCTCGACGTAGAAGGAGGAAGCATGCTGCTGCAAAGACTCGTGCGCCAGTAGTGCTCTAATGGCCTCAGTCGTTGCACTCCACTCCATCGCAATGATCTCCACGCCGTTGCCTGTCGCGTTCTATCATTCACAAGATGTTAATGGCTTTAGATTGCTTGCGATGGCATTTTGTATCCTGGCGCACCTTGATATGTGAAGCAGCTTGCTTTCCGAACAACGTCTTGGCTTGGACGGGCGAAACGCGGAATTGCCGCGTTTGAATCAACTTAGGCATCGCCTCATGGTTTCCACCAGTGTCGACTGTAGCATGCGTCACCAGCTGCCGCGCCACTTCAGAGTTCCCCTATCACAACACGCCGATCATGTCAACTCAAGTCTCCTTGATGTTCGTACCGTCGACACGCACACGAACACGACTTTGTCCGGCACACGAGCAGGCAACCCTAGCACTAGTGGCACGATGCTGCTGTCTTCGACATACCCCACGTCCGCAATCACTTGGGGTGGTAATTTGGACAGCACGTCTACGCATTCCATTAGGATATGCCATTCCTCGACCTGTATGTGGTGCACTCTTACGGGTCGCGTCCGCCATTTCTCCCACAGTCCAGTTGCCGCCGCCGCCACCGCCTCCAGACGGTGTAAAGTCAAATATCTAGCAAAACAAACATGAATGGTTGTATATTAATATATATATATAATAAATACAAAATTGACAATATCTTGACATATTACCTCGCTCCATTTGTTGTTCCATACGTTAAACTTGGCCGCGTCCAATTGGTGTTGCAGTCCTATGTACGCACTGGCGAATGGCCGGATGCGGAGCTTTGCGGACGACTCGATGATGGGCGCGGTGGTGCTGAAGAGCGCGATGTCCATGTCGACACAGTCGCGGGCCCGGAACTGCTGAACGAGGCACACGAGGGTGGAGTTGGAGCAGTTGCGCACAAAGAGACTGGCGGTGCACGGCCCGATGAAGATTGTGCACCCATGACACTCGTCGATTTGGACGGACGTGCACTGGTCCAGCACAAACACATTCGTGCCGCGGCAGTCCTCGATCAGGAACTGCTGGCCATTGATCGTTCCCGGTCGTTTGACCACTGTGGCGTCGGTTTGCTTGGACACGATGTAGTCCTCGCGGTTCAACGTCGGGTCCTTCCCAAAGGTCATCGGTGGCTCGTTTGTGGATGACTTTGCGTCAAGGGATATAGACTTGGCACTCTGAGTGACCTTTTTCGGCGGCGATTTGCCTCCACGGCGAGTTGTCCGCGCTGCCGCCAACTTGTTCCCCATCGAAATGAAATGTGAGCCAAAATTAGGCGAAACGGTCGGGCCGTATCAAATGTGCTATAACAAATATATAAAAAATTGCTAAGCGAGATTAAGCTGTATATAAATATTGAGCAAATCTCCATTAATAAGTTTGTATACAAAAGTGATTATTTGTTGTGAATAAAGAAGACTACCTACTTCATTCCGATACAGATTTATCCGGAGGACCGCTCCACAGATCTTCCATGAAGATGCCGAGGAGTACAATGGCAGGTCGATGGACGACGGCGCTGTGGATGCTTTCAACATACCTTCCACTAGCAAGCGGTATCCACTGCAAGTTGCACGCCAAGACATCGGACTTCCAGACACAATATTCCGTGACTATAGCCATCGGCACACCGGCTCAAGCCTTCGACGTGATCGTGGACACGGGGTCGTCAGATTTGTGGGTTCAAGGTGACCGCTCATCCTGCTCCTTCTTGTCATTGTACTTTGCCACACACGTATATAATTATGACGGTTGCGCTCGTTCTGTAGGCACGGACTGCGTGGCGTGTAACGGCCAGCCGCGATTTGCCGCAATCGCATCGACATCCTTCCGTCCTGACTGCGGCCGCGGCAGTTGCACGTACACTGTCTCGTACGGGTCCGGCATGTCGTCGGCAAAGGTCGGCCAGGATCGCATCTCCATTGATTCCTTTGCCTTGGCCGACGACGTTCAATTCGGCGTCGTCTACGACGAGGACGCGTCCATCTCCCAAGTACTCCAGAGCAGCGGCATCCTAGGCCTAGCGTAAAGACCTCATCACCCCACTAGCATCGTAAACATCACTGCCTCAACCATGACAACAACCAATATTAGGTTCAAGTCCATGGCAGCGTTCACCACGCCCTGTGTACAAGACTACATGCAGTCGTTCTCACTGTCATTGAGCCGAACTGCGCCAATGCTATCGATTAACGAACAATTGCCACCTTATAACGATCCAGCGATTGTTTGGGCTAGCATGCCAGTGGAGGAGGTACACGCTATATCAACACCATATCATCCTAGCCTTCAGAATGCTAACCACATCGCATACAACCACATCGCATATCACTCTAAATTCATGTATAGCTGGACGGAATGCACTCGTACTGGATTGTGGGCCTGCCCAACGCCACCCTCGGGTCATTGCAGCTCTGTGGCACCACCACGAATCGATGCCAAGCTAGTACGATCGTTCGCTTCACAATACAAACACTGATTATATATGAACGCTCGTGCTTAGTCCTGGACTCGGGCACTGGCTTCATTGCTGTGCCTTCTACTGCGTGGACTGCTGTACGATATGTGACACTGTTGTAGTCGATAAGAAAGTGAGTTTTCATAGCGTTAATAGGTTGTAACTCAACTGCATGCGGCGGGGTGCTACGCCATCGGTTCGTCAGGTCCGTTTGCCTGTCCTACTATGGACACGTTGCCGCCTTTAACGCTCACGCTGGGTACAATTCTCAATATATCAATGCCATCTCGTTTGATATATATATATATATACTGTACATATATATATATAATCGTGTCATATTGCAACAACTGCATCCTGTTGTGTGGAAACGGAATACCCCAATCTCTCGTTTGATATATATATATATATATATATATATATATATATATCATATAGTCGTGTCATATTGCAACAACTGCACCTGTTGTTACCCCAAAATTTGTTGGATGCATATATATATATATATATATATATATATATATGTCGTGTTATATTGCAACAATTGCACGCTGTTATATTTTGATTTTTTCGTTTCTGGTGTCATACTTACTGTTAATTTACTGTTAATACATTGTATTGATGATATCGTTACCTACTACTAGTACCTGTCATATCCAATGGATGGTCACCATATCTATACTCTTATTCCGATGACATCTAGTAGTTACTACTAGTAATCGTGTTTCATGGTATAGGCACAACGCACGGATATGCGTGTGTGTTGACGCCGTCCATGTACGCGTTTCGCGAGTCTAGTACTACTACTAGCACGGCCGTGATCGTGGGGCTGATTCAGTCGCCGATGGACATTTGGATCTTGGGCTCGCTGTTCCTGCACCAGTATTACACTGTGTTTGATATGCGACACGGTGAAGTTCGAATGACGGAGCTATTGGAGCAACCAGTGCTAGAACAACTGCAGCCCGTGCCCATCTCGATACACGACCAGCCGTCATATTTTGATCGATACTTTGGTATAAACTGGCGTCGTTTGTGTACAAGTTGCTCCAACACTCTAAGTGTAGATGAAGACGTAGCCGAGCATGTGATGGTCGTGGTGGTGCTCGGAGTGAGCCTGATGCTGTTGTACATGATGGTGTGGCAGCCACATTTTTCTCGACGCCAATACCCGTGGGATAGAAGCACTACGTCTGACGGTCAGTGATGTTTGGTGAAATATATATTTATTGTGCTTTCGAGTGAAATTTCATTGTGGCGTGGTTTCTCGTTGCAATTTAAATCGATTTGATTGGCTACTTCAGATGAGCTCAAAATTATTATCCAATCAAAACCCTCTCAATGAAATTCAACCAATCACATCGATTGTGGATCGGTTTGGTTGGCGTGATTCGATTGCCCCCCCGCCCAAAATTGTATATCGACAATTTTGTATTCGTTTAATCGTAGACTTGCTGCTCGTGAGTTTACTTGAGCATGACCTGCAGTGGAAACAGCAGCCCCCACCAGCCAAGTAAAACGCCCAGTCGTTTCGATTTATCATAATCGTATGGGAACCCTTTGTTCAAATCCTAGAGTTAAAATAAAGCCAACACCAGACTATGTATTACAGTAGGACAACGTTAGTTAGTACTAATATTAATCATACTATTGAAAGCTTACCAGTAATCCACCAACCTTAAAATGGAAAAAATAAATAAAAATAATACTATTGTGCCGAATATATAATTCTCTAGACTGGAAACCTCGAAAACTGTGTTTTAACTGTAAAATAATGTTGGTTAATAAAACCTCGATATGATTAATAGAGTGGAAACTCGAAAATAGTTTTTTTCCAATTTACTGTTAGTAGGATACCGGTAATGGTTCATGATATAAGAACCCGTGTGTCCAAAGTAGCAGCAGCTGCAGTCACTTGGATATATCTTATTGCTATATATATATATATATATATATATATATATATATATTCATGGAACGGACACAGGGATCCATTCATTCATTGCTTTTGGGCCGTACTACAGCATTTAATTGTGCATTTGAGAGGACCTCCCTGTCGGACGTTGTTCCTGATAAGTAAGTCTATATTGATCTCTTTGTACGATACCTCTATTTGTACATATCTTTTAACTATCAATATCATTCTGAATATTTCAATTCAACCTTTCCACATATATAAAATCAAAATCCATGATTAATATATTACCGTCCTGCTCCATCTAGTTCGTATTCGCAGCACAACTTGTTTCATTGGTCGACATACATATATACTATTACCATCTGAATTAACAATAGTTAGCTGGACCAATCAATATAAAAACAGTGGTGGAATACTAATCAATCAAATTATCCACTCTTCGCCTAATTCAACATCGAAGTAGTGTGTGAATGAAACTAGTGTGATTGGAGCATTTTTACATACAAAAGTCAGTACAAAGAATCGATAATAGATTTGGCAAAGAATCAGCACAAAAGTCCACATTTTGGGTAAAAAGACAATACTACGGGTATGTATACAATATGTATGTTACTTGATTCTTGTTATGGGCCTTGATTGGTCGATCGATTGTCTGCCGAATTATTTGGTGATTCTGCTCATTCGATTGAGCACCCCCCCCCCCACTTTAATGTTTCGAACAATCGACTTGACAATAGGAGTAGTTCGTATATGTAGTCATTTGTCCCCCCCCACCTATGTAGTAGTACACCATTAATTCCTGCTTATTTTCAAACTATTTCCACGAACCTCCGATATATTTCACCGAATCCCTAATATAATTCACCCAAAATCCATTTTATTAAATATATCGGAGGTTCGTGGAAATATTTTGAACAAAAGCTGAAATTAATCGCAAAATGGTGCAGTTTGTTTGCACTGTAAACAACATTGATTCATTCGATTCGTCATTCAGATCAAGTGGGAAATAGTGGGCGACTCGGATGTGGTCTGTACGGGTCGTCTTTTCCGTTGAGCTTGTTCGACCGACAGCGCCGCGGCTTCGCGTTCCAGCACTTTAAAGAACAAATCGTATCGCACTTGGGTGCCGTGGGTCTTGCATTGCAACCTCACAAACGTGTTGAACTTGAGTTTCGAGAACTTGAACCCGTAGTTGGCAATGACATGTCGGAGCACATCTCGTTCAACAAATCGTGATTGGGTCGGGTCGTGGCTTTGCAACTCGGCGAGCAACTCGTGCAAGTCAAGTCGATGGGTGGTTGTGTGGCGGTGGATGGCGTTGACCATCCGCCTTTGTAGCTCCAGAACGTCTGTAAAGTGCTCGAGAACTTGCTTGAGTTCACCGGGGCATACGCGGACGATGCCGTTAATGAGCGCGAACTGCCGAATGATCCGTGGACTCAACAGCGTCATGTTGACGAGCAAAAGCGCCAGTTGCGATGCAATGACGCCGAGTGACCACCCGCGGGCCTTGCGCAGTAGCACCATAAACGCCTGGAACAGAAAGCCAAAGTAAAACGCGTTCAAAGTCAGGCAAAACTTGGCCAGCACGTGCACCGCCTTGCGACTGAACAGCGGCAGATGCAAATCACAAGCCAAGTGCGGCGTCGGGTGCTTTCGCCCCCATTTTGACCCAGTCACCTTGCGAAACATGGTCGCACACAGCGCCGCAAAACTCGACTCGGTCTCGTACTCTGGTAGGTGCTCTGTGCGGTCAAACAGTTGGAGCAGCGTCGTTTCAGTTGTATCGACGGGGGCCACCTCGGCCTACAAAACAGAGACAAGACATGACGTATATATATATATATATATATCTTGTCAAGTTGATTGTTCGAAATATTAAAGTGGGGGGGGGGGTGCTCAATTGAATGACCAGAAGAAACAAATACTTCGGCAGACAATCGATATACGACCAATCAAAACCCAGATCAAGAATCAACTAGCCAATCAAATTATCCACTCACATTCGACCAAATATCCAACATCGAATTAGTGTGTGAAGAACAATCGATGGATCGATTGGGCAAAGAATCAGCACAAAGGTCCAACTTTTGGGTAAATGGACAAGATATATATATATATATTGTCCATTTACATGTCATCAACGTTTATATATATCCATATATATATACATATATAAACGGTGAGGACATGTGGGGATGGGCGTGTCAATAATAATCACGTCAAATGGAAATAAATATGTGAACGCATATCTGTGTATATAAAACGAAGCTGGATATTTTGACCAAACTGAACCATATAATTTCTGACGAACGCTAGTACAAGGTACCACAGGTCATACTCGTGACGAGATTGGTGACGACATGGGTGACGATATTGGTGACGAGATTGGTGACATACCGAGTCTGCAATGTGCTTGAGGGCCGACACAAGCTGCGCTTCGTCACCGCCGGCGTGCACGACCATAATCGACACGCACTTCTTCAAGTACGCGTACAACAATAGCATCATCACTACATACTCATTCAAACCACTCCAAGGTACAACGTTATTTCACGTTCCATCTGAAACAAATACACATATATATATTGTGCTTTCGAGTGAAATTTCATTGTGTTGTGGTTTCTCGTTGGAATTTAAATCGATTTGATTGGCTACTTCAGATGAGCTCAAAATTATTAGCCAATCAAAACCTTCTCAATCAAAAATTCAACCAATCAGATCGATTGTGGATCGGTTTGGTCGGTCCCCAAATTTGTATCAAATCGACAATACACAAGGACTACTACTACGCAAACAAGTATTTTTGCATTGAAGTATCTCAACAACGTTATTTAACGTTAAATAACGTTACTTATCATGAACGACTTGAACGAAAGAAAACAGATATGGTAATAGCCTATATATATATATATATATATATATTCATGGAACGGACACAGGGATCCATTCATTCATTGCTTTTGGGCCGTACTACAGCATTTAATTGTGCATTTGAGAGGACCTCCCTGTCGGACGTTGTTCCTGATAAGTAAGTCTATATTGATCTCTTTGTACGATACCTCTATTTGTACATATCTTTTATATCAATATATATCATTCTGAATATTTCAATTCAACCTTTCCACATATATAAAATCAAAATCCATGATTAATATATTACCGTCCTGCTCCATCTAGTTCGTATTCGCAGCACAACTTGTTTCATTGGTCGACATACATATATACTATTACCATCTGAATTAACAATAGTTAGCTGGACCAATCAATATAAAAACAGTGGTGGAATACTAATCAATCAAATTATCCACTCTTCGCCTAATTCAACATCGAAGTAGTGTGTGAATGAAACTAGTGTGATTGGAGCATTTTTACATACAAAAGTCAGTACAAAGAATCGATAATAGATTTGGCAAAGAATCAGCACAAAAGTCCACATTTTGGGTAAAAAGACAATACTACGGGTATGTATACAATATGTATGTTACTTGATTCTTGTTATGGGCCTTGATTGGTCGATCGATTGTCTGCCGAATTATTTGGTGATTCTGCTCATTCGATTGAGCACCCCCCCCCCCACTTTAATATTTCGAACAATCGACTTGACAATAGGAGTAGTTCGTATATGTAGTCATTTGTCCCCCCCCACCTATGTAGTAGTACACCATTAATTCCTGCTTATTTTCAAACTATTTCCACGAACCTCCGATATATTTCACCGAATCCCCAATATAATTCACCCAAAATCCATTTTATTAAATATATCGGAGGTTCGTGGAAATATTTTGAACAAAAGCTGAAATTAATCGCAAAATGGTGCAGTTTGTTTGCACTGTAAACAACATTGATTCATTCGATTCGTCATTCAGATCAAGTGGGAAATAGTGGGCGACTCGGATGTGGTCTGTACGGGTCGTCTTTTCCGTTGAGCTTGTTCGACCGACAGCGCCGCGGCTTCGCGTTCCAGCACTTTAAAGAACAAATCGTATCGCACTTGGGTGCCGTGGGTCTTGCATTGCAACCTCACAAACGTGTTGAACTTGAGTTTCGAGAACTTGAACCCGTAGTTGGCAATGACATGTCGGAGCACATCTCGTTCAACAAATCGTGATTGGGTCGGGTCGTGGCTTTGCAACTCGGCGAGCAACTCGTGCAAGTCAAGTCGATGGGTGGTTGTGTGGCGGTGGATGGCGTTGACCATCCGCCTTTGTAGCTCCAGAACGTCTGTAAAGTGCTCGAGAACTTGCTTGAGTTCACCGGGGCATACGCGGACGATGCCGTTAATGAGCGCGAACTGCCGAATGATCCGTGGACTCAACAGCGTCATGTTGACGAGCAAAAGCGCCAGTTGCGATGCAATGACGCCGAGTGACCACCCGCGGGCCTTGCGCAGTAGCACCATAAACGCCTGGAACAGAAAGCCAAAGTAAAACGCGTTCAAAGTCAGGCAAAACTTGGCCAGCACGTGCACCGCCTTGCGACTGAACAGCGGCAGATGCAAATCACAAGCCAAGTGCGGCGTCGGGTGCTTTCGCCCCCATTTTGACCCAGTCACCTTGCGAAACATGGTCGCACACAGCGCCGCAAAACTCGACTCGGTCTCGTACTCTGGTAGGTGCTCTGTGCGGTCAAACAGTTGGAGCAGCGTCGTTTCAGTTGTATCGACGGGGGCCACCTCGGCCTACAAAACAGAGACAAGACATGACGTATATATATATATATATATATCTTGTCAAGTTGATTGTTCGAAATATTAAAGTGGGGGGGGGGGTGCTCAATTGAATGACCAGAAGAAACAAATACTTCGGCAGACAATCGATATACGACCAATCAAAACCCAGATCAAGAATCAACTAGCCAATCAAATTATCCACTCACATTCGACCAAATATCCAACATCGAATTAGTGTGTGAAGAACAATCGATGGATCGATTGGGCAAAGAATCAGTACAAAGGTCCAACTTTTGGGTAAATGGACAAGATATATATATATATATTGTCCATTTACATGTCATCAACGTTTATATATATCCATATATATATACATATATAAACGGTGAGGACATGTGGGGATGGGCGTGTCAATAATAATCACGTCAAATGGAAATAAATATGTGAACGCATATCTGTGTATATAAAACGAAGCTGGATATTTTGACCAAACTGAACCATATAATTTCTGACGAACGCTAGTACAAGGTACCACAGGTCATACTCGTGACGAGATTGGTGACGACATGGGTGACGATATTGGTGACGAGATTGGTGACATACCGAGTCTGCAATGTGCTTGAGGGCCGACACAAGCTGCGCTTCGTCACCGCCGGCGTGCACGACCATAATCGACACGCACTTCTTCAAGTACGCGTACAACAATAGCATCATCACTACATACTCATTCAAACCACTCCAAGGTACAACGTTATTTCACGTTCCATCTGAAACAAATACACATATATATATTGTGCTTTCGAGTGAAATTTCATTGTGTTGTGGTTTCTCGTTGGAATTTAAATCGATTTGATTGGCTACTTCAGATGAGCTCAAAATTATTAGCCAATCAAAACCTTCTCAATCAAAAATTCAACCAATCAGATCGATTGTGGATCGGTTTGGTCGGTCCCCAAATTTGTATCAAATCGACAATACACAAGGACTACTACTACGCAAACAAGTATTTTTGCATTGAAGTATCTCAACAACGTTATTTAACGTTAAATAACGTTACTTATCATGAACGACTTGAACGAAAGAAAACAGATATGGTAATAGCCTATATATATATATATATATATATATATATATATATATATATCGTACCGGTGAGGGCCGAGATGAGCGCAAAGAGCACGAGAAGGCGATTCTTGTGGATGGAGTCTCGGATCGTTGGGCTGCTCAGGTCGTCGCGGTAGGCGGGCAGACTGTAGTCGCTTAGGATGTAGTAGAACCCCTGCACGAGCACGAGCAGAATCCACGTGGACTTTTCAACTTCGTACAGGTGGATGATCTCCGTGTCTTGAACGGCGCGGAGGTACTTGGCGAAGAGGAACAGCCGCGGAAGCTTGTACTGCCGCAGAAAGAAGTCGCGAAGGATGAACATCTTGGTCGCTGACACGTACGGCTTGGCGATATGGGGTTGTGTGCCGTCCGCGGTGGCCTTGGCGTACAGCTCGGACGGCGTTAGGAGCGATAACTCGTCCAGTTGGACGTTGCGCGCGCGAAGGCGGAGAAACATGATCACCGACTGAATGGTCAGGGAGATGGCGAAGAAGAGAATCATGTCGTCAGTGGCCTCCCATGCCGTGTACTTGTCGCTGTCGTCCTCAAATACACCAAACTCCATGAGCCGCTTACTCAGAAAGTTGATGAGACCCCCGACGAGAAGCTCTACATGATGATGTTGAGGGATCGAGCATGAGAATGACGACGATGGATGGATACATGGAGAAGGAGACGCACCACGGTACATTTGGGTGAGCAGTTTGAAGTACTTGGGGTGCGGAGACGCTTTGAGTTCCAACTGTGTGAGCAGCGACTTTATGAGCACCACGAACGCTATCACGTACACGAACGAGAGCAGACTGCTGTACACAGGAAGCTGCAGGCCAATGTGGAAGAGGTTGCCCATGGGGAACGTCTTGTCCACCGGCGAGGCATCGAAGGACGCCGAGTCGAACGCAGTCTCTTGGTCCATGGCGTCAACCGGCGGCGACTTTCAAATATGAAACCGAGGCCATCATCAATCATGACGGCATGTCAAATAAACCTGTCATATTTAATTTTCGGTCGTTTAGTATTTGTAGAATTCGCAAAAAAATATGGTGCTTTCCGGACAATAGAGATTGCAAATACTATTAATATTAATAATACTTTGAAGTATTAACACAGTCTTGTGAATTCGCTAGGAACTATCAAAACACGTGTGGTGGTTTTAAGATTGAATCACGCCGGAAACACTTCTGATTGGCTGCATACACTAGTCTTTCTGTAAGAGCCAATCCGATCCACGCAAAAATAGATTAGCCAATAGTCTGGATTCGTGATTCGATACGGCAGTGAGATTCGATTTGATGGGGTCTGGTGGATATTTGTACCGAATCCACAATACTCAGTACCTATTAATACAGTAGTACTGTAGTACCAGTAGTATATTAATAGATTGAGTGTCGTCGATGTAATAAAATCTACGAATGCTGCTTCTGTACGTACTACTTGTACTACTTCTTGGACTACACGAGAAAGCCATGCATTTTGAGGTACTACTAACATGTAGGCTCAGTCACAAAGGTATCATACAGTGCTGTAGGCTTCAATAACTTTGCGGTTAGGAACGAGGTTATTAATATTTGCGCTGCCGGATAGTATTCATTGTGAGAGGTTTCCATTCACATTTTCGACAGTACAGTACACGTCCATCTATGAGTAGTACGTCGGCGGCGGATTACGCGAATGCGACGGCGGCGTCAGCGTACGAGTATAGTGTCCAGACGCTCCTTCACGCTGGACTGGATGAGAGCGTGTCGGTGCCGCTGCAGCTGGCGTTCATCTTGGCCGTGACACTGTTCGTCTTGGGGTTTGAGTTCTTGATCGAGTCGGTCGAAGCCATCATCGAGCGACATCCGACGTACTGGACGCTACTCAACAAGATGTACCGGGAGTTGCTCGTGGGGGGTCTCACGGCGTTCGTGTCCAAGCGCATCGATCAATGGGACATTTTGTCCGCGTACAGTCAAACCAAGCTCAACCTGAGCGACGACATGGTGTTGTACTTTTCGCTGTCGATTGCGATCCAGTCGGCGCTCATGTTCATGATGCTGCGTCGGCGGAACCGCAACGTGGACGCGCTTTCTGCGCTCGGCGCGCGGGACTTGGTCGAGGTCATGTCCGCCGACCCCGACCGCGCCGCGTCTCGATTGTCCCAGTCCGCCATGAAGACCAAGATCCTCCAGCACTTCTTCCTCACCACGTTTGGGCTCCCCGACCTGTTCTCGTTCCCAAAGTACCTCCGTGCGATCCAAGATGCCGAGATCTTTTCCCTCTTTGACATTGAAATCATCGAGTGGCTGCTGCTCGTGGCAGTGTACGCGTTCTTCTTTTGGTTTGCCAACCTCTTCGACATCATGCGCTTCGTTCCCGAAGGCGCGACCGACGACGCCATCGACGCCGGCGTCGGCTTGGCCAACGCCAAGCGCATCCAAGCCGGCCGCGTCGGTATCCTACTCGTGTTTGTGCTCGTGCTATCTGTGACGCTGTTCGTGTTGTACCAGTACATCCGGTTCCGTGTACACCAGATCGTCGTGCACGCAGGGGGGTACCGAGCTTCGTACTTGGAAGCTATCATGGCCATTGCCGCGGACGAAGACGCGGCGCCGCCCCCGCTCTCCAACGACCGCGCGATCGGCCAAATGGCGGAGCTCGCCGACTCGCTCGCCGACGTTGAAGATCACTCGGGTATTTGGGACCTCTTGACTTCAGCATGGCGGTACATGGCGGGAACGCCCCATGCAGCTAAACCCAACGTCGCGATGCCAATCCAAGACCTCCACCTGCGCTTTTTTAGCCGGAAAGCCATTCACGTGTTTGCCAAGATTCTGCTGTCATTCAACGCCATGTACTTTGCGCTGGTGTGGGCTACGTTCAATGCATCCATCGCGCCCGTGCTCGTGTCGGGCGAAGCCACGTGGTACCCCCTCGCCCTCGTCGGCATCATGGCCGTGCTCGTGTTCAACATGATGTTCTTTGCGCCCCGCCTCGTCCGCCAGCTCGCGCTCGTGAACGCGACTGTGCGCGTGAATCCAACCCAACTGAAAGCTGTGATCGAACACTTTTCGGATGTGCTGGACATGCAAACCAAGATGGCTGACGCCGTCGCCGTGTATTGCGACGCCAATCTCAAAGACGTGGCCGACATGGAGATGGACTTGGACGCGCTGGACCCTGCGGGAACGCTCGTAGTCGACTGCGAAGTCCTGCGCGGGGTCGTGAAACGCTACGGGTTTCGCTTTTCAAGAAACAAATTTCAAACGTTTGTTCGCCTCCAGTTTCAAACCCGAGGCACGACTGTCCCGTACTTGGAATTTACCAAGTTGCTGTCGAGTTTGCTGCGACAGCGTGCGGCAGCATGCGATGATGACGACGACGACGACAGGGATGTGACGCACCCGACGTTGCATCACTCCAACGACCTCGCAGATGGCCAAGTGGACAGCGCCGCCATCGCCGCGACCCTATCACTTCATGAAGCAATCGGGTTGAGTGTGAAGAAACAACAACCCATGCACCAGTCCAGCACTGGCGGCAGCTTCCGACGGCCGACACCGCTGCTCTTGGATACCCTCTCAGCCTACACACGTGTGAATGCAGAGGACGATGCGACACAGGAAGCCATGTATGCGACACTGCGTACGCCGCCGCCGGCTTCGACGACAGCTAATACGGCGGCGGCGGTGGCTGGTGGTGGTGCTGCACAACCAACGACAAGCAACGTCAGTAGTAGTACCACGACTACTACGCCATAATATATATTGTGCTATCGAGCTATAAACTTGGTATTTTCGGTAGATTCGACGCAAATTCACATCAAATCGTCGAAACGTCATTTTACTTGAACTACATACTAACTTTAGGAGTACTCAATATGACTCTTGTCCGTATATGGAGAAACCCTGCAATTTGATTGGCCGAATGGTTTTATCTGGAAAATTTCATTGGCTACTTCGTCGATTTTCGATTGGCGCAACCCCAGTCCATTTTGCAATCGAATTACTGTACCAATACTACAGTACATTAACTACTATAGTGTACTTACTACACGACGACGCTCTTCGAACTCAACTCGCTGGTGCTATGTGCATTGATCGCCAAAGTGTAGGACTTCGACTATCATGGACACCGTTTGGCTAGGACGATATATTTGCTTCCAATCCAAGCGATATACTAACGTTCTATGGACCCCGCTAGAGCTTAGGGCTGGTCTGGATGCCACGTCATAAAATTATGCCATAAACCGTTTTGGCAAGTCTTCAAATGTTTCCCAAAGTCTGATATCCCATGAAAAAAAGGAGAAAAGAAGAATCTACAAAGTTGTCTGGATTACCAGCTAAATATTGGAAGAAATATTCGATTTTTCCGATTCAAGTGCAAGACTTCAACATGAACACAAACCTCCATAGAAAAGTTGGACCAAATCGGCCCATTTGTTTTATGCCATAAAACACCCGATTCTCAAGAAAATTGTGGCAAAAAGTTTTGAATTTTGGTGGCATCCAGACGCACAAAATCTCGAAAAATGGAATATTTCGATTTTGGCAACTTCAAAAACCGGCTGCCATTTTATGCCATTTTTCGTGGCATCCAGACCAGCCCTCAACGTTATATTTTGTTTCGACGACTGGTGTTGCCATTGGATTGACTGTGAAATCGCTTTCGCATGGGCTTGTTATTAATTGTCCCATGGATTTCTGTAGAAATGTCAACCAAATTCAAAATTATCTACTACTTACATTAGCACAAAACATACAAACAATTGAGTTTTTTTGTAGTATGCGTTTTAGTTCATTTAAAATTATTCAAGGAATACTACTTGATAAACAAGTTTGTGACTGGTCATTCATTCAATCTCTGGGCTAGAGGTCTAGACTGTATCTCCAGTATTTACAGTTAAAATATAATTTGGTGAATATTGTGAATTCGCTATAAACTTGCAATATTCGCGTGGCTTATTCTAATCAATATTGAATCAAGCTGGAGTTCTGATTGGTTGAATATATTTGTCCTTTAGGTACGAGCGAATCAAATCCACTCAAAATTGGTTTAGCCAATAGTGTCGATTTGTGATTCGGTGGCGAAACACATGCATGTACCGAATGTCAGTATAAGTATACATGTGTTTATTACTTCTAGATGCGTGGCCAGGGGAAAAGCTCACAATTTGGTTAATTCGAAATCGTATTCTATCACTACGGAGTATTATTTACTCGTAATATAATTGCAACATCATAAGAATAACATCAATATTTATAGCAAACAAATAATCATCCTGCTTCCCCCCACAGTTCAACCCACACGTTTGGATCGAAGTATTTATAGTCTCTCTCTGGTTGTTATAACGTGCTTCGTATTATTCTGTTATATTATTTTACCAACACCCGAATGTTGGTAATATCAAACTTGCCATGGAACTGTTCTTGAAACACTAGGCGGAATTCGCCGAAAAACGGATACCCGCTGTTGGGGTCGTGGCCAGCCGCGCAGTTGCCTTCAGGCTTGACGCCCCAGTACGTGTTGGCATTGTTGTACATCTTGTCGGCGGGGGTCCCGCCTTGGATGTCGGCAGTGCCGTCGGCGCCATCCACGATAGTCGGGTCTAGGATCTGCTGGATGAAGAGGCCGTTGCCGTCGCGACCAAATATCACCGCCATCGATATCTTGTTGTGGTATCGCACAGGCCATTGCGCGGCCTGCGACCCTACCGATGGCTGCTTGACGAAGAAGGGCGCATAGCAGTCCTTGGATGCAATGTGTGTCGTGCTTTGGCCAAACGTATCGAGGCCGCTGCCGTAAAATAAGTTCTTGGTGCCTTTGTGCCCGATGGCGGCGTCTCCGTTGAACATCTCGTAGATGTCGTACTCGCCGCAATTGGGCCACCGCGAGTCGCCAAATTGACGGGACAGCGACGTCGGGAGCAGCCAGATGTTGGTGTCCGAGCCAGGGTATGTGACCCACTCGACAAACAAAATCTTCTCGCCAGACCATCCGCGCTTGGTGCGCAGCACGGGCGACTGGTTAAATGGCTTGCCAAACGTTGATACTTCGATCTTGGAGTGTTGGAACCCCCCCGATGCAAAGGACGGGGAGCAATCGTTGTCCCCTTGCCATTCCTCAATGTTTAGCCAGTCGAAGTTTGTGTCTTGGTACGGGTAATGTGGGGCTGGCGGCGACGTGGTGGGGGGGGGGGTCGGAGCAGCGGTCGGAGGATCCGTGGGAGGGGGAGTGGGGGCAGATGTAGGTGGGGGGGTTGATGTGGTCGTGGTGGGGGGGTCTGTGGTGGGGGGGTCCGTGGTGGTCGACACTGTCGCAGATTCAATCGAGTGGGCGACGGTAGTGTTGTCGAACTTGGTCGTGAAAGTGGGCTCGGGAGTGTGCACGATAGCGCAATCCGCCGCCGTGGTGTTTGTCGAATTCACAAACGTAAAGTTGGAGGGCAATGGCAGGACCTCTACAGCATACATTAACAATGCAACTGTGCGTCGTTGAATCGAGCTATGTACCAGTGAGGACAGAGTCGTCGACGCCGTTCGACCCGACGGACGTTTCGCCGTCGTAGGTTGGTGCAGCTGCTGCTGCATTGGCCGGGGCAACGGTCGTCGTCGTCGTGGCAACCTACTCCCTCGAGTGAACAACTAGGAAACAAGTAGATGGGGTGACGTACCGTTTGAGCGACCCCAGACGTCAGGCTGGCTTCGTCCGACGAAGATGTAGTCGACGCGATGACTGCAATCGACACACCGACCACGAGCAACCCGGCCGCGGCCATGATCAACCGCTTCCGAGCCACAAGTTGCTCGTACAAGAACGAGTTGCTGTCGCGCTTGCCGTCCAGGTCGTTGTCGTCCGGCAATTCCGTGTGCAGAATAACGGAAGAAGACCGCGCAGTATCATGGGCGTTGTACACCATGATGAAGCAAATGCCAAAATGGTGTGCTTGCGCAGCATCGCCATAGCGCTACACTACCATTACAACGGTAACGTGTGTGGTGGCAAGCTACTATTGTCGCCGTTTCCACCATTACGTTATTTTGTTTCACCTGTATAGGTCAAAAATACGTTTAATGGGTTAAACCATTAAACCACATACCTCCATGAGCACTACAGTAGCAACCTGTAGCGACCACATACTTGCTTCGTCGTGGAGTCGTAGAACCACGTTCATACTTGTCGTACATGACGCCTACAAGTAGTAGCACGCAGTGTATTATGTTTGCGATGGTTGCTCCAAACAATTCTGTAAACAGGGAGGACGTCCCATCGTAGTGTATTACTCAAACAATAAAACGTGTGTTTATCCTATTGAACACATACAGTTGTTTTTGCACACACACCCCACAATAAGTAAAAGTCCTAATCCGATTGGTATACGGGTAAAAAAATCCGAAATCAAAGCATACAACCCGCAAGTGTTTCGGCATGTTTGCAGTCAAATTCGGATGTTGGGAGGGCCCATATGGTGAAGTGGAATCGGCCAATTAGGACGACATGGTAAAGCCAAGGCGGGTGAAATGGCCATTGCATAGCCGACATAAAGCCAAGGGGTGGCGGCGTATTGTGCCGGCAATACATCAGGAGTATGTTTGTTCTATCGACTGCGTCTCATTCTGTGCATTTATTGCGTTGGACGGCAGTTGGACGGCCCAAAGCGAGTTCGCCGCCAGTTCTTTCCTCCCCAAACCTCCGACGCAGCAGCTGTTGGTGCATATCGCTTCGGTTGCAACTGGTTGGTTTGAATTTGTGCTTGGACGAATAATCCTTAACTGTAAGCCAGTAAGTAGCTTACGGTAATTCTTATTGTGTACTCATACTTCCAGTGTAAACCAAAACAACACGTTCCAGCTACTAGGAGGGGTTAAGTGCATTTCGAGTGGGTTGGGATAGCTAACCCCTGGTGATGTAACTGAACCCTGGATATACTGTAGCAGCACAACGGGTCTGGGGGTCCGAGGTTACAGGGCTAACGTTAGCGCTCCTGGTAACTACTCTTGGAACGAAATGATTACGTAAGAAACAGCGATAGCACAAGTGGATGCAATAACTGGAAGCCGTATCTCACTCATCCCAGCGGGTTAATATCACCTTTTTTGGCAATTCCAGGGTACAAAAATGTCAAATTCAGAAAGCGCCTGTAAATAGACCAAGAACGAACCAATCATCGAGTATCTTTTCAGTTAACAACGCACCTACTATACTATTAATACAAGGAACGACGCTGAATACCGGCGCGCCAAATTTGTTGAATTAATATTTGAACTAGCCAATCAAATCAAAGTAATTTGTTTATTTAACATTGATTGGTTAAAACCTTTTCCGGCTCAATTTAAACTGATTTGCACCCCACGACTTGATAACCTTGAATGTCACAACACCACCAGTCAGCCATGTCAGCAACACATCGCAAGCGACCGGACTCTTGCCCAAAAGCTCAGTGTCGCCCGCTTGGCCGAAGCCACAAGTGTCAGAAACGCCATCGTGACCACGGGCTATGCTGAGAGTTGTGTGCGTGATTGGGTGCGCGACAAGTCGATAATGGCAGAGTTCAAAGGATCCAAGACACGCAAGAAGAACACTGGGGCATGTGGTGGCAAGACAATCCTTCCAGACAGCCACGAGCTTGTGATACACATGATGAAGGACCTTCGTCGACAGGAGGTTGCAACAACCTCCGCGCACATGATGCAGTTCCTGCGCGATGGCAACATGCCGTGGATCGAGGAGTACATGGCAACAAGGAAGTCGGGATACAGCTCTCTGTTGCGGCTCCTCCAGCACTTTATGGACCGTCATGGATTCTCGAGGCTGCGTGTCTGTCGCCAAAAGAAGACCCAAGAGGACCTGGAGGAAACCCGGATTGCTTTTGGTAAGCAATTCAACTCTCATCACCCTGACGTGACCATGGACTGTGTCTTTAATGCTGACAAAACTGGATTGACGTACGACATGTGCCCCAACACGATTTGGGCGATCCGCGGCGGTGGCAGCTATGTAGCCAACTCGGAGACCCACTCGTACAGGATGACAGCGCTGTTAACGGTTGGCGGTGATGGTGTCAATTTGCCTTTCCTTTTTGTTACACGTGGCGCGGCTGGCGGCGTGATCGAGTCGAACGAGTTTGACGACTACCCACCAGGCCATCATTATGCTATTCAAGAGAAGGTGTGGATGAATGGCACTGTGTGGAGGTTCTACCTTCGTGACGTGTTGGCCGAGCATATCGAAAACCCATCGGTCCTCCTGGTCGACATCTTCGACTCGCATGTGACGGACGAAAGCGACAGAATTGTTGGTGAAGAGTTGGGGTGTGAACTGTATCCACTGCCCCCGAACAGCACCTCACATTGTCAGCCATTGGATGTTTCCATCATGGGGCCGTTCAAACAACACCTGCGCGATTTGTGGGTGATGAGCCAATCCACTGCGACGACTGCGAAAGAGAAGCGAATTGTTATGATCAAGCGGGCAATTCAAGCATGGGACATGATCACAGAAGCTGAGGTTTGTGCTAGCTTCATCAAGGCGCTACCAAAGTGATTATAGATCTAGATTTAGAATGTTGGTTAAGAATGCGTGTTTTTCTCAATCTTGATTTTAGACTTGATTTTTGTATGCTAAAATGTACGAATTGGCAGGTTCGAACTCGGTGCCAATTGCAATGACTGGTACCCTTAGTTTTCACGATTCAGATATACGGACACACCGGTATTCGGTCAGTGAGCATTGCGCGGCTGATCGTCCTTCGGTTCTAAGGGTGCTAGATATTGGGGGGAGTGCTGAGCAACTATGGCACCCAATCCGTATTTTTTATATTATATTGATGTTTGTATATATTTATATAATGTTTGTATGTCTCGTCACATTTTATGGGTCCCTGGACCCTTAGGTCGCCGCTTGTAATAGGAGTTACTACGCTTTATACCGTATGCAACCAATTTCTCGAAAAGCAGTGTGGATTCAACGGTATATACTCTGTATAAGAATAACCTCTGAACAATAATACTAAGAGCTGGTTTTTCGTCATGCGTTTTGTTTTTATAATTCTGCTTGTCTCATTATTTATTGGATAATATGTAACGCGTTCTGTCCAATCCTGAGTCGATGTCACGCCGGTATTTAGCGTCGTTCCCTGTAGTACTAGTACCATTTTTCGATTAACTGTAAGTTCAGGTATTTTCCGGTATATTTCGTCCTACGCACAACTGATTCACGCAATGTGCGTTATGTTCGCTGAACATTCGATTTATTTCGTCCAGACCCGACATCATTGCAGTATATTTCGACTATTCTCCGGGATATACTCACCCCACAGGCGGTATATGTCACACGTTATTCAATACGTACTTCATGGGTAAGGCTGTAGAGGATTCATCACGTCAACTCATACCGGTATCTATGATACTGGTATACTACAACCTTACACCTTGCAGCTCAAGTTTCTCTACGGTATGAGTCGACGTGATGAATCCTCTACAACCTTAACGTTACACCTTGCACCTCAAGTTGTTCTACTGTCTTGCCGAAAACCTGAGTGGCATGGAAGTTAGTGCCTGACGAAGCAGCGCGGCTTGTGTTGTGCACGTCTCCTATAAACTAAGAACTTTTCACAAAATTTTCTTGTTATTTCGTTTTCATTTCTCAAACTTTTAGCAAATACTACTAGTAGTAGAGACGCAGAATCGCGATCTTAAAAAACGTGGTGAAGAAATTCTACGTCTCAGATTTAAATTCGGTGAAGAATTGGTCAAGAAATAGACATTAACCAGAAAAAGCAAGGTGAAATAGGCTACAAAATTCAAACAGTTCAAAATTGTAACCTCTTCTGCCAGTATTATAGCCAATCGTGTGTAAGTAAGAAGCAAGGTATGATGGACTCCGATTGGATATTAAAAAGGAGCAAGGTGGCTCACCTTGCGAATTCCATTAACAAGTCATTTAACCAATCGGTATTTTGCATGGGCGAATTGACAGTGAATTTGGGCATAGCGATGGCCATTGAGATATATCTTCATCGCTTCTCATACTGAAGTATCAGATTTGTCAAAAGGGACAGTTTGGTCTGTCTGCTTTGGCCTTCTTCGCAGGGTTCAGACATCCGGAGAGTATCCGGAGAGTTAAAGCCAGTTGTTAAGTCACTCTTTTAGTTTTGCCCCCGACCACGCAAGTGTTCCTCGTGCTCTTGCCCCCTTCCTCAAGTGCTACTCTTTCCTCGTCCTCTTGACAGGTTATGAGCCTACATTCTACCTCTGCACCGTCCTTTGTGGGCACCCCTCTCAATGAATCGCGGCCTCTGGTCTACGCCATCTGGAAGAGGAACTTCTTGTCCCAAGCTATCATCCGCAATGTCGTGGGGTATTTCACCGAGCCAAACCACGATCCCTATGGGATCCATCGCGAGGCGATCAAGATCGGCAAGGAGTATCTCGAAGTTGACGAGGTCGACAACCCCGATTTCTACTATGTAAACCCCTCCTCGGAGACCGATCGTGCGGCCCGACATCAAGGTATACATGTCAGCCATCTTGGCTAAATCGATGGACCGCAAGTCGGCCAAGGCTTTTGCCGCTCAGCGCTTTTTTGCGCACACCCTTTTGGTGTCCGGTATGTCGACCAACCTCCGGCATCTGTACCCAAAAACTACGTGTCTCAACACGCTCTTTGAGCTGCTGAAAACTCGTTTCGAGTCAAATGCCATGGACAACAACCCCACCGTGATTGCTACTCACCTACCGAATCTCAAGTTCACCGAGGACAGTTGTATCGACACCCTCGCCGTGGAACTCAACGACCTCGTGAAGCGTTATCGTGGGCCTATGACGATGCCCACCTTTAATCCTTTGGATGCGTATGCGATCTCGTCTATCGACTATGACACCTACATTTGGACCTATCACACTCTGTGTGCCATGTCCGACGCGTTTATTGTGGAAAAGAACCTCTCTGGGAAGTCATCTAGAACTGTGTTTCGACTGCCCGAGCTGCCGGGCGCCCATCGTTGTTGACGATGTTTGATCTGCCCTCCGCACCGTCCTCGACAATCGCGTCCAACGAGCTTCTGCTTTAGGTCATCTCGGCTCTGCATCCACTACCAAAGCCCGCACTCAGTATGCGGTCATTATGCATGCCGTTGCAACCCCCCCCCCCCCGCACCGCCGCCCCAGGCGATCAGACATCCTGATGGCTCGTTCCAAGTGCTGAATGCATTTGCTATTCTGGCTTATACCCACCTGGACTGTGTCCACAACCCTGGCAAGTCCTGCTTTTACTGTGGGTGTTGCCAATCTTACGTTGCCTGTGTGCACTACCCTCAAGTCGGACTATGTCTGCAACTCCATGCGTGCTGGCTTTGACCGCACAGTCTTTGACAAACATGGCTCTGCCACCGCCAAGAAACTCAAACGCGACGTCGACGCGTCGTTGTGCCCAATCCACCGCCGACGTGACGACCGCGATGATCGCGGAGGGCCTAGTGGCCACGGTGGTTTTAGTGGCCTTTGTGGCCCAGGTCGTGATGACCGTGACCGTGGTGGTCGTGATGACAGTGGCCATGGTGGCTATGGTCGTGATGACCGTAATCGTGGTGGTCGCGATGACCGAGGACGTGGTGGCTCTGGTGGCCGTGACCGTAGCCGTGATCGTGTTGGTCGTGATGACCGTGGCTCTGGGCATTATGACCGTTACGCCGGCAGTGCTGCTTTTGATGCCGTCACCCGTGACCTTGGGTACGGCCGTCCTCCGGTTGCTGCCAACTGCGCCATCATATCATCCTCCCTCAACAATGTCCTCGAAAAGCCGCATCCACCTTCGGTACTACCCAAAGTTTTTACTACGGGCCCTGCCTCACTCTTTAATGTGTTTGCATCGCCACCGCGCCTATCACTTCCTTCGACTATATCGTTCATTTCTCCTAAGCCCCCTTCGGCTCTGCCACATGGGCCAGATACTGTCGAGCCCGACTCATTGCCAACCGACTACGCATCTGGTGCGCCTCCTTCGGCTCTGCCACTCGCGTCAGTTACCGTTGAGCTGGCCTCGTTGCCAGCCAACTACGGGTCTCCCGCTGATGCAAGCGATCTTTCGATTAAGTCCCATCCAACGAGGTTCTCGTCACCGATCGACTACACACTCTACCCATCGCGACCATTATTTCACATCCCAGCCAACCCAACCAAAGTGGATCTTCCACTGTTCCCCCCCAGTGACTTCTCGGTCACCAAGGCCGATCAAAGTTGTTCTTCAACTTCCACCCCAATGTGTGGACGGTATCCGTCCCCATCCACCCTTCCAAGTCATGAAGGGCAATGGCTTTTTGCCCTACATGCGGATCTCCGCTACTGCGAGAAAATCCGGTGGCCCTCCTCTACCGAAGGCGGTGACCTATGCTCCTACCAAGTTTCCCGCTCTGCGTGAACATTGGATCGTTGATTCCAGTGCATCCACCTTGTGCACCCCCAACCGAGATTATTTCTCGCGCTACATTCCATGTGCGCTGTCTTTGACAGTCGGGAACGGCGCCACACTCCCAGTCGTCGGTTATGGCTCCATCTCGATGCTAGTGGACATGTCGCCCCGCGACCAAGTCGATGACATCCGTACATGCACTTTGCGTCTCGACTTCGGACTTCACTGCCATGAACTACAGTTCAACCTGTTCTCCGTCCGCCAAGCGTCGGACGACAACATCACAGTCCGATTTCCGGCTCGTGACATATGTGAGATTACCACCTCCTTTGGAGATGTGCTTAATGCACCCAACAACGCCATGGGACTTTATTCGTTCCCTGCCCAACCCAAGTTCGTGGGCACCGATCCCCGTTTCCGTGCCATGATGGCCTCGTTCGAAACCGCTCTGAGGACCTTTGTGACGAAATACAGTGGATTTTCCACCTTTAACGATCAATTGCATATGTTTGCTTTCTCGTCCGCGTTGCGCTATGCGCATATCACCCATCAACCATCTATGGTCCCCAAGTCAACTCCACCGCCTCCTCTAAACTCTGTCTACTTGAGCGTTGCTCATGCTATGCTTGGCACACCAACTACTACCCGTGTCTATGACACTACTCATGTTTCAACTGACTATCTCGCCAGCCTCGTAGCTGACTCTAAACTTTCCGCAACTAGTCTTGCGCGCCTTTGGCATCGCCGTCTCGGCCATCCTGGCATTGATGCCTTCGAACAAATGACAAAGACAAACCCCGAGGTTATGGTCTTCAAGGCTAAGTACCTTCGTGGTCACTTATGTGAGACTTGTGCTTATGCCAAGTCCAAGCGTAGTCCTTTTGACTCCTCAGCGGTCTTCCTCGCTACTTCCTACCTTGCCCTTGTCCACACGGACATCTGATGACCCAGTCCGATTCTGTCGGCGGGTGCCTACTTCGTAGACTTCATTGACGATTGCTCCCACTTTATGTGGGCTTATCCAATGCGTTATCGGAAAGATCTCTATGAGACGTATGAACTATTTCGTACGGATGCCATGTCTATGTTTAAACATGACGTTGGCGAGTTGCGTCATATGTACGCACCCCACGGACATTGGCACTCTCCAAAGTGACAACGCCAAAGAATTCGAGAAGCTCGGCCGCCTCATCCGGCCGAAGTACAACACTCGGGTGACGCTTACTCGCCTCATCAAATGCTCATCGAAGGGGCTCTGCCCTACTTCCTATGGGCTCTTGCCCTCGACTATGCCTCATGGCTAATTAACATCTCTCCGTCGTCCTCAAACAAGGGTATATCACCTACCACGTTGTATTCAATCGACACCCCTCGTTTGGTCACATCGAAACCTTTAGTTACACAGCGTTTGTGCACGTTCAATGTGCCGCGCAATTTTCCAAGCTCGATCCCCGTGCCGTTAAGGCAATGTTTGTGGGTCTCCCACACGACCACAAAGGTTATACCCTTTTGAACTTGCATTCTCATGCACTCATCTACTCTCGTGACGTTACCTTCTGGGAGTCCGAATTTCCCGCGGTCAACTCTGTTGAAGCTGCCGCTGCATATCGCAGACGGCTTGCTTCGGGTCCTACTTTCCTTCCATCCTTGAAACCCTATGCCCCATTGCCCTCACTACACTCTCTTATTGAGAACCGGCCTAGTGCCTTCATTTACGACAAGCCTGTGGCTCCATCACCGCCCACTCTCTCAACCCAACCCACGTCGACTCACACTACCTGACCGCCTTTTCGATGAGTTCTCCACCTTTCCGCTGACAAGCCCGGTATATGACCCAACTGCCATTCCTCTACGCCGACTTTATGGTCGTATTCCATCTGCCTTTTCGGCCCACCTTTCATCACTGGCCTCGTCGACCCGACAATCAACACCACCCACGTCGCTCGACTTTATTGGTCATTCATCAATTAGTCTCATTACGGACACAACTCCTATGGGGTCCCTCGTCGCCTATAGCAACGAACCGCAGTATGCACTTTCAGCTTTGCCGTCGCCTTCCTCACAACCATTGAACTATGTTCCACCCTCAGCCCCTATGGGACCATTGTTCATCTACGCTCTACTCGCCGACCGCGCCGACAACAGCGACCCCAAAGACTGGCGTGATGCCATGTCGCGCCATGCCCATGCTCAATGGCTTCTAGCCCCCAAATCGGAATACAAGTCTTTACTCTCCAATCGCACGTATGTGCTGGTCAAACGTCGTCACGACGAAACGGTTCTACCGTGTCGCTACGTCGATGGCACATACAAAGCCCGACTTGTCGTCAAAGGGTTCATGCAGCAAAAATACATCGACTACACGGACATTTTTGCTCCTGTTGTACGACTCGAAGTTCTTCGCTTTCTCTTTGCCTTAGTGGCCATCCATGATTTGGAATGCGAGCAAATGGATCAAAACCGCCTTTCTCAATGGCAAAATTGACTGCGTTGCTCTCTCTCGACGTGACTTTGTCTGTCTCCTCCAAAAGAGCCTTTATGGCCTCAAACAAGCTCCACACCTATGGTATTGGACCTTCGTCACCTTTATGGTTTCCCTTGGTTTTACCCTACACAAAGGCCGCTGCACTTTCTAAAAGCCAGCGACGATGGCTTTACCATTGTTAGTCTCTACGTCGACGATCTCTTGATCATTACTCCGAACAAGGCTATTGCCTCGGATCTCAAAGCATCGCTCTCGCATGAAGGACTTAGGTCCAGTTCGAGATATTCTCGGCTGGGAAATCTCCCGCAATCGTCCCGATCGAACTCTGTTCATCCACCAATCTCGTTACTGTTCTACAGTACTTGATCGCTTCGACATGTCTAGGTCAAAGCCCGTCGCCACTCCTTTTGAGTGCACTACCCCCTTATCCAAGGCTCAGTGTGCTATTTCACCTGAGGACATTGCTTTTATGCAACAAAACCGTATCGGTAAATCGTCGGCAGTACTATGTACTTAGCCATGGGCTCTCGCCCTGACTTGGCTTATGCCCTTCAACAACTTTCGCAGTTTCTACACAACCCGGGACTTGCCCATTGGCGTGCTGCCAAGCGCGTTCTACGCTACCTCAGAGGCACCAGCTTATGCTCGGTGGCCGAGACTATGTCTCCAAGCCATTTCTGTCCGCCTATGTGGACGTCAACTACGCCATGTGTCCTTACACTCGTCGATGTATTAGTGGATTTCTGATCTTGTTATTTAACAACCTCATCTCTTGGTTGTCCAAGAAGCAAGGCATTGTGACTCTGTCCACCACCGCGGCCGAGTTTGTGGCTCTTGCCCTTTGCATTCAAGAATGTTTATACATTCAGCAACTCGCTGCTGAACTACGTCACACTAGTGATCAAACGATTTCAGTCCATGAGGACAACCAATCCGCCATCAGTGTTAGCCATAGGCAGACAAGGATTGAAGTTACATCGATAAAGCTATATATAGAGCTCCAGGCTTCACATCCCTCGACTACTTCTGTGTGTCGAGGGTCAATAGTTACCTTGTTTTGATCCTACACACACTACTTGAAGGTTACATTGAGAGGTATGACAAACTTCAATCAGTTCAGCTAAGGTTGCACTACTTACATGTATGCATGTCCTTGGCGATGCTAATCATGGAGGTTCTAGAGCTAAGCTCACTTCTGAAACACCTTCCTTTGAGCCACTACAACTACATCTCTGTGTGTTGTGTGCCTACGTCTGTTAATCAGCATCGCCCAAAATGCTGAGCATCATCGCTCCAAGCACATTGATGTGCGTTTCATGTTTGTTCGGGATCTCGTTGAAAACAAGAAGTGTATTCTCCATTATTGTCCCACCAAAGAACAACTTGCGGATTTTGTTTTTGATAAAGGCCCACCCGGAACCTACGTTTCGCAGGTTCTGCAACGCTCTGCGTATCTACAAGGTTGGCGACTTCTCGGTGATCGCATCTTTTAGTTGGACAATGCCTTTTGGCACTTCTGTCTTATGGCACCAACTCATTATCTATGCCTTTGGCACTCCTGCCTTATGGCCCCTACCTGATATTTATGCCTCATGGCTTATACAGGACTATTTCGACGGATAAGTCCATTGCGACTCCTTCAAAAGAAAATATTCTCGCCTCTTGTGAAATATGAATTTCCAGAATTTTCACTTTGCGAGAAAATACCCTCTATTAAGGTATATACCTTTTCCAATAGTATAATATATTAGTTTTTGGACATCAAAATGCGCGGGAACACGTGTGAGGTCATGGTTGTCTTCGAGCTGTGGCTGACAGCGTTCATTTTCATTTTCAATGGAGGAGACAGAGGAGGTACAGCCAAGACGGAAGCCCAGAGACCGCCCAGCACTGTGTGTCTGTCTGATGGGTCCAAGAAGCGCGTCAAAATGGTCAAGAACGTCCATGTCACGTACAAGAAGAAGCAAGTGGTGATCAAATGCTTCTACACCAATGGCATAGCAAGGACCCTCGACGTTCATTTCCACCGCCTGCATGGCTCATCCCGAGATTCTGCCCGGAAGAAGTGTACAACCAGCTGCAGCAAGGCGACTTAATCGGCTGCAAGGCCGCCAACCCTCGGACCGGCCAACACAAGTGGGCTCTATTCGGTTTAACCCCCCAGTGACGCTATATATGCCTATATAGCTGTTTACTGTTAACTGTAAAACAACTTTACGTGGGCTGATTGCAAATAGTGTGTAGGTTTGAATCATTGGTTACAATGTAATTCCGGATAAATTTTCCGGATGTACAGATCGAACACAGCCAACAAGACTAAAATGGCTGCTCTCTCCCAGCGCTCGAACTACATGCGGAAATGGACATGCAACATCACGGACGATCTCGCTTGTGACAAGTCGTTCCGCCACTCGAACGACGATTCAAGGCCCATTTACAAACGGTACATGGCTTGGAATGGCTGCACCATGTCCGTACCCTTTATGGCCTGAAAATTGATGCGCCACCGCTCGGTCCCGTTGTGGCCCCAGAACCTCCTCGTCCTTCCGATGTCCCACTTGATGAGGACATTGGCCGACTCCAAGTGCTTGTGGAACACAACTGTGTTGTACAGGCCTCGTTTCTGATTCTTCTTCGTGTAGCCTGTCGCCTTGGCGAGGATATTCGAGAGCTGGAAACTCTAATTTCTACTCTGAATGAGCCGTCTACAGAAACCATTGTAGAGCCAGCGGACATTCCAGCAAGCCGCCGGAGCACGCGTCCATCCTCGAAGAAAGGACCAGCAGCTAAAAAAACTTAGAAGTAATTAAGTGTATTTGACTTGGAAATGTTCTGTGTCGAACAACATCATCTCGTCTCCATGCAGCAACGCAACGGGCTTGAATAGTCGAATGACCTCACTAAATAGGTTATATAGGCTATATAGACTATACCGGCTATATATCGTCTATAGTGAGTAGCGTAAACGATATATATTATGCTTTTCACTCGTTTTGGCTATTCACACCATAAAACTGGGTGTTTGTTACGTCAACCCCAGTGCTTTAGATAATCCGTACCGTGATTTAGGATCACGTTTCGTTACAGAATGTAAGTATAGGGAGGTGATTTATGCAACTCCCTCGCTTTTGCACATTTGAAAAGTGCAAATCGAAGTTATATCTGCTATTCTCTATTCTCGGGACCAAATTGCAAAATTCACTGGTCACCATGAACAACTTTTGATATTATAAATGTCACACAGAGAGGTCATGCGCCGGTGTTCTACCGTACAGCGATGTACGTATGGTGCCACATCGTAGAAAACTACGCCGTCTTCTTGTTCCATCGCATAGTACGTGCAGGTAGCGTGTACTACGCGATGGAATTAATAGCCAAGGTGTTTTGGTCTGCAAAGTACTATATACTACTCTGGTCCACAATGATCGTTACGGTGTTTTGACATGATTAAAGTATACTCTACAGCCAAAAGTAACTTGGCTTTTGTATTGAACCTCGACAATGCATAAACAACGATTGAAATTAAATTGATTGTACATATTTTATTTAAGGTACTTAGACTTGCGAATTCAAGTGAGCATGAACGTTGACTCAGCACAATGAACATTGAAAGTCGACAGGTTTTGAATCGTATAATCCTTTTTGAGATGCGGAAGCTTATAGTTATTGTCCCCGAGCACCTCCATAGATGTTTCCATAACCTTTTGTAGCGTGTCAAATGTCTTCACTAGAGTTTTGACAGGCATCTCAAAAAATGCACATTCAACTGCACAATGAGTTCCTCGATTGTACGAGTTCTCTTCTGGACTACAGGCTTTGAATAGCATTAAAAAACCCTAAATCTAGGACGTTGAAGTCTGGGCGATTCGGAGGCTGGTTGGACATGCTGATACAGTTAACACCGTTGGACCGCAAAAGATGGGTTTTTAATCGCCGGTGGGGGCCAGCATTATCGTGCTGAATATGCACACCTGGATGCAGGCAACCTTGGGGGAACTTCGCCACAATTGCAGGCAACCTTGGGGGAACTTCGCCACAATTGCAGGCACCACATTGTTCACAACACAGTCGAAATAGACCTGTGAGTCGAGAATTTGGGGCGTGACAACAAGAGTCCCTTTTGGGCGATTTTTACTATTTCTAGCTGCTGGCACGCGTTGGACAAACGGCCAAATGCCCAGCTTGCCATCGAAGTTTTGTCGTAGGTGGGGATAGTCGTAGGTGGGGATAGTACCGGGGGCGGCGTGCAACAGCGGCCAAAAACATCACTTTTGTGATAAATCGATTGGATTTGGCGGCGCGATGGGCCAGTATTTCATCTTCGTATACGTGAATTTTCTCTTAACCTGAGTAAAAAAGAACCCTTCTCATCGATATGTACCTGATTGTACATATTGTCAAAGAAGTGTATCCCTTTTGACCCAGGCAAGAGAAAATTCTTCGCAAAGCGCAGGCGCTCGGTCTTATTGGCGTCCGTCAAGAATGGTTTGACATGGCTTGATCGCGCCATGAGCTTCTTGGTCGCTGCCATGTGATGCATGATGGTCGGCTTGGGTATGCCACTGTGTGCGGCGAGGGAGCGCAATGTTTTGCGATCTTCTAGGGGCACGGCCTTAATCGTCGCTTCAATTACTTCGGCGGATCGCCGAGGTTTCGACCCAGAGTTGCCTACAACAGTAATCCCTTAAAAATGCATACTTCTCGAAATTCATGGTTTACATCCATGTATAATTTTATAGAGGTCTTACCTCGAACTTTGGCAGCGATGTCCACCATCGGAGCGCCGTGGAGTAGAGAGAGGCGTCCACTTGTCCAGGGTCGCGATTGGGTAACCCTGTGGCACTGAAAGTGCCGAGCCACATCAGATACTGCACTATATGGTAGCTGGTCGTGGTGCAGGCGTGCGAGAAGTATCTCGTAAGCACCGCGGCGCTCATCCTCGGAGAGATTTCGTAGGTGACTTGCTTAGCCCAGGTTTGATGCTGAGTGTGTGGTCGTGGGCGATGGCATAGATCAACACTGTAGTAACAGAAGGTGCAGTCGACTGGGTGTCAAATTGAGTTACGACTATCTGGCGCAAGAATTTGATGCCTCAAGCACTCGTTGGCATTTTCCCCGCCTCATAACCCATAATGAGTTATTGCACTCACAATGCGTCCAATCAAAGCCGAGACCTTGTGCTTTTTAAAGAACCAATCAGAAGTGCTATCTGAGGCATTTTAGAAAAATTCCGCCAATAAAACGACACTGTAACGATCATTGTGGACCAGAGTAGTATGATATATAGGATACTATATCTCCTAAATAGTGTCCTGTATAGCTTATATAGGATACTATAGAGGTTGTATACGATTTGCTATATATGTTATATATGATACTATATAGGTTGTATAGGATACTATATAGGTTATACAGTATAGAACGATATAGGTACGACGAAGTATAGAGCACGTATATACAGTAATATATAGGTCCTATATAGATATATATATACTATACAGATACAGCGTACTAGTGTACACACTATTTGCAATCGGCCCACGTAAAGTTGTTTTAAACAGCTATATAGGCCTATACAGCGTCACCGTGGGGGTTAAACGAAAATAGAGCCCACAAGTGTGCTCGAGACATTGGAGTGTCAACAATATTGTCCCGTGAGGCCGAAGGACAGCTCGCACATTGGGTTACGAACATGCGCAAGGATGGTGTAGCGGTGACACCACAGACGCTTCAAATGGCAATCGACCTCGGCATCGACGAAGACATGTTCCACAAGCTGGCATTGGATGCATAGTTTCAAGAATGATTTGGTCTCGCTCTACGCGCTCGAACCAGAACAGGTCAGGACACTCAAGGCGACGGTGAGGCAGCCCTGGCAGCGTTTTCAGCGCGTTTACAATCGATTATGGAGCGCGAATGCATCGACATGGTGTACAACGCCGACCAGACTGGGGTAAACTATGAGTACTTGCCAGCCAAGACCATACATGCCCGCGGTGAGAACACAGAGTGGATCAAGTGTGGTTGGAAGACCAAAGGCCGGGCAACTGCAATGCTCGTAGCAGACTGTACGGGCAAGAAGTATCCACTGTTCATCGTGCTAAAGACGGGCGCCTCGAAGATCAAGGATGTGGTACAAGAGAATGTGAGGAGCGACAAGCCTTTGGCAAGACCGTGTGGAAACAAGTTAAGCCTCTTCAACAATATTCCCTGTGCCACGTCTTTTGCAACCCCACTGCGTGGTAGAATTCCTCCATTTCAGTGGATTTTCTCAAGTTTCACTTTGCAGACAGAATGGACCGTCCTGCAAAGTTCATGTGGGACGACTTTTCCACCCATTTCACTGTTGAGGTCGTTTCATGTGCTGAAGACCTGAACGTTGTGCTGAGTAGGTGCTGCCACGCTTCACCTGGATATGTCAGCATGTCGATGTTGCGTGGATCCTACCAATGAAGGCGAGACTAAGAAAGTACTGGATCAAATTGATTCGGCGTCAAGTGAGAATGAACATGAACAACAGTCTACGTTCAAGTTGGTGGCGCCAACGCGAGCGACCATCGTGCAATGAATCACGCAAGTTTGGGACGATTTGTCCCAGTCTATTATCCTCAATGGCTTTGGAAAGTGTACAGATTGATTCAACCAGTAGCTGATGTTAGTGGTGTTGAGTCAGTAGAAGTAGATGAGGAAATGTTGGCGCAGCTCATTACTGGTTGTGCGGTGGATGACACAATCCACACATTGGACGATATTGACACGCAAGAAGAATAAAATTGTTTGTTTTATATGAATATGAGTTTGTAAAGATCGGGTGTATATTTTAACTCTAAATATGTTATACCGCAACTATTGATTTGTTTTAGAACATAATATGATTTTGTGATGTTTTCGGCTACCATGTTACATTAGCGTTTTGTATGACGCAAAGGACTTTCGTATTTCTCATCTCGTCTGTCGACCAGTTGTGAAATACAAATATCACCGACCTAAACTACTGTACACGGTACAGTGCGTCATCACCTGTACTATGTAGTACTACGTAGTAATTCTTACAAAAGGTTTAATTCGGAAAATCATAAGGTGTTTAAGCTTTACCAGTCGCAACCTAAGTGTGCGTCTGGGAACATTTCAAAAATAATATTCCAGTATCTCGCAAAATGGGATTAACCAAAATTTCTTCCCTAACAGTAAACCATCGACTTAAAGAGTTATTTCAATCAAAATTTGACATTTGAAGGTTTGTATGGAGCGGTTTTGTGACCTCTTGTTTTTTATATACTTTAGAGCATGTCCACCGCGGTTTTGGGAGGTCTGGTTATATTTCGGGCAAAACACACTGTCGTTAAAAGTTTTGCCCAAATTTGAAGGCATTTATCTTTAGACAACGAGGGAATTTAAGACTCATCGAAGTTTTGAGTGTCACACACTTTTTTTAGCCAATCAGCAGCAAATCAAGAAATAATTAAATTTCTATTGGTGAATCTTTATAATATGTTTCGAATCTCGAACTACGCTATCCAATCATATAGTGAAATTTGCGATACACACAGAACTTCGATGAGCCTTAAATTCCCTCGTAGTCTGTATACTAAGCATTTGTATCCAGAAATATCAGAAATAACCAGGAGAGGGACGGTCCCTCAAATTCGTCGAAAATACCCATCGATTTGAGGTCTGGTTATAAAGGTCAGTTTTACACAGTTGTTCAAGCGGGTTATTTATACCTACCAAATCACACGCAAAACACACGTCGTGGATTGTAGAGGGATCAAATTTAGAGATGTGGATGGAGATGCTCTTAGATGACGCGCACTGTACGTACAACCTCAGAGAGCGTAGAATCAGTAATTGGCTTCTGATGCGATAATTTCAAATACTAGTAGTAGTTTGGCGCGGTGATGAGTGGTCGAAAATGTGATGAAATGAAGCCATACACACCCATTTTTTTAATTTTGGAATGGAATGATTTGGGGAGCGATTTGATTGGATGTTGCGCATTTCAAATGGTGCAAATCAACTACAGTACTAGTATAACCTTCCAATTGGCCAATTCAGATGTAGGATGTTTTACTGTAAAACGTTTCGATATTGTAGGTTAAACCTAAAATATGACCACGTTAAACCATAATTTTGTGTATTTTATTTCTAAACCAAGATACGTTAAAGTGAATGTGCGTACGGATATGATGTTCGGATACAAGTGTCTTTTACTAACATCTAGGCAACCTTCGTGGCCAAAATCTACTTGATCTATATTGGCTCTTTGCAAAATACGACTTCGTTTAAACTCTATTACTCGACCAATTCTTCGCCAAATTTGATTTTAGACATAACATCCAACTCTTCAACACGACAAGATCTGTCAAAACTACGTTTTACTTCAAATTTGAGAAATGCATATGAAATTGCAGCCAGACATTTTTGTGAAATGTTGGAAGTTTCTACGTTACTGTACGTGCGCCATATTTTGTCGGGGTATAAAGGTGTCGACGTATCGGGGAACTCGCTTTAACTGTTAGTGCATACTACCGTATTTCCCGCGCAACTGTAACCACCATTTCGTCCTGAAGAACTGTAACCACGTTGAATGATCAATGCTAAACTCAAGACAAATATATAGCCAGTGTGAACGAAGCAAATTGGGTGTTCCCATAAAGCTGTAACCAATAAATAATCAATGATTGGGTAATATTCAACCAGTCAAGACGTAGTGCTGCAGAATTCAACACCTGAAAGTGGATTGATTTGAAGTCCGTGGACATTTTTGGCTGCGCAAATGGTGAGGGAAGTCGAAGCTGTACGTCTGCGGCAATAGCTTGTCAGTCGACGACGTGGTTGTGTTTCATTGTGAGGTGGTGCGGGGGCACAGTGACCAACTCCAAGAAGCAATCAAGGTGTACAAAATTGTTGGAGTGGAGCAGGTTTGCCACATTGGTTTCCTCCCCCGACGACTGCTTACCTGCAAAACCAAGTTCGCTAACAAGCTGGCCGTTGTTGTGGAAGACTACATAGACGCATTAAGCGTGTCTAAGCGTAATCGCTCAGATAGATACCATGGTATTGTCAAGGCAGTGATAATGGAACATGTTGAAGAGTACAATAGATCATAATAATTCAACAACATTGACTTGCATTGCATGTATTACTAGTTGTAACTATTTCTAAAACATTTGCATGGTTACAGATGTGCGGGAAATACGGTAGTCTCCGATACGTATGCATCGAGATGAATTGGTTGGTGGATGCTGTGCGTAAGTTTGCCTGGTGGCGTTACTCGACTGAAATAGAACAAGGCTTATTTTATTTTGCTGAAATGCAGAATTTCGGTTTAGCGTTGTTGTAACTTCAATCGGGGCTTACAGTAACGTTATACGTATTGCTTTAGCGTCCGGTACGTATCCGGACGTTCGGCATGTTTTTGAGGGAGGTGATTGATCCGGATAACGTGCTCGATATCCGGTTGATTGGCGGGAAAAGTGATTTTCAAATTTGGCAACATGGTCGCAACGTTCAAGGGAGCGCAGCGTCGACGACGAAGCAGTATCCAGCCTCCATCCGAGACGGAGCTGCAGATGCCCCTGGAAGACCTCATGTTCAGTCCGTACAAGCGCCGAAAGGTGCAGAAGCAGAAGGACATGCAGGCCGCCAACCTCGCCAAGCTGCAGCAAGCTGCAAAGGTACAATTCCTCCCTTTCCTCGTACATGCCTCACGCTTGCCATCATATAGTACTTTGACATGATCGACAACGTTAAGCTCGAGACATCCTCTGCTGCCGTGGACGACGATGTTGACGGTGAGGCGTCCGCTACATCGACCCCATACACCACCCCAACCAAACAATCCCATGTGCACAGTACGGCAGTCCACTCGTGAACGCGTGTGTTCCCTTAGTATATACTTCCAATCGACTACATAGGTGTAATCATATCCCTTGTTCGTTCTTATGCCATTTCCACGAGCAACCCATCTTGGACATACGCTAGTTCCATCGGATACGCATCGATCATTGCAGTAAGGGTGCCTTCCACGTGCATCAACAGCCCGGTCGTCATCGTCGCGTACAGCGTCTTGATCATCTCGACGCTCCACAGAGACACGTCCACGTTGGCCTGCATGCACTTGCCCGCCGTCGCACCCACACACTACCACGATATATCATCATCACCTGTTCCCGTCCACATAAACATGGTCATTCATGTCGTACCAATGGCATGCTGTCTTGACATTTCGGTCCTTGGCAGCAGGTAAAGCATCCGTCGGGGGATGTTTTCGCAGGAATGACCATCGGTTCAAACTCCTTTGGATGGAATCGGGCAAGCGGCACCGTGTAATATTTGGCGCATACCAATCGACCTACAATTGTGAAGTCGCTCTCAAACAATCACAATACGGGACCAACCCGATGGCTCCTTATGTTGAGCCGCGCACGGATAGAGCCGCAAATTGGTCGCCGTCACGTTAATCGCATGGCCAAACGGGTTGCGCACCTTGAGCGCCGTGGCGATGGAAAACCAGTGCCATACCGATGGCTTGTACATCTTGGAGAGGGAAACCAGCGTCGGCATGGAGGGAAACAGCTGCGCGAGCGACGCCACCGACGAATTGAATTGCAAATGGGGCAGTGCCGCTTTTAAGTACGGATTTGGACTGCTGTCGATTGTGCCTTGAATATGCACCTACATAACGTGTATATGGGAAAAACCATATATTTTGGCGATAATATACTGAAATACAGAAAAGATAATGATTTTTCAAAGTGCTGGACAAATATTGCAATACACTTGATTGTCGAGATCCAATAAAAATATACTGACTGGGGCAAACCATATTAGTATATCTTATTTTGCATCGAAATACCATTGTACATTTTAAATAACTTGACACGTATACAATTGAATATTGAATTGAGAAGCAAGCCCTTAATTTTGTAATTCGCCAACCCATGCAATATAATACTAGTATTGAAATGGTTATACTCTGGTCCATTTCTATATATATATTATTTTTCCCATACCCTGGTTACGAGGGATAAAGCCTCTGAAATATGAACATCGATATGTAAAGTTATCACACGATTATGTTTATCCACATGGATTTCAATACTATCATGATTGAAGGATAATCAAACATGGTGTTAACATCCATTTTGAATCGCCGTGGTAGTACCTCTTGGGACGTGGTTCCCGACACAAACTGGGACAAAAACGCGCGCCCGAGGGTGATGTTTGTAGGGCGGAATGAAAACAAACCGGCCAATGGGCTCGTGGCATTGCAGCAGGCCAGTGTGACGTTGATCATGCGCGCCACGCCCAGGAGCGTTCCTTGGAGCCACACTTGCACTGAGAGAGAGTCCAATTCAGCGGTCACTTGGGAAGGATTGGACATGCGCAGCGCCATAGCCAGCACCAGCGTGTCACTCGTGCCTACATTCCACCCACCACCACTTCAATCATTCCAACCACCCACTTCAATCATTCAATCATTCCACCCACCACCACTTCAATCATTCCAACTCCCACCTCAATCATTCAATCACTCCAACCCCCACCACTTCAATCATTCAATCATTCCAACCCCCACCACTGCAATCATTCAATCATTCCACCCACCACCACCTCAGTCATTCCAACCCCCACCAATTCAATCATTCAATCATTCCACCCACCACCACTTCAATCATTCCAACTCCCACCTCAATCATTCAATCACTCCAACCCCCACCACTTCAATCATTCAATCATTCCAACCCCCACCACTGCAATCATTCAATCATTCCACCCACCACCACCTCAGTCATTCCAACCCCCACCAATTCAATCATTCAATCATTCCACCCACCACCACTTCAATCATTCCAACTCCCACCTCAATATCATTCCAACCACCCCCACTTCAATCATTCCAACCACCACACCACAGGCATTCCAACCCCATCCATGAATGAGTTTACTTCAGTCGTGTGTGCCTTCAATTAGTGTGATTGCAATCAATCCAGTATATTACATTCAATCTGGATAGAATGTGGCAAAATATCAATATACAAGTCCGTCCCAATTGAGTCCAACTTGCACAATATTATTACCAGACACAATGTCCACTGCGGTAATATTAACCCCGCGCAGTCGAAAGCCCTGCATGCCCGTCAGTTGCAGCGTCGCATGCACAGGCAAATGAGTCAGCTGCAGGCGACCCATGGGCGTCTCCACCACGGGCGACACGCCATCCTATGCATCAACGTCATGTGATCGTCAATATAGAATTTCGTCGATTCACCCAATCGGCAGGCAATCAATAGACGACCAATCAAAAGCCCAGAACAATCATCAAGTGGCCAATCAAATATACACTTCAACCTATTCCACATGGAATTAGTGTGTGACTGAAATTAGTGTGATATTGGACGATCTTTACAAAAGCCAGTACAAAGAATCGATCGATAGATTTCGCGAATCAGGGTAAAAGGACGCTATAAATACGCAACACCAAACCATACATCATGCGCTTAACAACACTCGATCTTATGATTTTTGCATTAATATATATATATATATATCAAGACATGATGGCTTTCTTTGCATGCTTTCTTTGCACCTACCTGTCCGAGGCCGTGGCGGTGGCTTTGGATTGTTAACGGTACAGTCCCCGAGGCAAACATGAGCGATCGTACAAACTGAGCCATGGCAGGTCTATCCAATATTATATTTTAAAAAAACATATATATATAAACTAGTTTCACAGAATCCTCAACCGAAACTCTATATATATATACCTAGTATAAAAAATAAATAAAAATATTTATTGGATCATCCCACACATCCACCATCTATCTGCAAATGGCCAGAATATTCTTACATGTCGACGTTCTCCAATAGAATCTCCGACTCAAACTCCACTTGGCCTTGTCCAGGTACTGGGAACGCAGTGTACGTAACCGACTGCATTGGAATCCGCAGCTGACTCAACCGGTCGACGTCATTCCACATGAGCGCACTCGACAGCGTCAGGTGCGTAATGTTGATGGGCAGATGCGCCAGCGCCGGCGGCATCGACACGCCAGCGTACATCGCCGCCTGCATGTGCATACTCGACGCACGGAAATGAATATGCATCGTCGGCATGTTCACAGAAGACACCAAGTCGACGGGTACCCCCGGGAACGTCGTCTGTAGGTGCATGTGCTCCAAACCTTGTTGGAGCCACGGAATCGACGAGCGAACGGTTTCAATCTCAATCGAGAGCGGCGATGGCTGGTTGGATATAAAACGCGAAAAAAACACATTCACGTCCGGACCCACGTCTCCTTGGGCGTCCACTTGGGGCTTCAACTGGCCTGGATTTCAAACACCATACGTTTGAAACACTCATAGAAAACACACACATGTTGATTATATTTTATAAAAAAAATTATTTTTTAGCACAAAGATAAACCACACACACACATTTGTGTTTGGATTTCAAGCACCGCACGTTTGAAACAAATATAAAAAACACAAATATATTTCAAACAAGAATATACACCACAAATACATGTTCAACCAACCTACCATTCAACTGCACCCGCGTTATTGACTCGGGTGTCAACGCAATGCCAGTCGACACCCGTCCTAGAAAACTGTCGTTTTGAATCGACAACCGGAGCCGAACGTCCCCTACGTCCATGGCCACGACCGACGGGTTCCAAATCTAAAACAAACGCGTTTAAAACGCATTTTAAACACCAAGGCGGACGTCTGAAATGGCTTCCACTTGCTGGCCTTGGGCTGTATGGGGACCGGGGAGGTTAAATCCCACAATCGTGACATTCGACAATCCGTCCATGCCGCCCACTTGGCTCAACACGTGCACGGGCACTGCCTTCAGTGTTAAATTACCTGCAAAAGGGTGGAATTATACAGGAAAGTCACCAAATTAAGTGCTTATTTGTAGATTGTACGTACCCAACGCCCCATGCGCGACGACGTCGAACGACCCTCGCACATACATGGGCTTCTAAAAGCACATGTTTTTATTAAAAGTCAAAATCATCAGTTTATATTAAAATATATATATATACGCACGTGTCGTGGTTTTGTATACATGTATAAACATGTCAAACAACAATTTAATCTAATCCACAATCGATATCAAAATAAATCTCGAATATATATATATATATATATACCTCGCGGAGATGAACCAGCGAGTGCACAAACTGTCCAAACGGGTGGCCGTTGTCGGATAGAATCAAAGTTGCTGTGCAACGCAGCGTCAAGTTGCTCAAGCCGACCACATCGCCGTCGACATGCACCAACTGCGTGGTCATGGTCCCAAATCCTTTTTCCTATACACAACGACTAAATCCACGATAATAGGCCATCCACGTATATATATGTATATATTTGAAGTCGATATATGTAATTTTTAAAAGAAGTTCTAAATAATACCTCGTTGCCACTAAACAAGTCCACTGACATGGCCATCGCCGAAAGCGACAGCGGCGAGTGCGCTCCAAGTGGACTCTGTGTGGTGGCCACCACAGTCGTCTGCACTTGCACTGCTGTGTCTACGTATACCCCAACACAGATTTATATATGCAGCAGGCAGAAAAAAAAAATAATATATATATATATATATATATATATATATTAGGTTACTGCCGACATAATATGATCGTGTTGTACCGTTCACTGGCACGAGTTGCATGGACGTAAACGTCAAGTCTTGAATCAACGGCACGGGATTTGGTGGCAACTACGTAAATATCGATAAAAATACCAAGCAAAATTCATATATACATATCTACATATCTCGACGAATATATATATATCCATACAAATATCAAACAATATATATTCCGACCAATATGTCTATATCCTATACAAATATCAAACAACAGCAATATGTCTATATCCTATAGAAATATCAAACAACATATATTTCGAAGAATATTGTCGATTTGATACAAATTTGGGGAGGGGGTGCAATCGAATCGCGCCGACCAAAATGATCCCAAATCGATCTGATTGGTTGTTGAATTTCATTGAGAAGTTTTTGATTGGCAAATAATTTTGAGCTCATCTGAAGTAGCCAATCAAATCGATTTAACAGTAAATTCCAACGAGAAACCACGCCACACCACGAAATTTCACTCGAAAGTACAATACATACCCATACTAAACAAATATCAAACAAACATCATCATATATATATATATTATCGAAGAGCATGAAATCTATCTTTCAGCAACGGATGGTTCTTCTCTCTGTAAACTACCACGTGTTATATTTACCGTGGAATTCAATCGCAATGTGCGCAAAGCATCGTTGTACAACGAGATCGACGACGCGTGGGGCCAGCACGCAGTCACTTGAACTTGTGCCGGGCGTTCACTTAAGTACCTAACAAATACACATACAGTGCTCAAGATAGTCCCATCTCAATTCTAGTACTGGGAAATGAGGGCACTGGTGGTCGATGGGTCACTCGAGACAATGCGACCGGTCAACGCAAGGCGGTTCATGCCTCTGGCGGCATACGCGGCGCACGCTGGATGCGACGGGTCGATTCGCGTGACCGGCAGCGACGTCCCACTGGACGACGATGTCAAGTGACCCACCAGAGTCGGAATGTGTGTCGATGGATGGGGGTAAAACACATGGAAGCAGAGCGAGCCCACGGGGGTGAGCGCGGCGGCAGACGGATTCAGCAAGCACGTGTCGATGGCGGCTAGGACGTCGCTGGGGGTGGACTTCGACAGGTCCATCTAGGAACGAACCATCAACATGTACTGAGAACTTATGGGAAAAAGAGTACTTAAGGGAAGGGAAGCGTGTACTTAGGTGAAGGGAAAATAGTACGTATGCGAAGAAAAGAATTGGGTGTACCTTGTCGACAACAAGCGAACGCAGCCCTTGCATGCCAGGCAGCACCATGGACTTGGCCAATGGCAAGTTGGAGATGGGAATCGACAAGAGGTGCAGAGAAATGTCGATCTCGCCAGAGAGCGTCCATGTCATGGTGGTCGAGTTGACCATCGCCGCTGCGAACAACGCCCACGCGGTCAAGTTGGTGACCTGGACACACATGACACCGTGAGATGCTTGACAAGATGGTTTGACGGAGGACATGCCGTTAACGTCGCGTTTTCGATCGTGTGGACCGACGTGCCGCGAGTAATGTCCATGGACGGGGTGCTAAAGAGGCCCACGATCGAGTTGGCATAGCGGATCGCCAACTTGGTTGGATGCATGGTCACACCGAAGGGGCTGTCGGACGAGATCTAAGACACATTTGGGGAGGAATGATGACGATGGACGAGGTGGTCGGGTACCGCCAGTTGGGTCGTGAGTTGGACAGAGTCATCGCGCGGATACTGCAGCTGCATGCGCTGGATGTCCATTTTAGTTGCCTCGATCGCACGCAGCGCAAGAGGTCGAATGCTGAATGCCAACACGATTAGGCCGATGGCAAGGCCTCCGACTCCGAACGCTGCAGTATGCTTCCACGTCCACAGACGTCGTCGTCGTCGAGGCAGAGTAGCTTTGAGGGCGTCGTCCTCGTTGCCGCTCACATGATGCGAAGACAGCAATGGTTCCAACGAGCTACTATGGCCATCCTCCAACGACTCGTCCGTCGTTGCCTTGGGCATGACTTGCTTGATGTTGGATCTGTGAAAACCCAACTGGCAGTTTGACTGTAAATTCTCGACAAAACATGGAATTGGTGTAGAGATACTACGAATTAGTGTACAATTTTTTTAACTTTAAATAGTGTTGCTATTATACCTCCCGAAACCAATATAGCATAACAAACGATAACCTCATATACTCGATCACCAGGAGTATCTTCCGACATCCAGCCATTTGTAAGTGTGGAGCTGGACAAACCTCTTAAAACTAATATTCATGTCTCTTGCATCATTCACAAATTGTTGCAACCGAGCGACACCACCACGGTGACGGACTCCATGCCAACGCAAGACGCACTTGCACAAGAACCTGGCAGTATGGCCCATCCGGACCTCACCCCCAGTCAGCCTGTCCCTAACTACGATTCCTTGCGCGCTCCCATCGACGTGGACCTTGGGGACGATGGTGAAGTGAACGCCGACGCGACCGAATGCGGCGTGTTGAGTCGATGGATCGTCAACCAATGGAATGACACGATTGCGTTCGAGTCACTTGTTCCCGGTCTCGTGACCACTGGCGCCTTGTTCGTGGGTAGGTGTCCCATGTCCTTCCCATTCCTGGAAATGTTGCATCCATCCCACGCCCTGGTTCCTTGTCTAGGCATTGTCATGGCCGCGACCGTGGACGGCTTGTCCCGCTCAAAAGGGATGATCGTGAGCCCTACATACGCGTACTCGTGGGACTACGTGCTCATCACGACGATCCTGTTTGACGCCTTCTACGCCTACGCGGCTTTCAAGGAGAAGCTCCGAGGGTGGCGTCTGACCCTTCAACTCGCCAAAGCCGTCTGCGTCGGGACTGCGCAAACGCTGTTCTTTCTGAAAAAGTTTGGGGTCTTTTACGGGTCCTGGCTGGTGGTCGCGGCGCCCGTGGCTGTCTGGACTGTGTTGCTGGCGTTGCAATGCCAGTGGCAAACGCTAGTTGGAGTGACTGCGATCGCGGCGGCATGCAAAGTCTCCATCGACACGTCCAACATAGTGTCGTGGGTCGTGGTATTCATTCCGATTTGGGTGTTATTGGCGTGCATTGCATCCCTGGTAACTATGCGTTATAATAATAATATCGTTTCACAAACCAGTATGCATCCATTAAATATCTATATATATAGAATCATATCTTTTCACATACCAGTATATATCGATGTATATATATATATATATATATATAGTTCTATGTTTCTCATACCAGTCATACCAGTATACGTACATTATTAATTTATATATATTTAAAGTGTATATGTGTATATATATATATAGTCAAATATTTTCACATAACAGTGTACATACTGTCCGTTTAGGCGAGACGAATGCAAAGAAATTTTCCAGTGAGCCGATTTAGATTCTGTTTTTTACAATCTCTTCGTTACCAACCACCACATATTCTGCATGCAAAATCTTGAAGGTCCAACTGAGAAACTCTGCTCTACGTTCGCCAGCAACGATTCTTGAACACAAACGTAATATTATAATAATGTAGAATATTATTATAGTTAGAATTTCGCAATAGTTTTAATAAATGGTACTTCTCATGTAGTAATGCTATACATTTTTTAACGATTATTTTATTTTAAGACTTAAGTATAGTATACTTCGAAGTACCTATTTTAAATTTCCGTTTCCATTAAGTACGTTCCATTAGGTGCTGAAACTTCATTTCGAACCTGATGGATAATAAAACCCCTCACGGACTGCACGTTAAACTCCTGAATTCAAATATACCTTTGGATCGAGGAAATACCTCCTAGGGCAAAAGTTATGGGAGTCACTAGTCTTGCATTCGTTCCACCCAAACGGACAGTATATTAATTTGTATACTTCTATTAATTTGTATATATATTACTTTGTATATAGTCACATCTTTATAGTATACATTAACATGTATTCATTTATTCATTTGTATATATATATATAAATATAGTTATATCATTTCACACACCAGTATACAAAGATATAATATGTGTCTATATATATATTTGAACCCTAAACGTTGATGTATCTCATATGTGTCTATACAATATGTATATATATATATTTGAACCCTAAACGTTGATGTATCTAGTGGCGATTCCAACGCAAGGCGTCGATTGCGATCCGGGGTTTCTGCATTCCGCAAGCTTTCGTAACGTTTATTGTGGCGGTGCCAGTAGTGATCAAGCTCGAAGTGTATCGCGTGTCGAGTCCGGCTGATCTGGCGGCGTCTGCTGGTCATGGCGTGGGGTACCTCTGGTTCTTGATTGTGTGGGCCGATCCGATAATGTACTACCTCGCCATCTTATCGAGAGATTAGCGCCATAGACGACATGCTGCGACCATGGGGGTGAATAGTTAGTTATTAACGCATAGATAGAGACACTCGCAAAACGGATATGCTCGAGGGGGAAATAATAAAAATATTTTGAAAGGCGGGCGTTGATATATATTAAAGCTTACGGTTAATTTAAAAATATAAATGATTCTATTTAACGTTACCCGACGTCATATAAAACTACAGGTCCGCAAGGCTAGTTGTGTCAGTGACGGAATGGTGGTGGACGGACAACCGAATGCGAGATATCATCATGTTTGCTTGCCTTTTGAAGTCAAATCAAGTTCTTCTTTTGGAATGTTTATCCGTTCACTCTAGTGTTTAGTCGAGAGCTTCCAGTTCGGCCAACATGGTTCGATCCAGCATGATCCCGCGAGATTCGGCACGGGCCACGCACGCCCACATGAGCTTGGACTTGTTGGCTGCAATACACGCTCGAATGGCAGCCTAATTATGGCATCAGTCTCCCTACCCTTATCTCGTCTATATATATATATAAATAATATATATTCAAAGCAAACATTGTTTTTCATGCCCTTTGAATGTATATGTATATATATATCCAGTATATATATATATATAATGTGCGTGGATAAGTAAATATATATATAATGTGCGTGGATATATATATATAGATTCAACGCATGTTTGTTTTCGAATATGTAAAAATATGATTGTTCGTACCTGATACACGACACCGTTGTCTTGGACAAGGCCCAACGTGCTCATACTAGCCAAGAGCGACACAAACGCAGTCGGGTCCCGCTGGTTGTGGGCATGTTGTGCAAAGCAAACCTAGTAATAATAATAATAATATCCATCCCCATGTGAAACGAAAAAAACCCAATCAAACAGGCCCCAACGTATATATATATATATATAAATCTCTTCGAAATAGCAGTCACGTACAGCAAACACATTGGGCGACACTTCGATCGAGTGCTGCTGCGCGTGATGAAGGAGGGCGTGGGCGGTAACCATGTCCAAGTCTGGGACGACCTGGCGCAGCATCTTGCGGTAGACCCCGCGCCCCATGTGGATGCGATTCGCCACGAGAATCTCAAAGATACTTGCCGTAGAAGGCCAAGTAACCGGCTGGTCTTCTTCTGTCGTTGAAGGCGGTTGCTCCAAGAAATACAAGGCCACATTCCGTTGAATGTGTCGGTCGGGAATCACTCGCGCCGCTAATAATACATGCATATATTGTCAAATTGATTCGAAACTGGAGCAGCCGTCAGCAGAATCGAATGGCTTCAGAGAAGGGATACGAAAGAACCAATCAAATAATCACGTTCTAGAGAATTTCTGCCAATCCAAACGTTTGAACTAGACTAACTGTCCCTCCGCATTGGCCAAAACCATATATATTTATATATATACTAATATTTGTATCCTATAGTTTGTACAAGCTTGAATTGGATCAAATGGATTTCATTTGGCGAATTGACATCACAAGTCCAAATGTGAGTGAAATGCACAATATATATATCCCAATCAAAGAGAGGTTTTTACACGAGTTTTCATCGGTGACAAAATAACATATATATGTCCAGATGTATGGCCCTTGTCTAGGGTTTTTGATATGGTCATATATCATGCCAGATGGCCTTGCATCGAGATGGACATTTCGACATGTCCAGCTAATACAGTACTACGTAGAATAATCAATACCTGCAAGGACAACCGCCAGCCCGTCATGTTTGACGTTAGTGGACACCCACGACGTTGTTGTTTGTATGGCTAGCGCAGTGTCCATATCTCCTACATGAAGAGCAGCTTTCATGGCCGCCACGACGGCTTCGTCCAGTTGGCTGTCGGTCGCCGGTGCAGATGTTGCGTTGAGGTGCTCCAGATGGGCGATAAAGCGGTCGAATGCCGGTCGGAGCACTTGTTTTGCACTGCACGAGTTTTGTTCATACTCCAGCAACACGTGGTCGATGGGACGCTTGGTTTTGGAGAAGAAGAGCGTCCAGAGTTCCAGGGGTACGAGCATTTCGTGGATATCTTCGAGCCAGGCAAAGACAGACGACGCGAGCTCAACGTGGCCGTTAAAGCACAACGCCCGCGCCAGTTTACGAAACAATCCAGACGTTTCAAACGACTTGCTCAATGCATTGGGCAGATGACCAAGCAAATGGGCCATGGCTGTAGCCACCTAAAGATGTAAGTTGTTGTTTTAAACAGGGGTTCGAGACGTCTTGTATATATATATATATATATTATATATATATGGTGGTGTTTATTCCAAACCACACACAACCAAATACAGACACAAGCATCGGTGGAAGAATGGAGTCAATCAGATTGCAGGAAATTCACCAACATCGCATTCATAAAGGTCCATACAAACTTCAGTACAAAGAATCGACCGATGGATTTCGCGATGCAGCACAAAAAGGTCCAAATGTGGAGTAAAAGGTCCATACAATATTGTCTAGTCGATATATATTCGACATTGGAGTGTTTGGGTACCCAATCGAATGAACAGAATCACTAAATCAATCGATATACGACCAATCAAAACCATGAACACTAATCAAGTGACCAATCAAGTTCACTCTTCAACCAATTCAACACCGAATTAGTGTGTTACTCAAATTAGTGTGATACTGGACGATCTTTACAACAGTCAGAACAAAGAATCGATCGATAGATTTGGCGAATATGCACAAAAAGGTCCAAATTTGGGTAAAAGGACAATACTAGTATTGTCGATTTGATACAAATTTGGGGAGCGGGTGCAATCGAATCGCGCCGACCAAACCGATCCACAATCGATCGGATTGGTTGAATTTCATTGAGAAGGTTTTGATTGGCTAATAATTTTGAGCTCATCTGAAGTAGCCAATCAAATCGATTTAAATTCCAACGAGAAACCACCCCACAACACGAAATTTCACTCGAAAGCACAATACTAGTGCATACCTCTGTGGACACTCTAGGATGCAAATACAGCGCCACGATTGCGCTTTCGTCTGCCGTTGCTACGTCCGTTGCTGAAACGTCGGTACGAATCGCTTCCAAAGCCGACGTCACCCATGTCAACCCAATATCCGTGTCTATTTCCGAGTGTTCTTCATAGTAGCTCTTTGCCGTGTTGGACAAGGCCAGTCCCAGCGCGACGCGGCCCTGACGAAAGCATTGCCGGACGCCCGTGCGTACAATTTCCATCGATTCATCATGGTCCAGTCGATTTTGAAAGATAGACGGCAGGCATTGCAGCAACACCGGCGCCGCAGACTCCATCGGCGCAGTTTGCAGCCACGACTATAACAACACCGCGATGTGATTGGCTAAAATTCCAAACATTTGGACCTACCAGATACACGTGTGGCTCCATCGCAAGCCCTCGGTCCACTACAGCGTACTGCAACAGCGGCACCACATCCTGCCGGACCAATTCCAAATCCGCAGCCAGCTGATGAAGCAGCGAAGATGGAGGAGTGGCCTTCATATGTCGCTTGAAGATGTTCAGAATGGACTTGGCCACGATCTTGTGGTCGTAATGAAAGTACCGGACAATCGACGCAGCATCCGTTTGAATGTCCATTGTATTTGTTCGTGGTGTGACTACAATGTATGAGAATATGAGAACGAACGCCTTAATGTTTAGTTGAGTTTAAATTAGCCAAGTGGGGGGAATGGCTGCAATTGCCGACAAATCGAGCAATGTCGTAGGATTGGCTGAAAGAAATAAAGGATGCATTTTGATTGGCTATAAAGAATGAATGTTGCCATCATGATTGGCTATAAAGAATAAAGATGGTTGTAATGCTGCAGTCGCACAGGGACCTCTTAAAACCTTATAGTGAGTTTATATCCTATTTCAAAGGCCCAACACAACCACCGCCGGATATTCGAAAGAGGATATTAAACTAAAATAAATGTTAAGACTAAATATTTCTACTGAACACACAATATGTAGTTGACATTTTGAAAATGAAAGGCATGATAGAATCGATATATATATATATATATATCGAAAACAAGTCAAGATATATAATAAGAATCGTACGAAAAAAATATTTTTTACACAACAAATATCCGACACAGTTCAAAATGATACCATAGTAACACCAAAGCACTACTACCTCCATCGTAGACACATTGCAAACATGTGAGCATGTGGATGACATGCGTTGGTAGCGTATGCACGAAGCGAAGTTCTTGCAGCTTCAGAAAGAAGGTGACAGCCGCGCGATTCGCGCCACATTCGATGAGCACGGTGACAAAGTCGAGAGGGGACAAAGGAAGGGGCGTCAAGTCATTGTGTACGACATGGGCGAGGGATGTGGCCAACTTGGATAGCGAGTGATCGCGGCAATGATGGACACACGCGTCGAATACGTCGGACGGGACCTCGGCATGCGACGATACTGCGAGCGACACTAACGAAGGAATCAACGACGTGTCAGTCTCAAGCGCTTGTCTTAGTGCCAGTCCGACGTAGATTCTGTCGTCGCGGGAAGGTTGTCGAGTTCCTTGTTGTAGGAGTAGTGTTGTTGCTGCCGACACATCGTTGTTCGCGAGATGGTGGGCAATGAGGCTGCTTGGAGCGGGATCGCGAGTTCCGTTGAAGGCATTTACTTGGGCGACGGTAGCCCCATGACCCTTCAGTGCGTCTAATTGACGTTTCTTGCCATGTGAGGAATAATGGGCTCCCAAGCGCCGCGCAGTTGACGGCGCCGACGATCGGCGCCAAACTCGTTGGAGTAGCATCCTTCAAACTCGCAACATGGAAACGCTGTGGTTGATGATCCGGATACTTGTTTCCGGATAACTGAAATCACCAAACCATCGGCGATTTACTATAGTATACTGAGCATAAGCTATATTTTAAAAAATGGCGCCAAAGTTATCTCATTCTTCGATCAGCCACCAAGCTTGCATGCAGGAAGCAAGGTCTCATGAGTACCGTACACCAATTATCCTTGGCAGTGGAAGCCTTGGGTACCCGTCGTAACATGAAGCTCCTTGCGGTAATTGACAACATGCTCCATGGTGGCCGAAGTCCTGAAATGGGTGTGGAACGAGCCTTTGGGTGACTAGGGGTGTGATGAGCGGGCTGTCGTGGGCGATAGTCATTTGAGGATTCAATGGAGCAAGCCTGATTCGGTATTGCATGCATGCATCGATCGAAGTTTGCTATGGAGAGTTTATGCGTCTTTCATGCGAATGTAGTCAAAAGCTGATTTACCGTCGTTGCTCGATTTTCTCGCCACCCGCAGTGTTCACTGCGGTAGGTGGAATACAGGAAGTATTCAACTTATTGTGTGCGATGTCTACTTGGTGTACAGTTGAAGTACGAACGTATGTCTTGTAACGAGGCTTGATGGTCCAGTCTTTTTTTAGACAGCTACTGTATTTCCGCGGCGGCATTCATCACGACATGGGGACGCAGTGGAGCAAGGCCATCCACGGCACTCCCGACTACCCTGTGGGCGATGAAATGCAGGAACTCTTCGAATCGCTGGGGTTCACCGTTTATGACATGAACAACATCTACGTCCTCTTCAACGCGATAAACCAAGGCACATGATACTTGTGCATCGTCATGCCGCCAAATCGATGCATACTCACGATGTAGTATGCATTACTAGACAAGTCTGGCGCCATCAACGTATACGAATTCCTCGAATACTTTGGTATGCACTGATCCCGGGATAGATGTCGCACATTATGTTGCTACTGATAGAGCTCACCAAGACCGAGTTTTCCAGAAAGACCTTCAACGTACCTTCTCAATTCATGCGATCTGTGGTATCTCATGCATTCTGTCCTGCCTTAGCTCATGGACAAAGATGGCAGCGGGCAAGTCGTACGTCGTCCGCGATATCATTCGTGCTAGTTGTTTTCTTGACGAGTTATCCTCACAGGACTTTGAAGAATTCGTGCTCGCGCTGTGGAATTTCTGTACGTGTTTTGCTCTTCGTAAATTACGCTGATATTTATTCGTTGTGGATGTCGTCATTGTAGGCTCGTTCACCCAAGAAAGCCTCACGCGATACTCGTTTAGTCTGTACGACTCGGACGGCAGCGGTGAAATCGGTATTACACTTGTTTATTGTGTGTTAGTGGTGAATTCAACCCTGTATAGTTAGTTCAATCACGAAATGGACTTGGTGCTAGATTTGAACGAGGCCGAGTACTTTGTCCAGGAAATGTGGGGAGGCAAGTGGCACACCAACAAGAACGCCGAGCACATCATGAACAAACTGACTGCTATAGCTACCGCCAGCGACGGTCCGTCCAATGTCATTAACACCACCGTTGGCTAAACGTCAGTGAACCGCTTACTTTACATGCATAGGGTGCATCCCCATTGAGAAATTTGTCCATTTTGCCCATGATAACCCTCTCATGATGTTTCCCGCATTCCAGGTAGGGTCGGTCTCAGCACTCTATCGAGTGCATGGGCTTGTTTCGAACCCTTGTTCATTTCGATTATCACCTGATATCCCATCAAAATATACTTCCATAACAGTAATGGTGCCCGTGAATTCGTACTAGATCCAACACGACATGATGGACAAGATATTAGGCGAACACTTTTGGACGAAAATCGCAGATCAGCGGCAAAAGAACCAGCGCACGGACAGCAAATTCAAATGCATTGAAGACATCTTGCAAGGCTTTAATGCCAACCACGCCGTGCTTCGGCGTACGTTTTCTATTTGTTTTTAATCATTTTTATTCATCATATACTAAAAACATATTTTTAAGGGTGGAAATGGATCACGCCCCAATTTTTGCCCAATTAATATTTCGAAAATTTGGTTCAAAGTAATTCAAATAATTTAGTTGTCATGTATTTTTGACTGTCTGGATCAAACTGATTTCGAAAGAAATCTACGATTATCAGTTATTGCCAACTTTCAGAAAAAAGTCCCATGAATCTCTTTTTTATTTTTTGGCGAAAAACGAGATATTTGGCATAATATAGAATTCTCTAAATTGGATCCAGACAGATACTTTTTCATTTTTTGGCGATTTCTTAGAAAATATCGTAGAATTTGGCCCTTTTCTTGACATCCAGACCCATCCTAAACCTTCTTTTAGTAAAAGGTCATCCAGGGATAAAATTAAGAATGTAGGAAAAGGTCATCCAGAGATAAAATTAAGAATTCGATTCGTCTGACCTATCTATTAATATCTATCCTCCATTCATTCCACCACCACAACAATATATCAGGGTCGGTCTATTAATTCAGTTTTGTGTAGAGGTCAAGGACGTCCTATCCGAAACGAGCACTCGTACGTGGATTGCTAGGAATCTTAACCCAGGTGATGATGATGATGATAGGATCTCAGAGGTTTTCGTTTGCCGAATCGTTTCGGTCCAAAGTTGGCGCGCTCAGCCAACGACACAAATATGCAAAGAAACCCCCTCCCGATACCCCGCCCGTGGTCGTGCAGGTGAAAAAGAAACACAAAAAGAAGCCCAATCAAGGCAAGATGATGGCGGTACCAGCAACGAAGCCGCTGGTCCAGTGAAGTGTTACAGTAGATCTGCATAACTGTCTGTACATACTTATCAACATGGAGGATCATCACGAGCCGCCGCCGGTACACAGTCCCCACGTCGTGTCGGCTATGGCAAGCAACGTCTGCAGCTTTGCGTCGACATGGCTACTACTACTACTACTGCTTGCGCTGGACGACTCCATGGTATTGGTGTTCGAGGAATCGGCCTACGAGATTGCAACAGTCATGGACCAATGAGCTCAGGGATACGATAGTACCGAAGGCGGCAGCAGCAGCACCATCACGACATGCAATCGATCCCATCCAAGGACCAACCAATTGGTGGAGGCCTCAGGTATTATCGTTCTGGAAGGAGGGTTGCTTGATGGTATGGTCCTGGTTGGTATCCATACCATCATCATGACAACGAAAAAGGTGTCTGTGGATTGTAGTGGAGTTGGTTCTCGTACCTAGTAGTAGCAATACTAGTAGCTACTAACCCCTCGACAGTCGACAGAGTCCACGTGGCGTCACGTTTATCTCCAAGCGTGCACTCCAAAAGGATATGCCGTCGACTCGGCAAGTTCTGCTCGTCCTGGTGAACTATAGACGTGATATATGTAAAGACTTGATAGTAGTGTGGGTGGTTTCCATCATGATTGCTTATGTTGATGATATACGTACCAATGATAGGAGAATTGCCAGGTAAGACTTGATGTAGGGAAGGAGGACGACGTAGTACGGGCGTTCGCCATAACGCATGCCACCTCCGCTTCCACTTGGAAGTTGCTGTGGCGACCATGATGGAGTTGGCATGAGATTGCCGATTTACATGACGAGGGAGCGGCGTGGCTTCTGCCTGTCGAACGTCCGCTGCGTGGGTCTCAATCTACACAGTTCACCGTACAGAGATGGGAAATGGGTCTTTTGTGAGATATATAGTATGACCTTGGGCGGAGTGCAGTACACGACAAGTGTGGACGCTTGGAACTACGATCAACGGTTGCCACGTCATGTGAAATGAATGGACACAAACGATCGATCGTACGTACGACGGGGCAAAGAGTTGTGCCGATATGGCGCATCGAATCGACGAGGACATCGTGGAGGATGATGTGGAGGCGCTTGCCTTGGCTCTACAATGGCGGTATATATATAGTGAAATGGATGGTTTTGAGGTAAGTTCGTTGCTACGGGTATGCTTGCTTCTCTTACAGCTCGAGATTCAGACGGAATCGTGTGCAATCGACTATTCACGGCGTCGGCAAATCGGTGGGTTGTCCACCTAGTCCATGTTGTCTAAGAACCTTTGGTAGAGTGCGCATATATGGCACCAGTGATCGTGTTGGGAAAACACTTGGGGAGATGCAAATCCCACCACAAGCCACTGCTTGGCTGGTGCTACGCCAAACACGAGGCGCTGGGAACGAGTCTCATATTGATGCAAGGTGCCGCCACCGCTACGGGTCACTGACCCTACGAGTGTGAACCGACGGAGACTCTTGGTTGATGATGGATGATAGATCATCATGCATGACTGCATGTTGTTGGAGGTGATGTGACATAGTACCAGCGTAGTTGAATATGGCAAACAATAGCGCGGCCAAGTTCATGTGTGTCTTGTGGGGATGGCGCGTTGAAAACGAAGCTGCCAATGCCTTGCTATACACCAAACCTCCACCCCGCAAGTCCACGACCATCACGCCGTCCATCCTTCTTTCTCTCGACCAGTATGTTGCAAGGTCGAGTTATCGGGTGTGAAACGGCCAACGGTTACACGAATCACCACTTCCGCATCTACGAGGCGGATACGTGGCGCCTTGTGGGTTATCAAGCCTCTCGAGAAGCTCATGCATGTCAGTCAATATGTACACCACCCACCCCGGCGAGGACTCCATGTGTAATACTGACAGTGAAGTATATATTTAATACTACTATATGTATATATATTACTGTACTGTGTCGACATTTCGACTGGTTCGAGCCTGTCACAGAGACCAAGAGCATCGAGTTGACAGTACCTGCACGTATGTAGCTGTGCTCATTTACCGGTAGAGTCATTCGTGCGGAAGAATACTGTACAGAGCCCAAGCACCAAAAGTCACGAACGTTCGGATGTGTAGTCGTCCCAACCGAGCTGCCTAACTTGTAGCCACTTCTATCACTCAAACTCTGACCACCCCATGCGACCTTTCTAGGGAAACCTTCCTTCCCGCCATCTCTTGCACGCCTTCCGGTAGCGTCCTTCCTCCATGAACCCCTGTTATGCATGCCTCCCGCTCCATCGATCAAGGACCATTCCCCACTTGAACTGATGGGCACCAGCCGATCATAGATGCACACATTATTACAAGGGCAGGGAACATTCCATTTCAAATGAAACGTTCTTGTTCACAAAAGGTGATGCTGTACACCTTCTTTTTTGCGATATATTGTACCAATTGTTGTCCTATTGTTGGTCACGTTTTGTTATTGCATGGTACGACCACAAAAGCGGTATTTTATGTTGCCTCTATACTTGAGCTTTGTATGCTAGGACCTAGGGGGGAATTAAAATTGTGCCCGATCTATACGCGGCTGTCGTCATGGCAATGTCATTCCTCCTGTCACCACTACCTTGGTCATTTGTACTTCAGTTGATAAGCAGACCAGGATGAGTCAAGCGCTGCAGCAATCGCTGGGGGAGTCCGAAGTGTTCGAGCTCGTGTGCGACTACCTCCGCTCGCGCAAGTTCTACAAAGCAGAGCAGGCCCTTCTTCATGAGCGCCGGCTGGCTATGGAGAACTCATCGTACGACACTGGCGGACTGCGCGACCAAGCCTCGTCCGCGGCAATCCCTGCGCCGTTGAAGCCATCCCTCCTGGAGAGCCTTCTCGAGCGCAGTTACGTGACCAACTTTGTCTCTGGTGAAGGTGACGAAGAAGAACACGAGCACAAACGCAACCGGTCACATCTCGACGGCACCGTCGACGACGTCACTCTCGCCGAGCCCGACCACGTTGACGATGACGCAGACGAAGTGTATGGCCTCAGCACCCAACTCGTGTCCTTCGAAGCATGCAAGGACGACCCGTACGGGTCGGCGACCATGCCCATCTACCAAACGTCCACATTTGCGCAGAAATCCGCCACGGAATTCGGCGCGTACGATTATACGCGCAGTGGCAACCCCACGCGCGCGGCGTTGGAGCGGCAGATGGCAGAACTCGAGAAAGGCCATCGCGCGTTCGCGTTCACGAGCGGGATGGCGGCACTGAGCACCATCTCCCGCCTCGCCAAGGCGGGCGAACACATTGTGCTGTCGGATGACTCGTATGGCGGCACGTACCGCCTCCTGTCCAAGTTGACGGCCAAAAACGGTGTGCATGTCAAGTACGTCGACCTGAGTGGCCCCGCGGGTCCCGCGAACCTCCGCGCGGCACTCAACTACGAAACCAAACTGGTCATGATGGAGAGCCCGACCAACCCCATGCAGCGCATCTGTGACATCGCGGCGTTGGCGGCGGTGTCGCATGAATTTGGTGCACTCCTTAGTGTCGACAACACGATGATGAGTCCCATTTTGCAAAACCCGCTGGACCTCGGCGCCGACATTTGCATGCACTCGGCCACCAAGTTTGTGTGCGGCCATTCAGACACCATGTCGGGGATTGTGATTGCCAAGTACGTGAACATGTCACGATGACATCTCATCCGAAAAGTGATATATGACGCGATCGGTTGACACGTGATTGGTGTATGGTATTGTCGTTTTACCCAATATTTCGACTTTTGTGCTGATACGTGACTTTTGCATGTGAAGATCATCCAGTATCACACTCATTTCAGTCACACACTAATTCGATGTTGAATCGGTCGAAGCGTGGATTTGATTGGCTACTTGATGATTGTTCTGGGCTTTTGATTGGCCGTATATCGATTGTCTGCCGATTTGATTCTTCTGCTCATTCGATTGAGCCCCCCCCCCTCCAATTTCGAATCGGATATTGAATGGACTTGAGAATAATACTGACGGTGGAATATATAGGGATCCCGAGTTGTGCCGCGATTTGTACTTTGTCCAGAATGCCGAAGGCACGGGGCTGGCCCCCATGGATTGCTGGCTGCTGTTGCGCGGTACGTTTCTCCAGTCGTTTCTCCGAAACTTTGCTAACTTTACCTCGAATTAGGTGTCAAGACTATGGGATTGCGTGTGCTCACGGCGCAGTCAAATGCTATGCGTGTGGCGTCGTTTTTGCATGCGCATCCTGCTGTCACCAAGGTAAACAATACCGTTTTATCTTTCTACCAGCAGCGCGTTTTGAAATATATATAATCATGGACATATATATATATATATTCATATTTCGTGCGATGGTAGGTCTATTACGCCGGTCTACCGTCGTACAAAGACAAGGCGATCCACGACAAACAAGCCCGCGGCGCTGGGTCCGTCATTACATTTTGCACCGGTGACTTGAAATTATCTCAACACATTGTGACCAACACCAAGTTGTTCAAAATCACGGTAAAAAATACTATTGTGCATAATTTCACCCACGTTTGAACTTTGAGTCAATTTGCCAATAACGTTTGACTTGACAATCTATACTATACAATGAGTTTAGCATATATCCGGTTTTGCCCAACTGAACTGAATCTGTACTTGGGATTGGCCGAAATTCACCAGAACGTCATTTGATTGGCTTAAGCGGTTCATTATTTCATTCTCTAACAGTTTCGATTCTGGTGTTTCGAATCGATTGGACAATACTAATTAGTACCTACCACATATCTATCTATCCTCGTATCCTTTCATATACATATATATATATATATATATATATATTCCTTGATGGAAAACAGCGCTCTTGACACTGTTTCTAACTTTTTAGGTCAGTTTTGGCAGTGTGAACTCGCTCATTTCGCTGCCGGGTGTCATGTCCCATGCCAGCATCCCCGAAGAAGTGCGCAAGGCGCGGTCATTCCCTGAAGATCTCATCCGTCTGTCCATCGGCATTGAGGACATCCAGGACCTGATCAACGATCTGCAGCGCGCGTTCCAAAGCTTCAGCACGTCGGCGTAGATAGAGCGAGCGCGTGTATGCGGCATGTTTTGCGCATGGGATTCCGCGACGATTCGTCCATCGGTGGTTCAACTTCCCCTCTTAAGTGCAGGGCAAAGACGACCCGTCCTTGGTCCAACGCCATCGTCGCCCGCCATGTGTGACGCGGTGTTGCCTTGTATAGTTAGAAAGAGACATAATAAATAGTCGACTATGTAGAGATAGCCCCCCCTTTTGGCGTCGAGATGATGGTGTACTTGTCTTTCAAGTTTGAAGGGTATTCCAAGAATCGGTTACTTTATTTCGTGCATTCCATTTTTGCTCCTTATGGGTTCCAGACGCACTAAAATGACTACATACAGTGTACAGTAGTTAACAGTGGTCGAAGGCATCGAGGGAATATTTATGCATTTCTTAAGGTCCAGATGGCCTTTTTCAGGGAAACTTCTTGTGTGCTCATACTAAACGCCATATAAAAAACGTTCTTTGGATGTCAGGTGTAGAAATGAATATCTTGTGAGATATATCACAAAACATGACGGAAATGAGGCACTTACAAATAATAACCTATATCGTTTAATAGTATTAATTTTGACGTTTATACAGGAAAGCTTATATGAGTAGTACTCTCAAATATAATATTTTGAAATAACCCTAATCCCGATACCCTATAAATCTGGAACCCATAACCAAAAACTATGCCATCATCGGGAGTTTTGTCGCAGAACAAAATGGACCGATTTGGTCCAAGTTTTGACGGTGGTTTGTGCTCATTGTGAAGTCTTGACAAAGTCGTGGCATCCGCATTGACGTTGCGCGGCAGCGACGGATAGAGATCCTAGCATTGTACAGGTCGGTCTTTGTAGATACTAACTTTAGTATAGAAGCGTGGAAGCCCAACGCGCGATGATTGGTTGGTTGAAGGTGACTGACTTTACAGGCACTTTCGTAAAACAAGTTGTTTGCCATTTTCATTCTGGCAAACAACTACAGTACTTGCTTTACGTCAACACGTCAAGGTGCTTGCCGCAATGAAACTGAAGCATCTATGACCGCATACATGACCTCCCATCCGTGATCACAACAATCATTAACTACTCCGAGTAATTTAGAACGTTAGGGATATAGTTAGGCTACACTGTAATCGTCGCCCTGTCCAATGATTCAAAGCTATGCCTACAACACTTGATCTGTACTAATTTAACGTTAATACTGAACGTGGAAAACAAGGGCGCTCTCAACTACACGATGTATATACTCCCATGTCACATCCTAATATGGCATGCATCGTGATGAACTGGTGGTTGCACAGCTTACGTTGGCCTACCGGTAGTCCTCCTACTCGATTAGTTAGCGGCTGAAATAAAGTAAGGGTCGTTTTATGCTGCTGAAATGCATTACCGTTGTTTTAACTTCACAGTGTCAATCGGGCTTATATTATTTTAAACGTCTGGTTGTTTAACGCAGTTGCAGTGAACGGGGACTGGCGTGCCTTCGATCTCTGATCCTGCTACCAGTGATTGGGAAATCGTCATCGAAGATATATCTTTTTCTTTTATCGATTTTGACATCGTATCGTACAGTACCTAGATTTAGAAATAATATATATCGCTTATCGAAAAGCTATCTCGAAAAGCTATCTCGATATAACATCGTATCGAACGCAATGGTGCAATATCATATCGATATCGCAACGCCACTACGATATTCGATATATATCGATATCGGATGTATAACGTGGTTGTGGCTAGCCAGCGATAGATATGTGGCCTATCGTCAACATGAGGTTGGCAACCCAATCAATCCATCAAAAGAAACAATCACAATTCACTGTAAATACGGCTTGTGTTTATTTATATTATAGCTACTGCTTGTCCAAGCTATACCCGCCTTCGGTGACGAGTTCAAAGAAGATGCCTGTGCCAGCGTGAACCAGCGCTGCGGGTGTGTCGTTCTGGACCAATTGACCTTGGTCAAACACGAGGATGCGGTCGCAGTCCAGCACCGTGTCGAGGCGATGGGCGATGGTGAGCACCGTGGACGACGCAAACTCGGAGCGCACGACCTGCTGCAGGAGCTGGTCGGTGTCGTGGTCGATGGCTGCCGTGGCTTCGTCCAGGATGACGATCTTGGCCTGGCGCAACAAGGCGCGGGCCATGCACAGCATCTGGCGCTCGCCCACGCTAAAGTTCTCTCCGTTTTCTTCCACGGGTCCCAGCAGCTTGTCCGAGTCGGCGCCGATGCGACCAGCCAGCTGCACCTTTTGCAACGCGAGCCACAGCTGGTCGTCGTCGTACTCGTCGAACGGGTCCAAGTAGTTGCGCAGTGTGCCTTTGAACAGGACGGGGTTCTGGGGGATGATGGCCAAGTGGCTGCGCAGGTTGTGCAGGCCAATGTCGGCGATGTCGATGCCGTCGATGCGGATGTGGCCGGCCGCGACGTCGTTCATGCGGAACAACGACATCATCAAGCTGGACTTGCCCGCGCCCGTCCGTCCGACGATGCCCACCTTTTCGCCCCCATTGACTGTGAAACTCACGTCTTTCAACACGAGGGGGTCCGTGGGTTTGTAGCGGTAGCTCACATTGTCAAACTGCACTTGGCCTTGGGACGGCCACGGCGTCGACGCTTCGTCCAATGGCGTGTGTCGCTCGCCTTCTTTGGTCAGCCCGATGTACTCGTGCAGTCGCTCAGGGGCGATCAGCGCCGTCTCCATCCGAGCCCAGGCGCCGACCAACTCTGCCAAGTTGGCAGGAATGCTCAAACCATACGTAATCACGAGCCCAATGAGCCCTGCACTGATGGCGTCGTGCATGACCACAACCCCCATCAAAAGCCCAAACACGATCGAGCAACCGATGAGCTGCACACGCAACGCAAACCACTCATTCGAAGTCACGATGACGAAACGAGCAGCCACATATGCTTCCAGGAGGTCGTCGTGTAGACGGTTGAAGCGACGGAGGTACTTTGGACCAAAAGCTCGGATGGTCGTGGAGCCGTCGATGCCTTCGCTGACCAAACTGAACAGCGGTGACCGCGTCGTCTTCTCGATGCGGTTCACTTCCCGCAACGGGGACAAGTAGAACGAACCCAATAAGTAGTACAAAGCTACGAGTGGCAACACGATCAGTCCCATCCACTGGGTGATAACGATGGTCGTGACAATCTTGGTGATCGCAGTGGCTGTTTCTGCGAGCAGGGGTGCAAACATGAGCGGAATGACCATGTCCACTTGAGTGATGTCGTCGCCGAACCGATTGAGAACGCGGCCGATGGGGTTGGTGTCGAAGAATGACATGGGGGCTTCCGACACACTGTGCAACATTTCCCAAAACAGCTTCTTCGCGCCGCGCAAGCCATACATCAGCACGGACGCGAGTTGTACCAACGTCGCGAGGAAACCACCTATGACGAGAATGCCGTAGATAAGCATGTTCTGGTTCGTGTTGGCTCGAAAGGCCTCTGGGGACAGCGTCGTGCTTTGATTGGACCAGTGGGACAGCCACATGTCGCCACTGACCTTGACGACTTCGACAATTAGCGTCAGAAACAGCATCACAGCCATGGAACCCCAGCCTCCGAACGCCCGGATGTACTCAACCACGACGGCCTTGGACACGCGACCTTCGGCACGCCCTTCTTCCACCACGAGGGTTCCCGATTGTTCCTCCGTCGTGTTCAGCAGAGTTTTGTCATGGCTGTCGTCGTTGTTGTCAGGCTTGACGACCAAGTCGTCGAGAATATCCTGGCTATCCACCGCCCAGTAGGCCGTGGGGGGAGGCAAGGGGGTGACAGATGAGACTGGCTTGGGCGAGTTGGTGCGGTTGCGAGGCGGCGTGGACTCGGTGACGGCTCCGTCTTGGACGAGGAATGTGCGATGAACGTGGGGGGACTGGATGATGTCGTGGCTATGGGTGACCAAGAGGATGGTTTTGTATCGCAGCAGGCCGAGGAAACACTTGGTGAAGATCTCGTTCTGCACGATGGCGTCCACGGCGGATAAGGGCGAGTCCAGCACAAAGATGTCGGCGTCGCTGTAGCACGCGCGGGCCAAGCTCACGCGCGCCTTCTGTCCCCCCGACAAGTTGACGCCCTTCTGGCCGATTTCCGTGCGGTCCCCAGCAGGCAACCCTGCCATGTCCTTGGTCAACGCGCACGCTTCCACAACGTTGGCGTACTTGGCTGCGTCGAACGGCTTTCCAAAGAGGATGTTGTCTCGGATGGTGGCGTTCTGAATCCACGGCTGCTGGGCAAAGTACGCGACGTCGCCCCCCACGAACACCGTCCCAGCCAGTTTGCGCATTTCTCCGAGAAGCGCTGCACATAATGACGACTTGCCTTGGCCCACGGCGCCATGGAGGACTACGAATTGGCCTTGCTGGATCGTCAAATTGACGTCGGCAAAGAAGACAGAGGCAGCGTTGTTGTCCTTGGCATTAGATTCCAGGGCGATAGCGTCCACTAATTTCTTGTCAGTGGCGCTGTCCTTGTTGTCCGATGCGACAGTGTGCCAGCCAAATGAGCCTTGGTCAATGGCCAGCACCGTGCGGTCGGTGGCGTACTTGGCCTTGAGCGCGGCGTTGGAGGCCGGTGTCTGAACGTCCGACGGGTTGCATTCATCCATAAGCAGCACAGCGTTGATGCGCTTTACAGACACAAAGCACTGAACAGTAGACATGACGACCACCGGGAGACCAAAGAGGGCTTCTTGCAGGGACATGAACAGCGACAGAGTCGAAAATACGATCGCAACCGTCAGCGACTGGCCCATCCACAACGTAAACGTGGCAAAGATGGTGATCGTGACCAAGACAGGGGTGCTGAACAAAAAGACCATGAGCACTATGTAGTACCGAAAGAACTTCCAAATGGACACGATTTCCACGAGACGCAACTCGGTGAGCTTGGCGACGAACTTCTCTTCCCACGCGTTGAACTTGACGATCTGGATAGCCCCAAACACTTCGTTGACGACTTTCATGCGGTTGTCCTTGGCTTTGTACAAGTGATCTTGCTCTTTTCCCAGGAAGATGGCCACCACAGCGTTCAACGCGAGAATCACAACCACCACCGCGAGACCCACAAAGACGGACCACCCCACGAGCAAGTACAACAAGTAGAGCACGACGGCAATCTGCACCGGCACGATCCAAATGAGATTCATGTTGGTCGCAAACTGCAGGAGGTTGGTCACATCGGTAGAGAACAAGTTGGTGATGTCCCCCGTGGACTTTTCCTTCTTGGACTTGGCATTCAGCTTGAGCGCTTTCTCAAACAACATCGACCGCACACTCGAGCCGAGCTGGATACCGATCAGTCTGTTTATGAAGTTCATGTGCGCTTTCATGAAGGCACTTAGGACTTGAATGCCGTAGAGCGACAACACCAGCAGCGACGTGGAGGTGGCGTCAAATACTGGCTGTTGCACGGCCCGCACCACTTTCGGAAGCACGTAGGCAGGTCCGTAAAGGTCGCACGCCACACTGAACAGTTGCATGAGTGCAACGGCAACGAGTTTGACCCAGTAGATCGCGAAGAACGTGCGCAGGAGGCTGTTGTCGTGGGTGACGTAGACAGAGGCGTATTTGGAGGCCAGGGGCGCCGCCTTGTTAGATTCCTGGAGTGGCCACAAGTCTTCGGAGCTGAGTTGGCGTCGGTTGCCTTCCCGAAGGAGGGTGTTGGCCCACCCAAAGATGGCCTTGGAGAGGAGGTTGGCATTGTCGATAGGATGATGCGGGGCCAGGAGATTGGTACGGGGATGAGGGGTGTCCCCACGAGGACTCTTCACGATGGAGAAGCCTGTCGCCGTATCAGTTTCCATGACGGCTATGGAGTTGATTGCAAAATGAACGTGTTGTGTTATGTGGACTACCGGCGAGCTGGATGAGACATCCCAATCTTTATTTTGGTTATGGAGGTAGTTCGGTTCATTTGACACCTGTACAGTATCGTGATTACTCAAGTAGCAGCAGTTTCGTCTTCTGTTGAGCAGACGACAGTAATTGATCCAAGGACTTTACGATATTTCAAAGAAGCAGAACGTATTTAGGTCGAGAAAGCAGAACATATGTACATAGGACCTGGGCATTAGATGCGCCTTGGGGGGTTTGAAACGATCATCCTTGTCAACACGACATACATTCACCTGAGGCTGGAATGCATGTATTTTGACTAGCATTTCCATATGCATGCTGTAACTTCACTCACCATGTTCTCGCTTTGTTAGTGGTTGAAAATATAATCATTATAGCCAACCAAACACGCAAATTGTGTCACATCATCGTCGTGATATTTTGAATACAAGTAACGTTATGGATGAATGAATAATGCGAAAGGACGGACCAATGTCATTGTTTATTGACGGACCAATGTCATTGTTCTCTGTCTACTAGTAATTTCAGGAGGCTGCGGGAAATAATCAACTTTTCGATCCTCAAACGATATGGTAATACAGTACATTGTTCATCATCACCATACAACACACTAGAATCAAATCGAGT